AGCAATAGCACAGGAGGGAGGGCGTTTGATTTGCACGCGGCCGACCCGGGTTCGATTCCCAGCATCCCATATGGTCCCCTGAGCACCATCAGGAGTGATTCCTGAGTGCATGAGCCAGGAGTCAGCCCTGAGCATCGCCGGGTGGGACCTAAAAAGAAAAAAAAAACTAAAAAATGAAAATATATAAAAAAAAAATTCCCCCACCCGGGTCTAAGCTATAGGACAGCGGGTAGGGCATTTGCCTTGCACGCGGCCGACCCGGGTTCGATCCCCGGCATCTCATAGGATCCCCCCCAGCATCACCAGGAGTGATTCCTGAGTGCAGAGCCTGGAGGCAGCCCTGAGCATCGCCGGGTGTGACCTAAAAAGGAAAAAAAAGGTACCAAGTATGGGGTTGGAGAGGATTCAGCAGGAAAGACACAGCTGCGTGTGCTCTGAGCACTTTGGGAGGAGCAACCTGGGCTGAGCCCGCCTCTGGCAGCTGCTGACGGGGGGCGGGTCATCTGTGGATCCTGGATGACCATTTGCCAAGGGTCACCGATATCAGCCGACCAGGAAGAAGCGCCCGATCAATTCCCTTGGTTTTCACTTTGTCCTTTGCGACCGAGTCATCCCAGGAGGCTCAGCAGATGATATTTATACACTTTATTTGCAAAGTTTCTGTTCCACTTCAAGGAAATATCTTCCTCTATGAAGCCAGGGGGAAGAAACGGGGGTGGGAGCATTGAGTCTGAGCCCCCCCCCCCAACCCCCCGGCAACACAGACTCAGAGAAAGCATGAACGCTAGTGGCGTGGTTTGGGTGGACCCGCTGGTCTGTGTACTCTGGGGACCCATCCAAGTCCTGCTTCTGGGCAAGCGTGAGGTGCGGATGCCCCAGGAAGTGGAATACACAGCATCTGTCCTGTCTGCAAAAATCAGAGCCACATTTCCAAGCCCGAAGTGTCCCTGCATTGATGACACTTAACTGCTCGCTCTTGGCCAAGCAAAAGGCCCGTGATCTTTCCCGGCCCCTGCGCAGAAGACCAAGACCCCGAACCCACCCCCGGGGGACAGAGGCAGGTAAGAGAGTCAGCGAGGCGGGGGGCTGCCCTCCAGGAATACACTCCCCAAATCTCACCTGTCACCTTCAAGCTTCCTGCCTCTCCTGGGCACAGAGGATAGCACCTTGTTACCCCTTCCTGGTAGGACTGGAAGCCTCTCATTTTGGAGACCCCCAGCCCACCCCACCCTGCCTGCTCTGGAGAAAGGCAGAAGCCCCTTAGGGCTGGGGAATCTGGCTGTGCCCCCCATAGAAGCTTGCTCTGCACAACCTTGCCAATAGCATGTATGCATTCCCAACCTTTTTTTAATTTAATTTTGGCTTTTGGGTCCCACCCGGCGATGCTCAGGGGTTCCTTCTGCTTCTGCACTCAAGAATCACTCCTGGCGGTGCTCGGGGGACCATATGGGATGCCAGGGATCGAACCCGGGTCGACCGCATCCAAGGCCAATGCCTCCCTGCTGAACTGTCTAGTTCTGTGACTCTATTATTGTTATTATTATTATTATTATTATTATTATTTTGGCTTTTGGGGTTCCACCCGGTGATGCTCAGGGGTTCCTCCTGCTTCTACACTCAGGAATCACTCCTGGCAGTGCTTGGGGGACCCTATGGAATGTCGGGGATCGAACCTGAGTCGGCCGTGTGCAAACCAAACAATCACCCTCCCCACTGTGCTATCTATCACTTTGGCCTCCAACTTGTTATTTTTAATTGGGGGAAAAAGGGTTTGCGGCCACACCGAGGTAAAGGCTGGCTCCAAACTCAGGCATTACTACTCATTGCTGTGCTCAGGGGACCATAGGGGATGCTGGGAATCGAACCCATATCAGCCACATGTAAGCGCTATTTTATTTTTCTGTTTTAGAGCTTGTTCTTTTTTTTAATTTTTATTAGTGAAACGCCATGAAGTACAGTTGTAGACTTACAAATTTTTGTGCTTGGGTTTCACTTGTACAATGATCGAGCACTGCCGTATAAGTACCGCGCGCTAACCCATTGCAACCGAGAGTATCTCGCCCGCACGGCAGAACCTGGCAAGCTCCCCGTGACGTACTCGATATGCCAAACACAGTAACAACAAAGTCTCCAGTGGAGACGTTACTGGGCCCGCTCGAGCAAATCGATGATCAACTTTACTTACTTAATGATCGAGTACCCATCCCTCCACCAGTGCCCATTCTCCACCACCACTGATCCCAGTATCCCTCCCACCCCCCCCGCCCCCCCCCCCATCTCACCCTGCCTCTGTGGCAGGGCATTCCCTTTTGTTCTCTCTCTCCTTTTGGGTGTTGTGGTTTGCATAAAAGGCATTGAGTGGCAATCATGTTAGGTCCATAGTCTACTTTCAGCATGCATCACCCATCCTGGGAGGATCCTCCCAACACCCTTTATTTGGTGCTCCCTTCTTTATCTGAGCTGCCTTTTCCCCTAGCGTGTGTGACTGGCCTCCAAGCCATGGAGTGAACCTCCTGGTACTTATCTCGGCTATTCTTGGGTGTTAGTCTCCGATTTTGTTACTTTATGTTCCCCAGATGAATGCACTCTTTCTATGTCTGTCCCTCTCTTTCTGACTCATTTCGCTTAGCATGATACTTTTCACGTAGTACCACTTGTATGTAAATTTCATGACTTCATCTTTTCTACCTACTGCCCTTTTAAACTTGGCGAGTCTGATGGGGAAGGTCCATCTGCCTGACCCTCCCAGTGCCAGTCTCCAAATCCTGTGCATCTAGCGCCACCTGGCGGTCACAGGGGGACCACGGGGGGAACACCTTGGTGAAGGGACTCCACTTGACAATGTTCAGGGAATCGTGGAACTGAACCTGGGTTAGCTGTGTGCCAGGCTAATGCTCTCTGGCTTTCTCCTTTGTTGATAGTTTGAGTTTGCAAGCAGACGAGCCCTCCATCCCCTTGGGCCAGACCAATCCAGACTCACCTTTGAGGTGCTACCCCCAGTCCAAGCCAACCCACAGGCTGTGCGGACAGAAGCACCAGCCCTTTTTTTTTTTTTTTTTAATTTTTATTAGTGAGACACCATGAGGTACAGTTGTAGACTTACAAATTTTGTGCTTGGGTCTCAATTAGACAATGACCAAATACCCATCCGTCCACCAGAGCCCATTTCCCACCACCACGGATCCCAGTATCCCACCCTGCCTCTGTGGCAGGGCATTCCCTTTTGTTCTCTCTCATTCTGGGTGTTGTGGTTTGCAAAAGAGGCACTGAGTGGCAATCATGTTAGGTCTATAGTCTACTCTCAGCATGCTTCTCCCATCCTGGGAGGATCCTCCCAACACCCTTTATTTGGTGCTCCCTTCTCTATCTGAGCTGCCTTTTCCCCTAGCGTGTGTGGCTGGCCTCCAAGCCATGGTCTTTATCTTCCTAAGTAGCATTTCCCGTTTCAGTAGCAGGGGACCCTGAGTTGGTAGCTTGCAGTCTGCTTTACTTAGGAACCCCTTGTGGAAGGGGTGCCCCAATTCTGTTAGGAAATCAGTGCCCTGGGGGGAGAAGCCAGCAAGGATGCTTGCTCCTAGGCTGTTTATTAAATGGAATTTATTATTCTATCCATCTGATGAAATCAAACTGAGGGTATCAATACCAAGGAGGCAGCAAGACAGGCAGTGACAATCTGTCCCTATCATGTCCAGAGGGCAGGGATGAAGTTCTCTGCACTTTGCAAGTGTGTCCCTGGGTTCCATCACACATGGCAAAAAAAAAAAAAAAACTGTAGGTTCTCTCTGGGTTGGAGAGATGCTAAGTGGGCCAATTAGGTGTCCTAATTGCACACAGGACACCTCCGTCTGGTCCTGACATTGCAAGGCACCCACCCAGCCCCCACCAGGAGCCAAAAAAGAAAAAAAGAAAAAAAAAGCTTTCTACCGTCCAGCAGTTTGGAAATGGTCTATGGCATGGGCATGCCTTGGCTGGCTCTGGGAAGAGCTGCACATTTTTTTAATAATTTATTTATTTATTGAATCACTGTGGGAAAAGTTACAAAGCTTTCAGGTTTAGGTCTCGGTCATGCAAACATCAAACACCTTTCCCTTTACCAATGCTTATTTTTTACCACGAAGAACCCCAATAAAACCCCACCCCCCACCCCTCCCAATGCCAGCGAGGCAGATGAATTCTAGTTAACACTCTATCTGCTTTGATTAGATTCATTGTTTCAATAAAAGATGCACCACTATTATTTAGTTTACCACCCCCCCAAATCAGACATGCTGAAAAAGCATTGTGAAGTGATTTGCTTTCTACAGCTGGGTTCAAGAATTAAATGTTGGTTTTAGATTTCCGCTACTTTACTTATTAACCCTGGAAGTATTTCTCCTGAAAGTCAGATAATTAAGAGATTGGTTTCTGTGCTCTGGAGTCATGGCCGTGCCGGAGAGCAGCTCGTGGGGGGCAACTGGTGACCTCGGTAGGGCGTGAAGGATGGACCGGAACGCCCCCCTTCCCATGAGGTTTTAGTCGCCCCCACACCCCCGGCTCATACCTGCCGTCCACAAGGCTCCCATGCGGCCGCCATCTTTCTTTCCAGAGAGGAGAGGGCGAATGGGGCAACACCCTTTCCCCTCCGGACAGACATGATGGCCTGGATTAACGCATAGTCCGTTCACTTTTCTGCTCCAAGCTGCCGGGTTCTGCATTAAGTCCTTGTGCTTCTGGGGCCGTGGCCGTGCTGGAGAGCCGCTCGTGGGGGGCAACTGGTGACCTCGGTAGGGCGTGAAGGACGGACCAGAACGCCCCCCTTCCCATGAGGCTTTAGTCGCCCCCACACCCCCGAGAGCTGCACATTTTTGCCTGGTGGGAACAGGAGCTCTCTCTAATCGAAGAGTCAGGTGGCAGGGGCGGGTCTGGGATGCAGAGTTTGAGGGGGGCTCACTGTCTGCAAAAATAAATAGCCCGTCACCCCATTCCAACAACACACAACAACACACAAGAAAGTTTGACAAACCAAGATTTTTATTTTCAATAAACAGTCACCTAAAGGCACACGCAACCGTACCTGCACACACACTCATGCATGCACACACAGTCACACACACGCACGCAAACACACACACACACACGCTCAGAAAGAATCAGGGCACACGTCCCCAGCATCTGAAGACACATCTTCACTGGGTCTGTCCATGAGCTGCAGCCGAGACCAACGCTGGCCAGAGGTTGAGCTGTGGCTGGTCCCTTTGCCGCCTTCCGCGGGGGGCGTTCCAGAAGGCTGAGAAGCCCAGAGCAGCCCCCGTTTCCCTCCAGACCAGGGCGCGGCCTCCCTGAGACAGGGGGGTCCCGGGTGCCCCTGCTGTATGGGGGGAAGCAGCCGAAGCCCCCAAGGCAGACGTTTGCTAAGCACCCATTACCCCCGCCAGCATTGTGGAGGGCGGGGGTCCACGGGCAGCTCGGTCCCCCATTCCCACGGGGGACAAGTCCACAGTGATGTCAGAAGAGGAAGCGGTATGGGGGGAGGAGGGAGGTGTGACATCCTAGCTAAGGCAGGAAGTGAGACGTCATTGTGCGAAACCAGGCTGCGGGCCAAAGCCCAGTAGCACCTGAGCAGGTGGACAGAGGACGGAGGGCGGAGGCCGCCTCACACCAGGAAGGAAGAAGTTTGCCTGAACTCCCCCTGGGGAGACAAGACAACAAACGCACAGTGGGGACAAGTCCCGCCAGCCCCACCCATCCGCACGCTCCACCCACCTTCACAAGGTTCCACCCATCTGCTCCACCCATCCCCACAAGGCTCCACCCACCTGCATGCCCCGCCCATCCCCACAAGGCCCCGCCCACCTGCAGGCCCCACCCACCTCCACAAGGCTCCACCCATCTGCATGCCCCGCCCATCCCCACAAGGCTCCGCCCACCTGCAGGCCCCACCCACCTCCACAAGGCTCGGCTCACCTCAAGGCTCCACCCACCTGCATGCCCCGCCCATCCCCACAAGGCTCCGCCCACCTGCATGCCACATCCACCTCCACAAGGCTTAGCTCACCTCAAGGCTCCGCCCACCTGCATGCCCCGCCCATCCCCACAAGGCTCCGCCCACCTGCATGCCACATCCACCTCCACAAGGCTTAGCTCACCTCAAGGCTCCACCCACCTGTATGCCCCGCCCATCCCCACAAAGCTCCGCCCACCTCCACATTCCTCTCAACATACTGGCCCCCCAGCTCACCTGGCTGCGGGCCGAGGGCTGGCTGTAGATCACTTTCTTGCCAGGGGTCCTGAGGAAAAGGTCAGAGAGGCGAGACCCTCAGCAAAGCCCCCATACAACTCCCCACCCCCTGCCAGCCCTCAGAGGCCGTTGCTGAGAATGTTCTAGAAGCAGCTCGCAAAGGGATGGATGAAGGAGACGGCTCTGATCCTCCACCTCACTCACCCTTTCTTGGCTCCTGCAAGAGAAGAAAGTGGATGGTGAGGAGTCAGGTATTCCTCCCCCCCCCCCCCCGCCACACCCCCAGGGAGCACAGCCCAGGGAGCACCCCCAAAGCAGGGCGATCAGGAAGTGGAGGCGCTTACGGTCAAAGTAGCCACGGCTGTAGGCGAACCAGACGCCGAAGACCAGCAGCCCCAGGAGGATGAGTGTCACCAGCACGGCGGCCACGATGCCCCCAACGTTCAGCTCCGCTGGGGGACAGACACGGGTCAGGTGCTCTTGAGCCCCACCAAGTCCCCAGAGCCCAGGCCCGGGTGGGAAGCGCGCCTGCGCCCGGCCACTCACCGGCTTCCATGTGCACCACTTCCGACACCATGGGGGACCCCACCCCATTCCGAGCCTCGCAGGAATAGTCCCCCGAGTCGAAGGCCGTCAAGGGGTCGAAGACCTGGAGGCAGAGGCAGGTTGGCTGCTGGCTGGGCCACCAGCTCTGTCCAGGAAGCAGTTCAGCCCGAGCGTGGGACTCGGGACTCCAGGACTCCAACCCCCAGCCAACCAAAAACAACTCGACTTTGAAAACTGGCTCAACTCTCAGCACTACATACTGAGTACTGGCCGGAGTGATCCCTGAGCACCACCAGGAGTGGCTCAACCCCCCTGAAATAAATGCCAATACAGGGGGCTGGAGAGATAGCACAGCGGGGAGGGCGTTTGCCTTGCATGCAGCCGACCCGGGTTCGATTCCCAGCATCCCATAGGGTCCCCTGAGCACGCCAGGAGTAACTCCTGAGTGCAGAGCCAGGAGGAACCCCTGTGCATCACCGGGTGTGACCCAAAAAGCAAGTAAATAAATAAAGAAATTCCAACGCATGGCTGGAGCCATAGTGGGTAGGGTGTTTGCCCTGCACACAGCTGACCCAGGTTATATTCTCATCACCCCATATGGTTCCCCGAGCACCACCAGGAAAAATTCCTGAGAGCAGACCCAAGAGTAGCCCCCGAGCACTGCCAGGGGTGACCCCCTCTATCCCCCCAAATTTTCCCAACACAACAAAGAAAGGTATTCAAAGGAGTTCCGGGGGGTCCGAGAGAACACCCCCTCACGTACCAGCTCCCCCGTCTTCTGATTGAGGGTGTAGGAGGAGTTGCTGAAGGCACGGTTGTGCTTGGGGTCGCTGGGCATGAGGATCCCATCCTTGAACCAGGAGAACTCGGGCGGGGGGGACCCCTCCTTCTCCGAGCAGGTGAACACAGCACGGTTCCCGATGGTGGCGGAGGAGGGCACATGTGCCACGGGCTTGGACGGGGGCACTGGAGGCAGAGACAGTGCTGGGGTGGCGGGCAGGGGGTCCCCACACTCCCTCTGGCAAGCCCCCTGCTCTGGCAGCGGGCCCTGAGTTGGGGCTGGGGGGAGTGGAGGGGGGTGGGGGTACGCACCGAGCACAATCAGCTGGATATTGGCCTCCCCGTACGTGTTGCCGTCCCCGTCGGACACCATGCAGGTGTACATCCCCGAATCTTTCCGGGTGACCTCCGTGAAGGCAATCCCGGAGGTCGTGATGCGGACTCTGTCTTTATAAGAAGCTGTGGGGGCAGAGGGGGAGCGTGCAGTGAGAAGCCAGCAAGGGGTACCCAGAAAACCTCCTGGATCCCAGCGTCCCCCATCCCCCCCAGGGCTGCCGGGGGGCCCATCTCACCTGTGATCTTGTTATTATAGCAGACAAGGCTGGTGACGTCCCCATGGGTGAACTTCCATTCCACGCGTGGAGACGAGTAGCCGGAGTAGGAACAGGTCAGGGTGGCAGCTGTGGATGTTGGGAGGACGTGCAGGGAGGAGAGGACGGGATGGACACAGCCCCCACCACACTCCCAACTCCAGCAGGGGTGAGTCCGCCCAGTCCCTGCCCGACCTCCCAAGACCCCAACTCACTACTATTCTCAGGAACACGGACTTCCGGCTGTGACGTATACACAGAGCCCCGGCACGTGGCCACACAGCCTGGAGGGCACATCAGAGGCAGATGCTGGGGAGACGCCACTCCGTCCCTTCCGGGGAAAGGGGCAGGGGTCCCCCGCTTTCCTCTGTCTTCTCTCTCTGCCTCCCCAACCCCGAATAGGACCTAGATCCCATGTCCCGCCCAAAGCCCAGTTCGTCAATAGGTCCTGCTTTGGAGAAAGTGTCCCCACGAGCCACGGAGTCCCATGTCCAGAGAAAAAAGGGGGAGGCATGAGAACCAGCCCATGGCCCAGAGCCCCACCTTGACCTATGCTGTGGGTACCGCTGCCAGAGATTCCCACACTTAGGCCCCGCCCCCAGATTCCCACACTATGGGCTCCGCCCCCAGATTCCCACACTTAGGACCCGCCCCCAGAGATTCCCACACTTAGGCCCCGCCCCCAGATAATGTCACACTTAGGCCCCGCCCCCAGATTCCCACACTATGGGCTCCGCCCCCAGATTCCTACACCATAGACCCCGCCCCCAGAGATTCCCACACTTAGGCCCCGCCCCCAGATCCCCACACTATAGGCTCCGCCCCCAGATTCCCACACTTAGGACCCGCCCCCAGAGATTCCCACACTTAGGCCCCGCCCCCAGATAATGTCACACTTAGGCCCCGCCCCCAGATTCCCACACTATGGGCTCCGCCCCCAGATTCCTACACCATAGACCCCGCCCCCAGAGATTCCCACACTTAGGCCCCGCCCCCAGATCCCCACACTATAGGCTCCGCCCCCAGATTCCCATACTTAGGCCCCGCCCCCGGAGATTCCCACACTTAGGCCCCGCCCCCAGATAATGTCACACTTAGGCCCCGCCCCCAGATTCCCACACTATAGGCTCCGCCCCCAGATTCCTACACCATAGACCCCGCCCCCAGAGATTCCCACGCTGTAGGCCCCGCCCCAAAATAATCCCAGTTAGGCCCCGCCCCCAGATTCCCACACTATAGGCTCCGCCCCCAGATTCCTACACCATAGACCCCGCCCTCAGAGATTCCCACACTTAGGCCCCGCCCCCATATTCCCACACTATAGGCTCCGCCCCCAGATTCCTACACCATAGACCCCGCCCCCAGAGATTCCCACACTTTTAAGCCCCGCCCCCCAGGTTCCCACACTGCAGGCTCCGCCCCCAGAGTCCCACACTTAGGCCCCGCCCCCAGGTTCCCACACTGTAGGCCCCGCCCCCCGAGTCCCACACTGCAGGCCCCGCCCCCAGAGATTCCCCGCTGCAGGCCACGCCCCTCCAGCTCTCCCACAGTCCCCTCCCAGCCCCAGGTCCCAGGTCCCAGGGGAGCCAGCACCCCAACAAGCATCGTGGCACAGTAATCGGCAACTGACCTGCGACGCGGGCTTGCAGAGCAGCTTCTAATTAAACAAAACCAGTCTGTGACTGGTCAGCTCTTCCTCACACTGACTCCAACTGAGGCCACTGACCCCCGGGGCCAGCCCTACCCTGGCGTGACCCATGATCCCAAAGCCCCAAGCTCGCCTGTGCACGTCCATCCCACAGGGGTCCAGGCCCCCCCCAACCCTCACGGGGTGGACCAGCCCACTGAGACTTTCAGGGCCCAGGGAGTCCGTGTGTGAAATGAGATTTGAACAGGTCCAAACTGAGCAAACGGGAAACCCCACGGGGCAAAAGCCCTGCCTGGCACGGGGCTGACCCGGGTTCGGTCCCGTGCCAGGCATCCCATACGGTCCCCCAGCACCAACAGGAGTGATTCCTGAGTGATTCCAGGAGTCATCATGATTCAAAAGCATCGCCATGCAGGGACACAAGAAGAAGGAAAAAAAAAAAGTCTGAACTCAAGGAGGGAGCAGAAGGGGCTGGAGCGACAGCACAGTGGGGAGGGCGTTTGCCTTGCACGCGGCTGACCCGGGTTCGATTCCCAGCATCTCATATGGTGCCCTGAGCACCGCCAGGAGTGATTCCTGAGTGCAGAGCCAGGAGGAACCCCTGTGCATCGCCGGGTGTGACCCAAAAAGGAAAAAAAAAAAGGGAGCAGAAGAGCTGGGAGGGAATGGGCTGGAGAGACAGTGTCGCCGGCAGGTGCTTGCCTGGCCCCAGGCTCACCAGGGCTCGGTCCCCGAGCCCACCTGAGTCCCTCAGCCTCAGCCCCACGCACTGCATCACGCAGGAGAACAGGCGCTCACACAGAAACAAACTCTCGGCCACTCCCCCAAGCGCCAACCTCCGTGCCCCTCCCTCCGTGGCCCCACCCCAGGGCGACACTCCCTGACTCTCCACAGACAGGAACCGGGCACCCCAGGAGACAGGGCTGGTTTGTTATTCCAGTTCTGGGCAATCAGCTGGGCGGTGTTAGGGACGTTGCACAACAGGGAAGGCGCCTCCCACCGCCGCCTCCCCCCTCCTTCCCGCTGGCCCAGGTCTGTCTGCACAGGGCAGGGCCTGCAGAGGAGAGAGAGGCGCTTCCAGACAAGGAAGCAGGGGCACCCACCAGAGCGCCCCTCTTTCTGCTAAGGGACCCCACCTGCCCGGTCTTCAGGCGTGAGCCCAGCACCAGACCCCAACTCTGGAGGGGTGGCAAAGGGAACACGGGACCCCGAGGTCAAGCCCACCAGCCTCCGACACAGTAGACGACATTTCTAGAACCTTCCCGGGGGGAGCCCAGAAAAAAAGTCATTGTCTCCAGGTGACGGAGCTAACGGGGGCAGAGTGAGGACCCTACCCGGGCCACCAGCTCCTGCCCGCAGCGGGCATGTCTCACATGAGACTTACGTCACGCCCTAACACAGAGGCTGGCACCGTGCCCGACTCCCCAAGGGTGTGAGAGGCAGAGCACAGGCTTCAGAGTTCAAGATTTGCACCACACCTGCCAGCTCATCGCTGGTGTGGCCCACGGCCCTGAACGCTGACCCCGCTGGGCCCTGCCCGACAGGGTGCGGCCCCTGGAAAAATAAACAGGCTAAAATCAACACGAACCCACACAAGCCTCTACGATGCCCTCCAGAGCTGGAGGCAAGTTTGCTTATCACCTCACGCCGTCCGTGCCCCTGCCACAAGAGGGAAGCCCGAGCGCAAAGTTCAGCGGGGAGGGCATTCGCCTGGCACGTGGCTGACTTGGGTTCCGATCCTGGCATCCCACATGGTCCCCCGAGCACCGCCAGGAGATTCCCGAGTGCACAGCATCGCTTTGGGTGGCCCCAAGAGAAAATTAAAATGAGTTTCAACTCAAGGAGGCAGCAGAAGAGGGGCTGGAGCGACAGCACAGCGGGGAGGGCGTTGGTCTTGCACGCGGCCAACCTGGGTTCGATCCCCGGCATGCCATCTGGTCTCCCAAGCTCTGCCAGGAGTAACCCCTGAGCATCGCTGGGGGTGACCCAAAAAGCCAAAAAAAGGAGCTGAAGTGATAGTACAGCAGGGAGGGCATTTGCCTTGCACGCGGCCGACCCGGGTTCGATTCCCAGCATCCCATAGGGTTCCCCGAGCACCGTCAAGGTGGTTCCTGAGTGCATGAGCCAGGAGGAACCCCTGTGCATCGCCAGGTGTGACCCAAAAAGCAAAAAAAAAAAAAAAGAAAGAAAGAAAGAAAGAAAGAAAAAGAACGGAGCAGAAGAGCAGAGTACTGGTAGGCTGATAGGATGCTTGCCTGGCTCCCAGCTCTGCAGGGCTTGGTCCCTGCAACACCCCAGACCAAAAAGAGAGAGTAAAAGCCAGGGAAACCAGGGTGCGGACTGCAGGAGGAAAAACCAAAATAGGACAGAATCGGCATGGAGAAGCAAAAACAAAAGGCGAAGATACAGAGGAAGGAAAGAAAATAAATAACAGGAAACTTCCACAGAGCATCCGGCGGGGAGGGACCAAAGGAGCCATCCATCCCCTGGGCGGGTGATGGAAGGTGAGAGGTGACCGTTGGCCATAGGGGGTCCTGAAGGGGGGGTGGGCGCATTCCCCAGGGAGGCCCCTGAGAGAGAACCCCATTTCCTGGAGCACAGGAGAGGCAGGAAACTCGCACTATGTGATTTATAAAGGACAGGGCTCAGGCGGCGCTGGGGGACACCCCGAGTTGAATCCCTGGCACTGACAGCCCCCAAACCTCCCCGCACACACACCCAAGTGCCACCAGGAACAACTAGAAGTCCCAGAACAGCGCCCGAAAGCAAGCCACGTGAGTGCAGCTGCTGGCCACCGGCTTCCCCGCACGCTGCCATCGGCGAGTTTCTCATTAAATTTTCAGATCGTTGTACAATTGAAAGCCAAGCACAACAATTTGTAAATCTTTAACTGCACCTCATGGTGTTTCTCTAACAAAAATTAAAAAATATATATATATAAATGATGGAGAATGGGCACTGGTGGAGGGATGGGTACTGGATCATTGTATAACTGAAACCCAAGCAGAAAAATTTGTAAGTCTACAACTGAACCTCATGGTGTTTCACTAATAAAAACTTTTAAAAAATCAAATAAATAGGGGCTGGAGCAATAGTACAGCTGGTAGGGCATTTGCCTTGCAAACAACTGACCAGGGTTCGATTCCCAGCATCCCATAGGATCCCCTGAGAACCGCCAGGAGTAACTCCTGAGTGCAGAGCCAGGAGTAACCCCTGTGCATTGCCGGGTGTGACCCAAAAAGAAAAAAAAATCAAATAAATAAAATTTAAAAAGATAAAAAAATTAAAAATAAATAAAAAGTGGGGCTGGAGTGATAGCACAGTGGGGAGGACGTTTGCCTTGCACGAAGCCAACCCGGGTTTGATTCCCAGCAACCCATGGGGTCCCCCGAGCACCGCCAGGAGTGATTCCTGAGTGCAGAGCCAGAAGTAACCCTTGTGCATTGCCGGGTGTGACCCAAAAAGCAAAAAGATAAAAAAATTTTAAAAAGAAATTTTTTTTCAGACACCAGCCGGCAGCAGATGAGACTGGCACGACGCTCCGGAGAGCAGCTCCAAGCTGGATGCAGTTCTGCAAGTCCGAGCGCCGGCCACGCCGCTGGACCACACCACCTGGAGACAAGTACGGAAACTCCATCCGTCCTGGTCCTGCGAGAGCCTCTTCAAATGTCCCTCGCTCCTTGGGGCCCCTCCCCAGACAAACCGCACTTTCACCGACTTCTAGGAACGCGTTCTAGAAGCCTGTGATTTTTTTAAGAAAACAAAACCAAGGGTCAGCCGGGGAACTGTGAGGCAAGGAGAGCACAGTGTGACTTAATAGCACTGTGGTAGTTCTGTCCTCCCGTTGTTCATCGATTTGCTCGAGCGGGCACCAGTAACGACTCCACTGTGAGACTTGTTGTTGCTGTTTTTGGCACATCGAATACGTCACAGGGAGCTTGCTAGGCTCTGCCATGCGAGTGGGATACTCTCAGTAGCTTGCCGGGATCTCCGAGAGGGAGGGAGGAATCGAACCCGGGTCAGCCGCAGGCAAAGAAAACGCCCTACCCGCTGTGCTATCGCTCTAGCCCTGTGACTTAACAGAGGAAGAAAACAGAAATGCACACATGCCCATCTGCACAGGTGATGCAGGGCCCTGGCTTAGGTGCAGGATATTAGAGAAAGGGGGTCGTTTGGAGCCAATGGGGAAGGGGGTAACACAGAGAGAGGGCTAGGGGGTCTGCTCTGCCCCAGATTCTAACCAGCACAGAGTCAGGAGCCCCTGGGCATCTCCAGGTGTGGCCCAGGCACCAAACAAGAAATCGCTTTAAGGGGGCTGGAGCGATAACACAGAGGGTAAGGCGTTGGCTTTGCACGTGGCCGACCCGGGTTCGATCCCCAGCATCCCATAGGGTCCTCCAAGCACCGCCAGGAGTAACTCCTGAGTGCAGAGCCAGGAGTAGCCCCCTGAGCATTGCTGGGTGGGACCCAAAAAGAAAAAAAAAAATCTCTTTAAACTGTTTTGCTGGGGCTGGAGCGATAGCACAGCAGGGAGGGCGTGGGCCTTGCACGCGGCTGCCCCGGGTTCGATTCCCAGCATCCCATAGGGTCCCCTGAGCACCGCCAGGGGTAATTCCTGAGCGCAGAGCCAGGCGTGACCCCTGTGCATTGCCGGGTGTGACCCAAAAAGCAAAATAAATAAATAAATAAACTGTTTTGCTGAGCGCACATGTGCACCGTCCCTCAGGGACGCCCCTCCATGGCCACACAACACAGTTCTCCGAGATCCCGGCCACAAACATTTATTTCCGGAACCCCCTGAGCATCTTCCCACCATCCGACACAGAACATGCAGCATTTCTCAGCGCAGACGTGTTTTCCCAGCTCTATCGCCGCACAAACATGGTCCTTGGAGGATGCGGCATGGCGGCCCTGGACCCCTGGGGACCGGAGAGAGGCCCGGAGAAGCCAGACGGAGCCAAGGGGGCCAGAGAGGGGAAGCGAGGCTGAGCTGATCCGAGAGAGGGCGAAGGCTCCAGGTGACCAGCCAGCCCAGAACACATTCCCACACAGCTGCTCACTGCTTTACTGAGAAACCTTTGTTGAGATTCACAGGGGTAAGGCGGGGTCTGGGGGGGGAGGGGCGGGGGTCTGGCAGTGGCCAAAGCCCGGTCCCATCCCCCAAACCCTGCCAGGAGTGATCCCTGAGCTCATGGCCAGGAGTAAAGCTGTGAGCACTCCCCAAACACAAAAACAAACCGAGTCTTTTTCTCTCTCTCTCTCTCTCTCTCTCTCTCTCTCTCTCTCTCTCTCTCTCTCTCTCTCATTTCCTGTTAATTATTAGAATTGTTTTCGCCAGGACTCGGAATTCTTTTCTAAGGTGGGGAGAGAGAGGCTGCCTCGACTTCCCAGCTCATCCCACTTTCCTCTGCACTGGGGTCTCCCAGGAACCCAAGAACAGGTGGAAGGCACCAGGGGGTCCCTCCACCTCTGCCTTCCCACACCCCACCCCATGGCTGGTTTCACCCTCAGGTGCAGAGCTCAGCACCCAGAAGTCCAGAATTTGGCGGGCTTGGGGATGGGCAGCGGGTCTGGCCAGGCAGTTAACCCTGCCCCCACCTCTCCCGAGGGCTTTACTGCCCCCTGCAGTGGGAGGCGGGGCAGGATGGCACAGGCAGGAAGGAGGGGGGTTTTGCGGGCCCCTCGGTGGGGGTGGGGGTGGCCAGTCCTCCCGGGAGCACTTTCAGAGACTTGGATCTGCTGCCAGAAGGGACAGAAGTTCTATGCAAAGGCTGCGGGATTCCTGCCTCCAGCTCCTGGCTCCGGGGCTGCGGGCTCCCAACTCTGGCTCCCTCTGGTAGCGGAATTTCCAGTCGGACCGGCTGAATTCCTCCCCCTCCCCCGCAGGGAAAGCGGCCAGCCCCGGGCTCTCCAGGCCTGGCACCCAACTTCCGCCAGCTGCTTCCTCCTCCCCCACACAGGAAAACTCACTGACACCAGCCCGGACTTTGGATGCAGCCTGGCTTATGGGGGAGTCCTAGACAATATGACCTGAAGCTCAAGGCTGGAAACCCACCCACCCACCCACACCCCCCCCACCACACACACACACACACACACACACACACACACACACAATCCCAGGGTCTCCCTCTGGAAGGGAAGCTAGTAAGACCAACAGCAGCAGGTGTAAAAAAAAAAAAATTCCAGAGACAAGGACAGGTGAATGTCTGCAGAAAAAATGGGGCAGGGGGTTCAGCAAGCAAAGAGACCCCATGATTGGCGTCCACACCCCCCCATAGAAAGTGGAATTAAGTGGACGTAGCCCCCCCACCCCCCCCAGCGCCATCTGCCGGCAGGGACCTCCCCACACAGAGAAGCCCAGGGAGTTTCGGTGGAAGCGAAAGTGACCAGGACTGGAATTCCAGGGCCCAGTTCCTGGTTCCATCAGTGCCCCGTCACGGGCTTCAGGTTTCCAGGGAAGTTATTTCCTGGGAGTCAATTCACTGGAGAGCAGGGGCGCCGAGGAGAGGGCTCAGAGAGGGAGTGACTCATGGTTACAGCAATTCTAAGTCTAACCCGGAGCCAGGAAGCTAGAAAGAACGTGCCCAGGAAACCAGGCTGCCGCAGACGTGGGGGACGGGGCAGACCCCAGAAACTCCAGTGGTTGAGAGGTCCAGACAGGCTTCAGCCTTTGTTCCCCTTTCTCCAGAGTGGTTAAAAAGCAGTTTCCCCGACGCTGAACGTCTGCGTCACCCACTGACCACTCACCCGCCCCTCCCCACCACCACAAAGACTCGGGGGCGAGGCGGGTGACCCGCATGGCATTCCCACCCAGCTCGGGTGGTCCCTGGGCCTGGTTTCCCGGGTTGGGCCTGGGTCTCCTGACTAGGCCACTCAAGTGGGGGAGGGGGAAATCTCACGCAGGGCAGCCCCTCCTTTCAGGGTCCCTCCTTCCTCATCCGCTGACCCCCCTACCAGGACAGGCTGCACTGCCCCACCCTGGCTGACCCAAAGGCTAATAGCTGGGGTGGTGGCTGCCCGCTAATGACCCCTTCCTGCATGCCTGCAACCATTACCCCGGCTGGCCGGCTCCCCTGGGCAGGGGAGGTCGGGGGTGCATGCGAATCACACCTCCCCACCCGCAGGAATGGCATTTCCAGAGACTTTCCAAATTTTCTAGGGCTCCCATCTCAGACCCTCCCCCCAAATCCAGCCCCCAGCACAGAATATCCGTTATTCAGTTCTTATTGCTGCAAAAGGGTTACTGTGTCTCAAAAGATGGGGGCGGAAGGTGGTTGTGTGGTGGAATTCCCACCTTGCATGCATGAAGGGCCAGGGGATCACTGCCAGAAAAACAAATCCCTATCCCCCCTCAAAATTATATATATATATATATATATATATATATATATATATATATAGTTTCAAAGAGAACTGGTATGAACTTAGCAGTAGATGCCCGGTTCCACCAGGTTACCCTGAGGACAGGTAACCCATCCCCAGCAACAACAACAACAGAAAGAAAGAGGCTGAGAGAGAGGGAAGAAGCAGGGAGAGGAGGAGGAGGAGGGACGGGAAAGAGGAGGAGGGAAGGGGAGGGGGTGGAGGGGCCTTGTGGCCTCGGGTCACTCTGGGCGGCCGGGGGTGCTGAGGGCAGAGCGGGAAAGGGATGAACCAGCGGGTCCGCGTCCATCCCAGGCCCGGGTCCGTCTGCAAAAACCATTTCCCGTCTCCGGGACGTTTCCTTCTCGGGACAATAGTTGGGGGGGGGTGGGGGGGTGGGGGGACAGGACTTGCCCTGGGCTCCGGCCGGCCGAGCTTTGATAAGGGACAAAGGAGAGGTGAGCGCGCCAGGCCAGGCGACTCCACCCTCAGCAGCCGCCAAACAAAGCCCGCGGGAGCCGGAGATTTCCTGCGCCTCCCTGGGGGGGTAGGGGGGTCCCCCGGCCCCCACGCGCGCACGCGGACAGGTGCGCGCCGGCCGGCCGCCAGGAAAAGTTGCTCTCACCAAGGCACGGGCTGCCCTGCAGGGCAGGGGAGGGCGAGGCGGCTTCTGGAAGGATCAGGCCAAGCCAAGGGCAGAGACTCCCCGGGGAGGGGCCCCGGGTCAACGCACTCCGTGCGGGCGGCCGAGTGCGCGCCGAGGCGCTGCGGGTTCCAACCCGATCGCCGGGGACTTTGCTCCCGCCCCCCTAACCCGGGACGCCGGGGACACCCCCGGGAGGGCCAGCGGCCACCTCCGGGAGCCTTCTCCGGGTCCGGCGACGGCGGGGAGAGGCAGAGGGCCGACCCCCGGCGAAGGAGCTGGCCCGGAGGCCGCGCGCGAGGCCCTGCGCCCAGCAGCACGGAAACGTGGGGAGGGGGTCTGGGGGCGCGGGCCAAGCCCTCCCCGTTATTCTCGGGGGTCGCAGGAGGGCCCTGCGCGGGAGGACAGCTAGGGGGGTCCCAGCTCCGCGACTGGGGGGCAGCAGCGCGGAACGGGGTGCGGAAGGGAAGGGGCGAGCCCGGGAACACCCAGACGCGCGCGGGGGTCGCCAAGTCCCGGGGCGCCCCTTCCTCGATCCCGCGGGTCCAGGGCGCGATCGGCCGACTCCTCCCGACCCCCAGAACTCACACAGAACCACCGACGTGAAGAACAGCCACCGCCGCCTCCCGGCTGGCGACCCCGACCCCATGGCGACGAGGACCCCGAGGGAGAGACGCGCCCGCCGCCGCCGCGCCCCGACTGTGCGGTCGCCAGGTGGGGCGCGCGAGGCCACGCCCGTGAGGCCACGCCCCCTGGGTCCGATTGGCTCGGCGCGGTTGGCGGTGGGAACGCCCCCGTCTCCCATTGGCGGAGAGCACGGCCGCCGGGCCCGCCCCCGCGTCCGATTGGCGAAGAGCGCGGCAGCCGGACCGAATGACTCACGCGGCCAGGTGCAACCCCGCCCAGGACCCCCTTGCAGCCGGGCGCCTCCGATTGGCCGCGGGGACTGTCGATCTGCAGGGCTGCTCACCTTCTGCAGGTGAGGCTGTGCGCGGGTCCCGGGGTCCTGGGGACTGCGCGGGGCTGGGGGTCGGGGACCCCGGCCGGGATGAGGCAAGTCCAAGAGCCGCCTTCTTCGCCGTGGGTATGGGACGCGCGAGGGGAACGCAGGTGAGAAGGCAGGGTTTCACCCCCAAACAGCACAGAGGGACCCGGACAGGGGCTTTCGGTGACAGATACAAATGCATTCTTTCTATTTTATTTTATTTTATTTTTTGATGCATTCTTTTATGTTATGCATTCTTTTATTTATGCATTCTTTTATGTTATTGTGCATTTTTTAATTTATGCATGCATTCTTTTATTTTGCCGAGGCGTCACCAAGGAACTCGGGGGTCACTCACGAGTCTCTCACCTGAGTGAGAAATTTAACATCTTAAAGAAAATTAACATCTAGAAAGAGCTGGGCAGAGCAGGAAATCCGGGAGAGCAAAGGGGTGAGGGAACAGGGCATTTCGGGGAGAAGCTCAAATTGGCTTGAAGAACTCTGAGACTCAGGCCCAGAGCACCGCAGGGCCGTTGTGTTTGTTCGTTTTCTCTTCTGAAAAACCTGCTTTTGGGGCTGGAGCAATAGCACAGCGGGTAGGGCGTTTGCCTTGCACTCGGCCAACCCGGGTTCGATTCCCAGCATCCCATATGGTCCCCTGAGCGCCGACAGGAGTGATTCCTGAGTGCAGAGCCAGGAGGAACCCCTGTGCATCGCCAGGTGTGACCCAAAAAGCAAAAATAAAAACCTGCTTCCTGCTTTTGGCATAAGTCTCAGAGGTTCTAAGAGGTTGGGATCTCTCTGTGAAGCGACTCTGCGAGGGTCCCCAAGGTCTTACCCCAGTTGCCCTAGAGTTTTGTGATCAGCATCTCGAGGTAATCTATGAGATAAGACCTGGAAGGTCTCGCCTAGACGTCCTTCCGGCCTCCTTTCGACCTTGTCCCACTGTCTTGCTGATAACCAAATCCCTCCCTTTGGTACCAGCCTTCCTGCAATCTTTCCATCTGCCCAGTCACTAATGCAAATAGAAAATAGGGGTGGTTTTGTTTTTGTTTCGGCTTTGGACCACACCTGGGAGTGCTTGGGAACTTCTGCTCTGAGATCAGGGATGACCCCCAGCGGTGCTTGGGGGGGAGCTTATGGTACTCTAGAATGATCCCAGCCACCCACATGCAAAGTTCTGAGTCCCACTGACTTATCTCCAGAACTTGCAGACTCAGTCTGGTCTCTCGGAGCTGAGGGTGCAGAGAAGGAAAACAGAGTAGGAGAAATCAAGCAGAATTTCACACCAGGAGGATTCGAGACAGAATATCAAGAGATTAGTCTGGGGGAGGGAGGTGATCCAAAAATCACATGCTTTATGTGGGAGTCCTGAGTGCTCTCTCCTGCCATGTCATCCCCTGAACATCACCACGAATGGACAGGAACAAGAAGAAAAAAAAAAAAAAACCTAGTTTCTGGGGCAGTCTGACTTTGGGCAAATGGTTGGGTTCAGCCTGCCTGCATGGTGGCAATTTTCTGGGATTTCCCTGAACAGGAGGATGGGTTGGAGGGCAGGGGACGTAGAGGAGGACGCCTACCTTACAAGCAGCTGACCCAGATTCCATCTCTAGCACCACAGTCGCTTGAGTCCTGCCAGGAGTGATCCCTGAGCACAGAGCCAGGAGTCAGCCCTGCGCAGTGCCAAGTATGGCCCCCAAACCAAAAAAAATAAACTTTAAACAATTGGGAGATGGGGGGGAGGCTGGGCGCTGGAGGTGGAACTCAGGGCCTCCCACACACCAGGTAAATGCCGCGGGGTCTCCCAACCCTGTCCCCGTCCCCACCAATTTAAATACGACCCATCCGCATGTTGGTTTGGTGCTTTATCAGATGCTAGAATTCGGCTAATCTGATCAACGCAGATCAAGCGCTGGCTTATTCAGATGTCCTGTTTCGGGCCTCAGAGGACCCTGGTCAGAGTCACTCATGTCTACTTCCAGGCTTCCCCCCCACACACACCCGCTGCCCATGAGGGCTCAGAACCTGCATGGTGTGAAATTCTGCTTGACTTCTTGTACTTTGCTGTTTCTCTCTTGGTTTCTTGTGCTGTGTTTGTCTGTTGGGTTTTTGCCCTGCGCGAGACTTGCGCTGACTTGTCTTTCTGCCCTTCTTTGATGCCCTCCAAATTCCAACGCTGAGTTAGAGTCTGACGTCTTCCCCACTTGAGGTTCACGAAAGAATTCCTTAAGCACCACCGAAAGAACCTCAGTGGGGGGTTGGAGCCATAACACAGCGGGGAGGGCGTTTGCCTTGCACGCGGCCGACCCGGGTTCGATTCCCAGCATCCCATAGGGTCCCCCGAGCACCGCCAGGAGTAATTCCTGAGTGCAGAGCCAGGAGGAACCCCTGTGCATCACCAGGTGTGACCCAAAAAGAAAAAAGAGAGAAAGAACCTCACTGTGGACTCAGGAGAGCATACGTGGTGCTGGGGGTCAAACCAGGGTTGACCACCTGACTAGGATTTCATTTTTATATTTTTTTAATTTTGGGGATGCCCCAGAAGTGCTTGAGTCTCCTACAGGCTTGAGGTCCATGGGGTGCTGGAGATAGAACATGGGGGGGGGGGGGTCTTCCTCCCCTCCCCCACCCCCAGAGCCTTGGCTCAGCCCTTTGACCGTTGGATATTCGCTCATTAATATGATAAACTGCCCCCTCTTTTTTTTGCTTTTTGAGTCACACCCGGAGATGCACAGGGGTTACTCCTGGCTCCTACACTCAGGAATTAACTCCTGGCAGTGCTCAGGGGACCCTATGGGATGCTGCGAATCAAACCCGGGTCGGCCGTGTGCAAGGCAAACGCCCTACCTGCTGTGCTATCACTCTAGCCCCGAAAACCTGCCCCTTCTGCCTGTCACCAGCTCCCGGCTCCTGCCGCCACCTGCAAGAACATCTATGCCCTTGGATTTCCGTTGTATTGGCTTTCAAACAATAGTCTCAGGCTTCGGGTGCTTTTTTCTGGGAGTCGGGGAAAACCCTCGGATTCCATCTGTGACCGCAGAAGGAGGCGTCCCTAATCCCTGAGGGAGATAAGGGGATTGACAGCTGGAAGAGATACAATGTAACCTGTCTGGTGACATTTGTGAGAACTCTTCCCAACTTTTTCCCAGGCCTCATTTCGCCCTGGGAATCCACAAGAGGGGCAATAAAATGTGTCCATCTGTGTCTGCAGCCCATAAAGAAGGGTCTGAGCAGGGCCGAGGGGGCAGAGCGCCCCTGTGTCCTTCAAGAATTGCTCCATCCCTTTTGGTTTATCTGCCTGGTGCGTTCCCGGCTCCTTCAGCTGGAGGGAGGTCAGCTCAGGCACCGAGAAGTGCAGAATCTTCATTCTTCTCATTCTTGTGAAAGAAAAAAAAAAAGGTACAAGCGTCTGGAAGCAGCTCAGAGCAGGGGCCCTGCTAGAGCGAGTGACCATGGCACCACATCTGGACGAGCGCTGACCCCCAAGAGGCCAGAGCAGCCCTGTGCCCAGGCCACTACTGCCTTGTCAACAGAGGTGACAAGGGCCTATTGTGAATTATCAAGGCAGATAAGATTGAAATGTGAGGGTCTGGAGTGATAGCACAGCAGCGGTAGGGTGTTTTCCCTCCAGGCGGCTGACCGATGGGGGTTCGATTCCCAGCATCCCCTGAGCACCGCCAGGAGTGTGCAGAGCCAGGAATAACCCTTGTGCATTGCTGGGTGTGACCCAAAAAGAAAAAAAAATATTGTTAGTGGGATATTGCTCGGGAGCACGAGATGATTCTGGAAGTCCGGAGAGACCTCAAGAACAGTGAAGTAGGACTCAGCTGCGAAGGAATGAAGTCACTAGGGCCTAGAGGGTGTGCACCAGCCTGGCTGGAGAAGGGGCGCTTGCCCACAAGGCAGGGACACAGGACCTGACGCTGGTGCCTTACTGCCCGGCCGGCCTGCCTGCTCACCGTGGTGGCAGAAGGCCAGGGCATAGGCGGGGACCGCCCATCAAGATGAGGAAACCCGGTTAATGAGGGAGAAAGGAATGTTCTCGGGGCAAGATAAGTCCCAGCACACCTTCCTCAAGTAGGAGAAAGCCAAGGGGACAAGTTAGAAGCTGGGGTGACGGTTTAGCAGGCAGAGGAGATGGTGGGTGTGGTGGTGGCCGGGCGGACATCAGGGTAGAAGTGGCCAGAAAGGAGCCTGGGGGATCTCTGTGCCCATACTGCCCCCTGTGTGGACACTGGGTGATTTTTTTCCTTTTTGGGGGGAGTCACACCCGGTGATGCTCAGGGGTTCCTCCTGGCTCTGCGCTCAGGGATCATTCCTGGCGGTGCTTGGGGGACCCTATGGGATGCCAGGGAACGAATCTGGGTCGGCCACGTGCAAGGCAAACGCCCTCTCCGCTGTGCTATCGTTCCAGCCCTCATTTGGGATTACAGTCAAGCCTAGTCCAAGCTACACAGATGGTCCAGGGATTGAAGTGCTTGCCTTGGCAGGCATATGATGCCCGAGCCCATGTGCTGCTTGCGCCCACGTGGCCGAGCACATGTGGTGCCCGAGCACCTGTGTCGCCCGCATCTCCCCTCTTGAGATGTGGACTTTCATGTTTTTGTGTCTAATGTGAGGATGTGTGTAGGGGCTCTCTCCGCTTGGAGAAGCCCGTGTTCTCTCTTGAGTGTGTTTCTCTCTCTCTCTCTCTCTCTCTCTCTCTCTCTCTCTCTCTCTCTCTTTCTCCCCCCCACCCCTTCCACACCTTAAAAACCCTCCAAATAAAATCTATTTATTTAAAAAATAAATAGGGCTGGAGCAATAACACAGCGGGTAGGGCATTTGCCTTGTACGCGGCCGACCTAGGTTCGATCCCCAGCATACCATATAATCCCCCGAGCACCTCCAGGAGTAATTCCTGAGTGCACGAACCAGGAGTAACTCCTGTGCATTGCCAGGTGAGACCCAAAAAGCAAATAAATAAATAAAGTGCTTGTCTTGGGGCTGGAGCGATAGTACAGTGAGGAGGGCGTTTGCCTTGCATGCGACCGACCCGGGTTTGATTCCCAGCATCTCATAGGGTCCCCTGAGCACCGCCAGGAGTGATTCCTGAGTGCATGAGCCAGGAGTAACCCCTAAGCATTGCCGGGTATGACCCAAAAAGCAAAAAAATATATAATAAATAAAAATAAAGTGCTTGCAGGGGGTAGGGCGTTTGCCTTGCATGCGGCCAACACGGCCGACCCAAGTTCGATTCCTTTGCCCCTCTCAGAGAGCCCGTCAAGATACCGAGAGTATCTTGCCCGCATGGCAAAGCCTGGCAAGCTACCCGTGACGTATTCAATATGCCAAACACAGTAACAAGTCTCACAATGTTACTGGGCCCGCTTGAGCAAATCGATGAACAACGGGAAAACAGTGACAGTGACAAAAATGCAAACTTTATCATTAAGGCCCCATGTAACTGCACACAGTTTAAACTACCTAGATAAGTAGGTATATGACTCCTGACTATAACTGAAAAATCAAATTCTACTACTTAAAAATAAATAAATAAATTAAAAAGGTAAAAGGCCCTCCCGTTGATCGTCTATTTGCTCGAGCGGGCCCAGTAACGTCTCCATTGGAGACTTTGTTGTTACTGTGTCTGGCATATCGAATACTCTCGGTAGCTTGCCGGGCTCTCCGAGAGGGGCGGAGGAATCGAACTCGGGTCGGCCATGTTGGCCGCGTGTAAGGCGAACGCCCTACCCGCTGTGCTATCGCTCCAATAATAAAGTGCTTGCCTTGTGACCCTATGGGTTCCTAGCACCCCAAAGGGGGTCCCTCTTGAGTCTGGCCAGGCATGAGCGCTCAGTGGAGAGCCAAGAGTGAGCCTTGAGCATGCCTGGGTGTGGCCCCCCAACCAAAACAAAAAAAAAAATCAAGATGAGCAAGGAGCTGTGTGTTTTCTTGTAAAAGACCCACGAGAATGGAGATGAGGGCGCTGGAGCGATAGCACAGCGGGGAGGGCATTTGCCTTGCACGCGGCCAACCCAGGTTCGATTCCCAGCATCCCATATGGTCCCCTGAGCACTGCCAGGAGTAACTCCTGAGTGCAGAGCCAGGAGGAACCCCTATGCATCGCCTGGTGTGACCCAAAAAGAAAAAATAAAAGAATGGAGATGAGACCCAAGGCAGATGTTCCTAGTGCCACCTCCCAGGAGTCTCAAGCCCCAGACCCCCTCCCTGCGCTCAGATCCGTGGGCTGTGCCCTGGCCAAGTGCGGCTACAAGGGGTCTGGACTCTCCGGACACTCGGACACCCAGAAGCGTGACCCCACCTCTGCGTAGTCTTCCGTAGAAAGCAGTGTGGGAGAGAAAGTCTGCCAGAACAGGACGGAACCGCCCCGTGACCCACTTACAGGGGACCCGAGAGAGGCCTGGACAAAGCAGGACCTTGGAGAAGGCTGCTGGGCGCCCCGGGTACAAATCGCAGCACTGTGGGGCAGAGCCCACAAAGTCCAGCTGTCCCAAGAGGCCCCATGCCGGGCTTCTGTCCTGGCTCGCAGCCACCCAATAGCTGAACCTCTGGGAGGGCGGGGGTGGCCTGAAGGCAGCGTGGGAATGAAGGACACGGGAGGAGAGCGTGACCAAGCACGTGGGAGAGATTTTTAGGACACTGCCTCCAGGCCCTGGGCTGGAGTGACAGCACAGTGGGTAGGGCGTTTGCTTTGCACACAGGTGACCCGGGTTCAATTCCTCTGTCCTTCTTGGAAAGCCCGGCAAGTATCCCGCCGGCACGGCAGAGCCTGGCCAGCTCCCCGTGGCATATTCGATATGCCAAACACAGTAACAACAAGTCTCACAATGGAGACGTTACTGGTGCCGGCTGGAGCAAACCGATGACCAATGGGATGACAGTGCCTCCAGGCCCGGCTCTACCCTTCCACACAGAAGCCTTTGGCCCAGATGTGCAGCCCACAAGGTTGAGATTCTGGCCGGGAGCTTCCAGAAGGAAAGCACTGTGGGGAGGGGAGGAAGGAGCCCCGTTATGGCCCCCATCAGGTGGGCCCAGCAGAGACGCACGCAGTTCCATGTCTGAATGAGAACGTTTATTGTTGGGCGGTTTGGGGGGCATAGGGGGCTCACACCACTTCCTTCCCAGGTGCCAGGGAGGGTCACCAGCTGCCCACTCCTCTAGCCGCACTCCTGGGCCCACTCTCTATAGGCCCCTGCGTAGTTCCGGGCCCTGCGGAGACAGGGGGTGAGGGACGGGACGGGGGAAGAGTCGGGCGCGCCCCTCCATCCTCCCCTTCACCGGCCAGTACCCGTTGTGGCCCAAGCGCTGGGCCAGCTGCGTGGCCAGGGCACCCCGCTTGCCAATCTGGCAGAAGAAAACCAGGTTCTCCTCCCCCGGCTCCGGCTTCTCGGCGGTGTAGGCAGCGCGGAAGGCTGCGGGTTCCATCTGCAGGGCGGCCTCCAGCTCCGACACTGCGGGTAAGCCGGGGTTCAGGTCCCGGGGCGCACGGGCCCCGCGCCCACCCAGCACCGTGCGCGGCTCCAGGGAGAGCTGGGGGACCCCTCCCCGCTGGAGATCCCCCGCTACAAAGGCCGTTTTCCAGGCCGGACCCCTCCCCACCCCAAAAAAAATCAGCGCCCTCCCCGACTATCAGCACGCGCGCTCAAAGCCATGACCCCCCCTGGCCAAGGCCTGCAGGCCACGCGGGCAGCCCCCAGCCCTACCCGGGATGTTGAGCGCGCCGGGGATGGTGCCAGCCGCCACCTCCTCCCGCGTACGCACGTCGATAAGCCGGACCCGGCCCGTCGCCAGGAGCGCGCGCAGCTCCGGGAGCGCGATCGTGGGCACTGCGGGGCGGCGGGGCGTGAGCGGCGCGGCCCCCGGGACCCCTCCCGCCCCGCGCCCCTGCGTCCCGGAGGGTCACCCGAGCGCCTCCCCGTCTCTCGGTTGGCACCGCCCCTCCCCTGCGCTCCTCCTCCGCCCCGCCCGCCGGCACCTCCCGCGCGTCCCGGGACCCGCGCGCCCCCGCGCCCCCCGCGCCCCGCCGGTACCACCAGTCATGCTGCGCGCGCGCGTGCCAGGAGCGCGACACCTGCCCGGCCGGTCCCCCGCGCGCCCGCAGCGTCGCCCGCACCTGCCCAGCCACCCGGAACCGGAAGACGAGGCCGCCCCGCCCCCGGCGGCCAGCGCTGACCGCCTCCAGGGACCCACAAAAAGGAGACCGGGAGACCACGGTGGCTCTGAACATTTTATCTTAGAAAAAAGAAAGACAGAAAGGAAGGAGGAGAAGCGGCCACCAGGGGCCCCGGCGGGCCCGTCCTCCCGGGCTCCCTGCTTGCTTGCCGGCCCCTCCTGGGCATCGCCCCGCGCCTCGTGGCCAGTCCTGGGATCCCCGGGGCCCCCTGGGCTCCGGGACAGAAGAGGCCGGGAGGCGCCGTCCAGGGCGGCCGGGCCTGGCCGGTGGGCGCCTCCCGTGGCACCGTAGACGGGGCGGGCCGGGCCGCTCCGAGGTGGGGCCGCAGCTGTCCCCGCGCCCTGGGCTCCGCGGCCCCCCTGCAGTTCTCGGGAAGGCCCCGGCCTTCAGTTGCTGTCGTTCTTGATAACCACCTCGACCCCGTGGTGCCGCAGCTGCGCGCGGAGCAGCAGGTTCTTGTTCTTCAGATCCTCCACCTGGGGCGAGGAGGGGCCGGTGAGGGCGCGGCCCCCACCCCACCCTGCGCGCGTGCACGACGCCCCTCTGCCCCCGGCCGGCCCGGAGAGCGGCCAGCCGCGCGCACCTGCTGGCGCAGCACGTCGTTGTCCAGCTGCAGCTGGTCCAGGCCCTGCAGCTCCTCGGAGAGCCGGTGGTTGCTCTGCCGCAGCTCCTGGATATAGTCGCAGGCCTTGGACAGGATGCCCCCTTTGCTCTGCAAGGTCGCGGGTGTCAGCTGGCACTCTCCGGGGAGGCGCACGGGAGAGGGGGGCGACAGGCGCCCTGAGACCCCCGGGATCCCAGGGACTGGGGCGGGTGATCACTCGTTCCTGGTGTCTCCGGACACGCCCCCGGCCTCTGGACACGCCCCAGGTCACTGAACGCGCCCCCAATCCCTGGACACGCCCCCGGTGTCTCTGGACACGTCCCTGGTCTCTGAACATGCCCCCAGCGTCTCAGGACACGCCCCCAGTGTCTCTGGACATGTCCCTGGTCACTGAACACGCCCCCGATCCCTGGACACGCCCCCGGTGTCTCTGGACACGTCCCTGGTCACTGAACACGCCCCCGATCCCTGGACACGCCCCCGGTGTCTCTGGACACGCCCCCGGTGTCTCTGGACACACTCCAGATGTCTCTGGACATGTCCCTGGTCTCTGAACACGCCCCCGATCCCTGGACACGCCCCCAGCGTCTCTGGACACGCCCCCGGTGTCTCTGGACACACTCCAGATGTCTCTGGACATGTCCCTGGTCTCAGAACACGCCCCCCGCATCCCCGGCCCCGCCCCCTTCCCTCTGGACACGCCCACCCCGCCCTCCCCCTCTGGCCCCTCTGGACCGGACCTGGCCGGACTTGGTGCTCTCCATGGAGCAGTCCGGGATGATCTTGGACAGCTGCACTATCCAGTTGTTGATCTTGTCGCGGCGGCGGCGCTCCACTGGGGGACAGACGAGGAGGGGTCCGGGGATTCAGAGGGGGGCCCGCCCCAGGCGCGCCCCCTCCCCGCCCTCCCTGCCCACTGCCCCCTGCCCCCACCTTCGTTGTGCTGCGCCCGGCGCTTCTCGTCCCGCGTGGTCCGCGGCGCCTCCGACTTCCTGGCACCGGCCCCGGGAGGGGAGGGGGGACAGGGGGCAGTGGTGAGAGGCGCTGTGGGCAGTGGCCGGGCCGGCCAGCCGGCTCCCACCCGCTCCCCGCATTGGCTACTCACGGGGAGTAGGGGTGGGTTCGGGGGGCGATGGAGCGCTGGCCGCCCTGCAGCACCTCCTGCGGCGACATCATCACGAAAAACTGGCCTGGGGGAGTGGGGGTCGGGGCCTGGGTGGTCAGGGCTGGGGCTGGCCCCGGTCCAGCCGCCCCGCCCCCCCAGGGTGGACGGGAAGGAGGAGGACGAGGAGGCCCGGGCGGGCTCGGTGCCGCGCGCGCGGCGGGACCCGGGTTCTCACCGGTGCCGGGAGGGGTGGCCTGCCCCAGGAGGGCCTCGGAGCCCTGGGTGGTGACCACCGCCGCCGCGCTCCCCGACGTCGTGCCCCCCGCCCCATCGCCCACGGCGCCGCTGGGAAAGTAAGTGTAGTGCGTCTCGGCCGCGGTCCCCTCCGTGTCCACTGCGTCATCGCTGGTGAACGCCCCCTGGATCACGGCCTGCGGGGGGCCCCGAGAGAAGCCCCCGTGAGGGGCAGCGGGGGAGGGGGGAGCCCTGGGGGCCGCGCCCCCTCCTCCTCCCCCTCCTCCTCGCGGGGTGCCGCACCTGGGTCATGGACTGGGCAGCAGGGTAGCCGCTGATGGCACCAGTGCCCTCCGTCTGGCCGTCCAGCTGCCCCTCCGACACCTGAATCACCCGGTACATCACCTGGGGGGGCGGAGGGACACGGAGGGAGTGCAAAGAGGAGAGAGCTTGAGTCCCTCCCGGCCCCTCCCCAAACAGGGGCCCCCCAGAAGCAGGCCAGCATCCCCCCACCAGGGCTCCCCCGCAGGGCCGGCCCCCCCTTACCTGGCCCCCATTCTCAGTGCGGAAGACGTACTTGACGTTGGGGTCAGGGAAGGTAGCGGCGGACTGGATGCTGGCGATGGCCACGCTGGTGGGGTCCTCCCCTGTCGCCACCGCGCCTGCGCGGCCAGAGACAGGGAAGCGTGGGCTGGCCGTGCAGCCGGGGGGTGGGGGTACTGGACTCCGCGACCTTGCGCGTGCGCGCGCGCGTGTCCATACCCACCTTCCTGGATTTGCACTGTCCCCTCCTCTGCCTCTGCCGTCTTCTGCTGCCTGTGCGGGGCGGATGGGACCAGAGTCAGGGCCGGGAGGGCCCCGCCGGCTCCCCCAAATAGTGTGCGCCCAGGGTGGGGTCAAAGAGCACCCCAGCACTGCCCAAACCTCCAGCTCGCTCACCCCTTCATCGCTCTGCCAGGGGGTGCATCCGCGGAGCAGGTCCTTCTCTGAGAATCTCTGCACCCGCTGCCCCGCGGGCCTGAGTGCCACGTCCTGGTGGAAATTGCGGGGTGGACATCGGGTGAGTGTGGGGGCACCCAGTGGTGCCCCCCTCCCCGCCGCCCGCTCCTCGCCAGGCCTGAGAAAGGACGCAGCGTGCAGGGGGGGAGGCAGGCAGGAGCCCCGGAGGGTCCCCGCTTTGCTGGAAGCTGTTCAGAGCTGCCTGACATCGGGGGGAGGCTGCAACTTGCTCCAGCGACTCAGGAAGAGGCTGTGCACCCCGATATCTGCCGCAGGGTCTGGAAGGGGAACCCTAACATCAAAAACCACGCTGCCCTCCTCCGGGGAACCACCGGGGTGACCCTCTTTGGGGGAGGAGGCGTCTAGACTTATGCCCCCTTCCACCTCTCCCTAGTTTATTCTCCAAGCCTCCTCCAAGGACGACAGCTAGAAAAATGTTTCCTCGATAACGCCCCATCAGTTGCGTCCGGATGAGGAGGAGGAGGAGATGGAAGAGGAGGAGGAGGAGGAGATGGAAGAGGAGGAGGAGGAGGAGGAGATGGAAGAGGAGGAGGAGGAGGTCTGGAAGGCGCAGTCCCCACACCCAGGAATCGCCCCAGTGGCTGGGGCAGGAAGGGCAGAAAAGAATCTGGCCGCTTGTCCAGAAAGCGGAAGATGTAGCCAAAAGAGAGGCCGGCCTGGGAACGCTCCGGTCCAAGGAGGCCGCGGCCCCCGGGCCCCGCGCCCCCCGAGGAAGTGGACCTGCGCGGGGGAGGAGCGGGCCCCTACGGGGAAGAGGACGGCGCGGGGGACCCCTCGGCCCCCCAGCCATCCTGGACCCCGCGCGCGCGCGCCGCGACCGCGAGGGGGGTGCAAGACGCCAGGACCCGGCGCGCAGCTGTCAGCGCCGTGTCACCCGCCGAGGCCGCGACGGATCCGGGCCCGGGGCCTCCGGAAGCGTTTCCTGCCGGCCCGGCCGGGCACGGGGCGACGTGCCCGCGACCCCCGCCCCCGACACCGGCGGGGAACCGTGTCCCCGGGAACGCGGGGGTCGCGCCGCAGCCGCGGGGCGGGGGCGCAGGGTGTCCCGCCGGCCCAGTGCGCAGGATCGCGGGGGGCGGGGGGCGCACGGGCCCAGTTCCCAGGACAGGGGCGCGCGGAGGTTACCCCCAGCTCCGAGGGCCGCGGGGGTCGCGGGAAGCGCGCGCCCCACCCGCAGGAGACACACACAGGGTCGGGATCACGGGGGTCCCCTCAAGATCTCAGGATTGCGGGGGTCTGTTGGCGCGCGGGCCCGGCTCTCAGGAGGGCGGGGTGCAGAGGTATCCCCCAGCTCCGAGGATCTCGGGGTTCAGGGAGGCGCACGGTCCAGTTTTCAGGACAGGAGTCAGGGGGCGCACGGGCCCAATTCCAGGACAGGGGTTCAGGGAGGCGCACGGTCCAGTTCTCAGGATCGGGGGTCAGGGGGCGCACGGGCCCGGCTCTCAGGATCTCGTGGGTCGGGGGGCGCACGTGCCCGGCTCTCAGGATCTCGTGGGTCAGGGGGGCGCACGGCCCGGCTCTCAGGACAGGGGGGCCAGGGGCGCACGGCCCAGCTTTCGGGATAGGGGGTCTGGGGACGCACGGGCCCAGTTCTCAGGATCTCGAGGGTCGGGGGGCGCACGGGCCCGACTCTTCGGATCTCGAGGGTCGGGGGCGCAGGGGCCCGGCTCTCGGGATCGCCGGGGGCTCGGGCCCAGCGCGCAGGAGCGGGGGCCGCGGGGCCGGCCGGGGGGCGCGCAGGAGGCTGTGGACGCCCGGCCCACAAAGGGGCCCGGGATAAAGAGGCCGGCGCGGGCCGCTCCCTGCAAACAAAGGCTCCCGGGGGTCCCCGCGCCCGCCGGCCCCGCCCGCCCGCGCCCCCGCGCGCCCCCGCCCCGCGCACTCACCCGCCCGCGCCCGCCGCCGCCGCCGCCGCGCTCCCCCGACGCTGTCCTGGCTCCCGGGACCCCGGCGCTCCATGGGCCGCCGCTCATGCGCACTGCGCGCCCGCCGCCAGGCCGGAGCCGGGCGGAAGTGCCCGGGGCCCCGCCCCCTCCGGCGTCGCCGCACCCGCTTCCGCCCGCACCCCGTTGAGGCGGCCGCGGGGGTGGGCGTGCCGGGGACGGGCGTCGCCGCGCTCCGCGGGGCCCGGGGGCGGGTGGCGTGAGCGGGGCCAGGCTCACTCCGCCGTCCCGGCCGCCGGCGGGGTCCCGGGGGTCCCGGGGGGACGGTGGGGGCGGCCGGCTCCCCGCTCCGGGAGAGGCGGGCGCCGTGGCGGGCGCCATGTTAACTAAGGGCAGCCCTTGGCGGCTTATGGCGGGCGCCATCTTGACTAAGGGCGGACGCCCCGGGCGCGTCTCCCCGCGGCCGGAGCCGCGTGTTCGAGCCCCCGCGGAGGCCTCGCAGCGCCCACGCTGCCCCGGTGCCCTCCCTCGGGTGCCCTCCCGGAGGTGGAGCCGCGTTTGCAGAAGTGGGAGGGGTGCGGTGTGCAGAGAGACCCTGGTGGGCTGGGTGGACAGTGTCCCAGACTAGCCTGATGTCCAGCTGAGGCGGGGGGGGGTCTGCACGGAGTGGACAGTGCAGCCAGCCTCGCGGTGCCCGCCTGCTCTGCAGCGACTGGGCGCCCGGCGACCTCCCACACCCTCTCCCCCGGTTGCTGGAGGTCCGCGGGCCCCGCCTCTTTGCAGGAAAAAAAAAAAGGAGAAACGGACCTTGGGCTCTGGCCTTGGTGGCGGAAAAGGATTTCATAAGGCAGCGGTGCAGAGGGGTTTCGTGCAGGGAGAAGGAGTCGCAGCAGCTTCTCGTCGAGGTCCAAGAAAGTGCTGGAAGCTGCTGGGCTGGAAGTTTTTTTTGCAAACGCTGCAGCTCTAAGAAAGCGCTTTTGAGATTTTTTTTTTTTTTTTGCTTTTTGGGTCACACCTGGGGATGCACAAGGGTTCCTCCTGGCTCATGCACTCAGGAATGACTCCTGGGGGTGCTTGGGGGACCCTATGGGATGCTGGGACTCGAACCCAGGTTGGCTATGTGCAAGGCAAACGCCCTACCCATTGCGCGATCACTCCAGCCCCGAGATTTTTTTTTTTTTTTTTTTTTTGGTTTTTGGGTCACACCTGGGGATGCACAAGGGTTCCTCCTGGCTCATGCACTCAGGAATGACTCCTGGAGGTGCTTGGGGGACCCTATGGGATGCTGGGACTCGAACCCGGGTCGGCTGTGTGCAAGGCAAACGCCCTACCCATTGTGCTATCACTCCAGTCCCGAGATTTTTTTTTTTTTTTTTAATTTCCTTGCCCGCCCTTCCCAGCTGAGCCTGGGCTGGAACCTGGGACCCCTCCCTCAAAGCTGGTGCCAGAGTCGCCCTGACTCTTGCCCTGAGTTGGCTGGTTGTCTGCTCTTTTCTTCGTAGCAGACACAGCTTTGCTTTGCCTTGTCCTGGGGACCACACCTAAGAGTGCTGGGGGGCCACCCGGCCTTTCACTTCTGTTTTTTGGGGGATTGTTTTTGGTTGGTCCGGGGTCACTCCAGGCTCAGGCTCCAGAGGGCGCTGAGGGTTTGCTACAGGCTCCAAACCACACTCAGCAGTTCAAGCATCTTGTTTATTTGTTGGGTTTGCGGACACACCTGGCAATGCTCCGGGCTCACTCCCGGTGGTGCTCAGGGGACAAAAACGGGGTGCCGGGGCGGGGGGGGGGGCTGAACCCTGCAAAGCAAACTCCCTACCCCACCCCGTGCTACTGCTGCCGCCCAAACTGAGGTCAGGCTAACAGCATGTCCCCGAACCCTAGCTGGTTCTCCGGCCTCGCTCTGCAGGGTGCTGGGTGCTTCTGAATTTTTCACAGCTGTTCCGGGCCCGGCCCCAGCCCCGGCCCCGGCCCCCCCCCTCCAGATCTGCGGTGAATGTTATGCAAATGCGGGTTTCCCTTCCCCATTTCCTGCCCACTCAGAACCAGTTTCAGCTTCTGGCCCCAAGTCTCCGTGGCGCGATCACCCACACAGCACAGCGGCTCCCCTTTCCCCGAGATTCACCTTAAGATGATGGGACTGGGAGTCAGGCCATTTGCTTTGCACGCGCCCAAGCCAGATCCGACCCCCTGCGTCGAGGGCACCGAGCCAGGAGTGAGACCCCAGCACAGGCAGATGCACCCCCAAGAGCAAAGAAAGACTTGGAATAATGGGGCTGGAGCAATAGCACGTCGGGTAGCGCCTTGCACGCGGCCGACCCGAGTTCGATCCCCAGCATCCCACAGGGTCCCCTGAGCACCGCCAGGGGCGATTCCTGAGTGCAGAGCCAGGAGGAACCCCTGAGCATCGCCGGGTGGGACCCCAAAATAACGAATAAATAAATAATGATGAAGCGGGGGTCCAGGCAATAGCACAGCGGGGAGGGCGTTGGCCTGGCACGCAGCCGACCCGGGTTCGATCCCCAGCATCCCATAGGGTCCCCTGAGCACCGCCAGGAGTGATTCCTGGGTGCAGAGCCAGGAATAACCCCTGTGCATTGCCGGGTGTGACCCAAAGACTTGGAATAAACACAGCAACACTCCAGGAGGCTTCCATGTAAAATCATCCACTGTTTATTTCGGGGGCCCCACCCCCCTCTCCCGCAGCCTGTTAGGGGGTCCAGCCCCTGACCATGGGACACCATGAGCCCCATTCCTGGGGGGCCTCCCTCCCTCCCACAGACACTCATAGGTCTCCAGGGAGGGGCTTGCGGGGAGGGCTCCGAGGGGTGGCAGGGACGGGGCTGGACTTCCCCTTCCCGGGCACCCTGTAAAACCCCCAACTTCTGCAGCTCCCGGCCACACCTCCCGGTCACCTCCGTCCCCTCCCGGTGCCTGTCACAGTCCCGCCCCGCCCCCTGCCTGCGCCTGGGTCTCGAAGGCGTAGGACCTGCGTTGAGGCAGCAGGTCGGGGTCGGGGCTGGGGGGCTGGGGGTCTCCAGGGGGCAGACTCAGCCGGCTGCGGGGTCCTGCCCCGTCCTCAGGGAGCACCAGGACGCTCTGGGGCCGGGGACAGTGCCCAGGGGTCTGGCCGCAGGGGCCGGCCCTGGCCGGGAGGCTGCAATCAGAGCGGGCACGCGTCTCTGTCCTCTGGCGGTCTCGGGCCAGGGCCACGGCCGCGTCGAAGGAGAGGCTGGCCCCGTTGCGCCAGCACGCCCGGGGGCCCTGCGGACCCCACGCCTTCTCCCCGTCCAGCCGGCCGGGCCTGGGGCAGGGGCTGGCGGGCGCCACGTGGATCTTGCCGCTCAAAGCCCCGGGCACCTTGGCAAACTGGGGCTTGGGGGGCACCACGGGCACCGAGCGGGCGTGCTGGACCTGCAGGAGGCTGGAAGCCAGGCGCATGCCCACGCCCGCGCCCAGGGACAGGCGGCAGCCCTCGGCCTCGGGGCCCGGCTGCGGACAGCTGGTGGGCTCCTCCTCGTTGGCACCGTCTGCCAGCAGGGGGTCCTGTTCTGGAAGGTTCCCTGGGGCGCCCACATCTCCCTGCGCCTCCCCGTCCCCTCTCCCACGCTCCTCCCTGAGCCCCGGGCCTGATTCTGTTTCTGCATCTCCACCCTTGTCCTCTCCGTCCTCCCTGTCCCCAGCACCCTCCCGGCGGTCACTGCGTCCACCGTTCCTCTGCTCTTCTCTTCCTTCTCCGTCCCCAGGGTCCAGCTGTGCTCTGGACTCCTCGTCTCTGCCCCCTGCAGCCCCCGGAGCCTGCACCAGCCCCCCAGGCTCTGAGTGCTCCCCGCTCCCCCCTGGGTGCTCCCTGATCGCCTCTGGGTGCTCCCCGATCTCCGGATGCTCCCTGCTCTCCCCTAAGTGCTCCCGGATCTCTGGGTGCTCCCCTCTCTCCCCTGGGTGCTCCCCACTCTCCTTTTGGTGCTCACTGCTCTTCTTCAGGTGCTCCCCACTTTTTCCGGGGTGCTCCCCGCTCTCCCCTGGGTGCTCCCCACTCTCCTCTTGGTTCTTCCCGCACTCCTTCGGGTGCTCCCCACTCTCCTTCGGGTGCTCCCCGCTCTCCTTCGGGTGCTCCCCGCTCTCCCCTGGGTGCTCCTCACTCTCCCCTAGGTGCTCCCCACTCTCCTTCGGGTGCTCCCCACTCTCCTTTGGGTGCTCCCCACTCTCCTTCGGGTGCTCCCCGCTCTCCCCTGGGTGCTCCCCGCTCTCCTTCGGGTGCTCCCCGCTCTCTCCTGGATGCTCCCCACTCTCCTTCGGGTGCTCCCCGCTCTCCCCTGGGTGCTCCCCGCTCTCCTTCCGGTGCTCCCCGCTCTCCTTTCGGTGCTCCCCGCTCTCCCCTGGGTGCTCCCTGCTCTCCTTTGGGTGCTCCCCGCTCTCCCCTGGGTGCTCCCCGCTCTCCTTCAGGTGCTCCCCGCTCTCCTTTCGGTGCTCCCCGTTCTCCTTCGAGTGCTCCCCGCTCTCCTTCAGGTGCTCCCCACTCTCCTTCGGGTGCTCCCCGCTCTCCTTCAGGTGCTCCCCGCTCTCCCCTGGGTGCTCCCCGCCTGCCCCCGGCCCCTCAGGCTGCTGCCGGTCCCCCAGCTCCTCCTGAGCACCCTGACGGGGCTCTGCCGGGGGCCCCTCCGTCCTCCCCGCCACCCCCACCTCCGCGTCCCCCTGGCCCGGGTCCCCCCTGTCCTCGGCGCCCCCTCCCTCAGGGCCCGGCCATCCGTGGGGGGCTCCGGGCTGCAGCAGGGGGCTGAGGTCGTCGTAGGCGCTCAGGTAAATGTCCTCCCCGCTCTCCTGCTCCTCCTCCTCCTCCCCGGCCAGGGGGCAGCAGCTGGGGGCCAGGACGAAGGGGGCCTCGTCCAGGAAGAGGTCGTCCAGGGGCGGCTCCACGGAGAACTCCTCCACCTGCGGGCGGGCGGGCGGGCGGGCTCTCAGGACGGGCCCTCGGCCTCCCCCCGCCCCGCCCCTGCAGCCCGGCCCCTCCTGACCTGCGGCCCGGCCACCAGCAGCTCCTCCAGGTAGCCCAGCCCGGGGTCGTCGGGGGAGAAGGCGGCTCCGGGCCCCGCCGCGTCCAGCTCCCCGTCCTCCGCCCCCAGCTCCGAGCTGCTCGAGTCCTCCAGGAAGGAGAAGGTGTCCTGCAGCGCCCGGGACACAGAGTCCTCCAGGGACGGGGCGGCGGGCCGGGCCTCCCCGGGTTCATCTGTGGGAGAGGGAACGTGGCAGGTGGCCTGGCTGCAGGGACCGAGCGGTCAGACGCGGTGTCCTTCCTCCCCCGGGTCCCGCCCCCCAGTGCCCCCAAGTGCCCAGGAACTGGGCAGGGTCCCCCGGGGGGAGCTCGGCCGCGCTGGGGACTCGGGGGCTCAGCGTGATCCCGGGTGGCTTGTCGGCCAGCACTGGAACCCAAGTCCACAGAAGTCTAGCAAGCAGATGCCCCCGCCCCCTGCCACCTCCTCCGGCCTCTGGGGGCCACGTCAGGGCAAAGACCGGCCAGCGCACGTGGGCAGCTGCGGCTTGACCCTCTGAGGATCCTGTACGTGAACTATGGCGGTCAGATGCGGAAGTGGCCAGGCAGAACACAGGGGGCACGTGCTGACGTGCCCACGGCCCATGTGGATTCTATGTCCAGTACCGCCGGGAGTCAGCCCTGAGCACAGAGCCAGAAGTGAGCCCTGAGCACTAAGCCAGGAGTCTGTCCCGGGCACAGAGCTCGAAGCGAGCCATGAACACAAAGCCAGGAGTCAGCCCTGAGCACAGAGCCGGGAGTCAGCCCTGAGCACAGAGCTGGGAGTGAGCCCTGAGCACAGAGCCGGGAGTGAGCCCTGAGCACAGAGCCGGGAGTGAGCCCTGAGCACAGAGCCGGGAGTCAGCCCTGAGCACAGAGCCGGGGAGTGAGCCCTGAGCACAGAGCCAGGAGTGAGACTAAGCACAGAGATAGGAGTGAGCCCCGAGCACTAAGCCAGGAGTCTGTCCCGGGCACAGAGCTCGAAGCGAGCCATGAACACAGAGCCAGGAGTCAGCCCTGAGCACAGAGCCGGGAGTCAGCCCTGAGCACAGAGCCGGGAGTGACCCTGACCCAGGGTGAGCCCTAAAATCTTCCCCAAGAAGTGGGTGCAGAAAGCTCCCTGAGCACTGTGCGGGGAGCTCACCTGGGGGCCCGGCGGCAGGGCTGGGCCGGGTCTGCAGGGCCGGGCACTCGAGGCCCCGGGTGAGGCGGGCCAGGGAGACGTTGGAGATGATGTTGGGAGAGGCGCTGAGGATGGACATGATGTGAGGAGGGACGTTGACTTTGTACGGGTCCGAGATGTGGACGCCCGTGGGACGCTCTGCCCGGCAGACCCCCGTGCGCGGTGCCGCCGCCGCCTCCGGCCCGCCCTCGGCCGTCTCCGGGGACTCGCTCTCCGTGCTCTGGCCCTCGGGGTCTGCTGAGGAGAGACGGGGTTGGGGGTCTGCAAAGCGCCGGGACCTCAGAAGATTCTGGAAGGTGCTTGAGCTGGGGGCGCTGCCCAGCCTGCGAACCGTCCACGGCTCTGGGCCAGGGTCAGCCACCTGGCCCGCAGGTGACCTCTCAGGCGACTTCCCCACTGAAGGTGCATCCCGGAGGGCAGAGGAGGCAGGAGCGATAGCACAGCGGGGAGGGCGTTTGCCTGGCACAGAGTCGACCTGGGTTCAATCCCCGGCATCCCATAGGGTCCCCCGAGCACCGCCAGGAGTGAGCCCCAACAACAGAGCCAGGAGTGACCCTGAGCACAGAGCCAGGAGCCAGTCTTGAACACAAAGCCAGGAATCAGCCCTGAGCACAAAGCGGGGAGTCAGCCCCGAGCACAGAAGTGGGAGTAACCCTGAGCACAGAGCTGGGAGTGAGCCTGGGCACAGAGCCAGGAGTCAGTGTTGAACACAAAGCCAGAAATCAGCCCCGAGCACAAAGCTGGGAGTCAGCCCCGAGCACAGAAGTGGGAGTCAGCCCCGAGCACAGAAGTGGGAGTCAGCCCCGAGCACAGAGCCAGGAGTGACCCTGACCCAGGGTGAGCGCTGAGCACAGCCGGGTGTGCCCTAAAATCCTCCCCAAGAAGTGGGTGCAGTGAGGCTGGAGCGATAGCACAGCGGGGAGGGCGTTTGCCTGGCACGCAGCTGACCCGGGTTCGAGTCCCAGCATCCCATAGGGTCCCCCGAGCACTGCCAGGAGTGAGCCCCAAGAACAGAGCCAGGAGTGACCCTGAGCACAGAGCCAGGAGTCAGTGTTGAACACAAAGCCAGAAATCAGCCCTGAGCACAAAGCTGGGAGTCAGCCCCGAGCACAGAAGTGGGAGTCAGCCCCGAGCACAGAGCCAGGAGTGACCCTGACCCAGGGTGAGCGCTGAGCACAGCCGGGTGTGCCCTAAAATCCTCCCCAAGAAGTGGGTGCAGTGAGGCTGGAGCGATAGCACAGCGGGGAGGGCGTTTGCCTTGCACGCAGCTGACCCGGGTTCGAGTCCCAGAATCCCATAGGGTTCCCCGAGCACCGCTAGGAGTGATCCCTGAGTGCAGAGCCGGGAGTCAGCCCTGAGCACCACCAGGAGTGACCCAAAGGGCAAAAAAAAAAAAGAAAAGAAAAAGTAGGTGCAGGAAGCGCCCAAGGTCTCCCCGAGCACTGTGCTGGGAGCTCACCTGGGGGCCCGGCGGTAGGGCTGGGCCGGGTCTGCAGGGCCGGGCACTCGAGGCCCCGGGTGAGGCGGGCCAGGGAGTCCTTGGAGATGATGTTGGGGGTGGCGCTGAGGATGGACGTGATGTGGGGAGGGACGTTGACTTTGTACGGGTCCGAGATGTGGACGCCCGTGGGACGCTCTGCCCGGCAGACCCCTGTGCGCGGTGCCGACTCTGAGCTGCCGCCCGCGGGTCCCTCGGCGGCCGCCTCCTGCCCGCCCTCGGCCGTCTCCGGGGACTCGCTCTCCGTGCTCTGGGAAGACCCCTGGCCCTCAGGGTCTGCAGAGGAGAGACGGGGGTGGTGGTCTGCAAAGCGCTGGCACCTTGGAAGGTTCTGGAACCCTGGAGCTGGGGGCACTGCCCAGTCTGCGAACCATCCACGGCTCCGGGCCAGGGTCAGCCACCTTCCCCGCAGGTGACCGCCAGTGACTCCCCCATGAAGGTGCACCCCGGAGGGCCGAGGGGGTCAGAGCACAGCGGGGAGGGCGTTTGCCTTGCACGTGGCTGACCTGGGTTCGATCCCCGGCATCCCATGGGATCCCCAAGCACCGCCAAGCCCTTCCTCCTGGGAGGATGGCGGGTCAGGGGTGTCCAGGACAGGGTGGGAGGGGGTCTGGGGGTGTCCAGTGATTCCTGAGTGCAGAGCTGGGAGAGAGCCCTGAGCAAAGAGTCCACTCTGAGCACTGAGTCAGGAGTCCACTCTGAGCACAGAGCCCGGAGTCAGCCCTGAGCGTCGCCGGGTCTGACCCAAAAAGCCAAAACAAACAACCCAAAGACCCAGGAGGGCAGAGTCCACTCACCCTCTCCGACCCCGGCGACGGCCGCCACTGCGCTCAACGAGTCCATGCTCTTGGCGGGCCTCAGTGTCCCCTGCTTGTCCTCTGCAGGAAGAGGCGTGGGTAGGGCCAGGCGGCCCCGGGGGCAGCAGAGCCCCCGCAGCCCCCCGCACTCACCCCTGTCCTCCGTGCCCTGCGGGAGTTTCCGCTTGGTCTCGTGGCCGGAGCGGCCCAGGTTGAAGATGGACCTCCACTTCCTGACCTTCAGGGAGCCCTTCCTCCTGGGGGGACGGGGGGTCAGGGGTGTCCAGGACAGGGTGGGAGGGGGCAGGGGGTGTCCAGGACAGGGTGGGAGGGGGCGGGGGGTGTCCAGGACAGGGTGGGAGGGGGCGGGGGGTGTCCAGGACAGGGTGGGAGGGGGCAGGGGTGTCCAGGACAGGGTGGGAGGGGGCGGGGGGTGTCCAGGACAGGGTGGGAGGGGGCGGGGGGGGGTGTCCAGGACAGGGTGGGAGGGGGCGGGGGGGGGTGTCCAGGACAGGGTGGGAGGGGGCGGGGGGGGTGTCCAGGACAGGGTGGGAGGGGGCGGGGGGGGGGTGTCCAGGACAGGGTGGGAGGGGGCGGGGGGGTGTCCAGGACAGGGTGGGAGGGGGCGGGGGGGGTGTCCAGGACAGGGTGGGAGGGGGCGGGGGGGTGTCCAGGACAGGGTGGGAGGGGGCGGGGGGTGTCCAGGACAGGGTGGGAGGGGGCAGGGGTGTCCAGGACAGGGTGGGAGGGGGCGGGGGGGTGTCCAGGACAGGGTGGGAGGGGGCGGGGGGGTGTCCAGGACAGGGTGGGAGGGGGCGGGGGGGGGTGTCCAGGACAGGGTGGGAGGGGGCGGGGGGGGGTGTCCAGGACAGGGTGGGAGGGGGCGGGGGGGTGTCCAGGACAGGGTGGGAGGGGGCGGGGGGGGTGTCCAGGACAGGGTGGGAGGGGGCGGGGGGGTGTCCAGGACAGGGTGGGAGGGGGCGGGGGGTGTCCAGGACAGGGTGGGAGGGGGCAGGGGTGTCCAGGACAGGGTGAGAGGGGGCAGGGGTGTCCAGGACAGGGTGGGAGGGGGCGGGGGGTGTCCAGGACAGGGTGAGAGGGGGCAGGGGTGTCCAGGACAGGGTGGGAGGGGGCAGGGGGTGTCCAGGGTGGGCTAGAGGCAGGGAATGGTAAGTCGGGGGTCTCCGGGGCAGGAGGGGCGGGGCCGGGACCGGGGTCAGGGTCAGGGGCCGCCCAGCGTCTCACTTGTTCTCCGCGATCTCGATGATGGTGTGGTAGGGCCGGATCTGGGGGGGCCCGTCCCCCGCCTGCAGGCTGCTGGGCAGGTGGTAGGACAGTGACCGGGGCCCGTGGTCCTCCGGGGCGCCAAACGCCAAGGGCCCGGGAAGCGCCCGCCGCCCGCTTTCGGCGTCCGCACCTACAGCACAGAGGGGCCGGGCAGCGGGGACAGTGGCCACAAGGGGGCCCTGGAGAAGGCAAGTGGGGGAACCCGCCGCACCCCTGCCCAGCTCCGCCCACTGCACCCGACTGTCCACAGCATCTCCACGGGGAGGGCGGGCAGGGCACTGACCAGGCAGGGCGGCTCCCCCGAAGAGCTGGTCCACGTGCGTGAGGATGAACTCCACCACGATGGACTGGACCCTCACCTCCATGAAGGCCGCCGTCCCGTTGAACCCCGAGGCCTCGATGTCCTTGGACCTGCGGGGGTGGGGAGGGGAAGCCCCGTCACTCACCCACCCAACACGCCTCGTTGCAAAGGGACCCTCCTCCAGGCAGCCCTCTCGGATGTCCAGCCCACTCAATGCCACCCTGACCCCCGTCTTGGGTTTGCGTTTGTTTTCTGGCTTCGATATGCCAAACACGGTAACAAGGGTCACAGTGGAGACGTTACTGGGTCCTCTCGAGCAAATCGATGAACAACAGGAGGTCAGTGACAGTGACAGTTCTGGTTTTTGGGGCCACACCCAGCGATGCTCAGGGCTGACTCCTGGCTCTGCACTCAGGAATCACTCCTGGCGGTGCTCGGGGGACCCTAGGGGATGCCGTGGATCGAACCCTGACCATACCTTTTTCTTTTCTTTTTTTTCCTTTGTGGATTTTTTTTTTTCACATCCCAGAGAATCTCAGAGGTTCCTCCTGGCTCTGCACTCAGGAATCACTCCTGGCAGTGCTTGGTGGGGGGGAACCCTCTGGGATGCTGGGGCTTGAACCCTGACCCTTCTCGCCCCGACCTTTTTCTTGGTGGGTTTTGTTTGTTTTTTTGCCTTTTTGGGTCCCACCTGGCGATGCTCAGGGCTGACTCCTGGCTCCGCACTCAGGAATCAGTCCAGGCAGTGCTCAGAGGACACTATGGGATGCCAGGAATTGAACCCTGACCATACTTTTTTTCTTTTTGTTTTTCTTTATGGATTTTTTTTTTTGGCTTTTTGGGTCACACCCGGCGATGCTCAAGGGTTCCTACTGGCTCTGCACCCAGGGATCCCTTCTGGTGGTGCTTGGGGGACACTATGGGATGCCGGGGATCGAACCCTGACCCCTCTTCTCTTTTTTTTTCTTTTTCTTTGTGGTTTCTTTTTTCACACCGCGGAGAATCTCAGGGGTTTCTCCTGGCTCTGCACTCAGGAATGCTTGAGGGGTGCAGTGCTTGAGGGGTGGGGGGACCCTCTGGGATGCTGGGGGTCGAACCCTGACCCTCCTCCCCCACACCCTTTTTCTTGGTGGTTTTTTTTTTTTTTTTTGGCTTTTTGGGTCTCACCCCCGCGATGCTCAGGGCTGACTCCTGGCTCCGCACTCAGGAATCACTCCTGGCGGTGCTCGGGGGACCCTATGGGATGCCGGGGATCGAACCCTGGTCCTCTTCGCTGTCGTCCTTCTCCAGCCCCACCCTGATCCTTCGACCCTTCTTGACTCTCCTGTGCTCTGCGTCACCCTCAGCCCCATCCCAAAGCACCTGGCCGGAACGCACGGGACTGTGCGCATTGGATGGGGCGCGCGGGGCGGGACTGGGGGCGCGCGGGACGGGGCGCGCGGCGGGCGGGGCGCGCGCGGGGGCTGTGCTGCTCGCCCCCCACCCACCCCCCGTGCCAGCAGACCCACCTCAGCAGGTTCGGGGCCCACACGATGGCCAGGTTGCGGGCGTGCATGTTGGTCTGCGCGCTGTGCGAGGCCATGCGTACCAGATGGCGCATAAGGTATTCCAGTGTCCTGCGGGGAGGTGGCGTCAGCCCCGGCCCCCCGCCCGCCCGCCCTGGGGTCCCGGGGAAGGGGGAGGGGACCCGCAGCCCCTGCACCTGTGATTGGGCCCCGGGAGCTCGCGCAGCACCTCCGCGATCTTCACCAGCCGCTCGTTCTCCAGCTGCACGGCCACGGCCTCCTGGGGGGCAGCCAGGATTCAGGGACTGAATCCCACGGGCCAGCCCAAGAGCAGGGGGCTGGGCCAGGGGCGTCCAGGTGGGCCAGCACCACCCCCCAGGCCGTGCTTTGGGGACTGGACCGGGCTCTCTCAGCCCTTAGTGCATCCAGAGCCCAGAGAGAGGAAAGTTCTCTTCTGGAAAGGTCTTTCTCCTCCGTGCAGGATGCAGTGCTCCAGGTGACACGGCTGAGGGCCAGGGACCCTCAGGATCAACCCGCTCAGCTTCACCCCAGCACTGTTGGGGGAGGGGGACCCTAAAAATGGCCTTTATTTCTTTATTTGCTTTTGGGTCCCACCCGGCGATGCTCAGGGCTGACTCCCGGCTCTGCACTCAGGGATCACTCCTGGCAGTGCTCGGGGGACCCTATGGGATGCTGGGGATCGAACCCAGGTCGGGCAAGGGGTGTGTGTGTGTGTGTGTGTGTGTGTGTGTCTTTTTTTGGCCACACCCGGCGATGCTCAATGGTGACTCCCGGCTCTGCACTCAGGGATCACTCCTGGCGGTGCTCGGGGGACCCTAGGGGATGCTGGGGATCGAACCCGGGTCGGCCGCGTGCCAGGCAAATGCCCTCCCCACAGGTTTTTCTTCTTTAGTGAGCTGGATCGCTGGGACTCCCACCCAGAGGAGCTCCGGACCTCCCCCACCCCCCAACTCACGGCAAACTTGTCATAGAGGCGGTAGGTTAGCAGGGGGTCGGGCAGCTCCCGGAAGTAAGCCTTGCACAGGGACGACACGCAGTGAATGTCCTGCAGGTAAAGCTCCCGACACAGCTCCGGGCGCCGCTCGGCCTCGAACTCCTGCCTGGGGGGCGTGGGGGGCACAGACTCAGGAGGGGGCACAGTGCAGTGATGGCGGGGGCGGGGTAGTGTGATCACCAAGAGAGCCACATCATTTGGGAGCAATTTTTTGCTTTTGGGGTCACCCCCGGTGATGCTCGGGGCTTCCTCCTGGCTCTGCACTCAGGAATCACTCCTGGCGGGGCTTGGGGGACCCTATGGGATGCTGGGAATCGAACCCGGGTCGGCTGCATACAAGGCAAACACCCTACCCACTGTGCTATCACTCCAGCCCTCTTCCTTCCTTCCTTCCTTCCTTCCTTCCTTCCTTCCTTCTCTTCCTTTTTTCCTTCCTTTTTTCCTTCCTTCCTTCCTTCCTTCTCTTCCTTCTTTCCTTCCTTCCTTCCTTTCTCTCTGTTTCATTCTTTTTCTTTCTTTTGGGTCCCACTTGGTGACGCTTAGGGCTGACTCCTGGCTCTGCTACTCAGGAATCACTCCTGGTGGTGCTCGGGGGACCCTATGGGCTGTGGGTTCGAACCTGGGTTGGCGGCGTGCCAGGTGAACCCCCTCCCCACTGTACTCGGCTCCAGCCCCAAGGCAGGGGGCTCTGGACCCCTCACAGAGGGGGAGGGCTCTGGAGCACTCAGGCAGGGCTGGGGGCTCACGGACCCTCAGACAAGGCAGGGGCTGGGGGTTGTTTGTGTTTTGTTGGTTTGGTTTTATTGGCACTTTGGGTCACCCCGGGCGATGCTCAGGGCTGACTCCTGGCTCTGCACTCAGGAATCATTCCTGGCGGTGCTCGGGGGACCCTAGGGGATGCCGGGGATGGAACTTGGGTTCCTCTCCTGCTGTGCTGTCACTCCAGCCCGAGCTGGGGACTCTTGCAAGCCCCGTAAGTCCTCAGAACCAGGGGACCACTAGGGGGCAATGCCCCACGGGAGCCAAAATGTGAGCTTTGATTTGCAGACCACCCTGTCCCAGCCCCAACTCAGGTTCCTCCAGCTTCGGGGGAGCAGCGCGAGGTGAAGGTTCTGGAATGTGGGCTGGCGGCTGCAAGCTGAACCCCGGCCATGTCTGTCTGTCGGTGGCGACCGTCACGGTCCGTGGATTCTGCACTTTTTTTTCCTTTTAGGGTCACACCCGATGATGCTCAGGGCTGACTCCTGGCTCTGCAGTCAGGAACCACTCCTGGCGGGGCTCGGGGGACCCTAGGGGATGCCGGGGATCGAACCCGGGTCGGCCGCGTGCCAGGCCAACACCCTCCCTGCTGTGCTATCGCTCCAGCCCTTGCACTTTTTTTTTTTTAAGCGTGGGCCATGCTTCCCTTGCCTCCCCTCCCGGAGATGGGGGAGGGGGGCCACCCGTGTCCCCTCCCCACGGCCCAACTCACCGGAGCTTCTGGATGTTGGAAGAGACCCCGGAGAGACGGTAGATGCCGTCCACCACCCCATGCTCCTCCACGAACTCGGCACAGCTCCGTAGCACCTGGGGCACTGGGGGTAACCGAGAGGGGCTGAGCTGATGGGAGCCGGGGGGGGGAGGGACTTGGCAGGGACCCCGCTGGCTGTCCCCAGAACCTCAGCCCACTCTCTCCGCCACCGTTGGGGTCTGCAGGCGCGTGGTAAGCCCCCCGCCCTGTTCCTGGATTAGATGCAAATGCATCTGCTGCTTTTTCTTTTTGGGTCACACCCGGCGATGCACAGGGGCTACTCCTGGCTCTGCGCTCAGGAATTACCCCTGGCGGTGCTCAGGGGACCCTATGGGATGCTGGGAATCGAACCCGGGTCCACTGAGTGCAAGGCAAACGCCCTCCCCGCTGTGCTATTGCTCCAGCCCCTAGAAAATGCGTTTCTAGCCAGGAGGTAGTGTCCCCCCCCCCCCCCGATATGGGACCTGCCGATGGCTGGAAGATGCCCAGCAGAACCCTCCCCTGGGGGTCCTGCCCCCCCCCCCCCCGCACATCCTCCACCCCAGGTTGACATGCGAGAAAGGAAAGATCCAGGGGGCCTGGGGAGGAGAAAAGGGGAAGGAGGTTCTGGGGACACCCAGGCCGGCCCAGAGCAGGAAGTGAGCAGCAGAGCAAAAGGGCCTCACAGCAGCTCGAAGAGGAAATGACAGGTTGGGGGGGTCCTGGGAGGGGGGCCCAGCCCCGCACGGCGTCAGCCCCGGGTTCCATCCAGAGCCGCTTCCCGGCGGGAGGGGCTCCCCCAAGGCCGGTCTGCAGATACCCCCTCCCCACTGCACCCCATCTCAGGGCCAGCCCGGTAGCCGCCACTCCCGCACCTTGGGGGGCCCCCTGCTGCCCCCCTCGACCTCCACCTCGAGCCTCTCTTCCCTTGGCAAAGAACCAGGACACCCAAGGTGGGGGTCCCCCGACTCTGCCCTCCCTGGGGCGCCCTCGGAATCTGGGCACTCCGGCTGCCCCACCCATGCCCCCCCCCCTCGCTCGCCCAGGGGGACCCGCCTGGCGTCTTCCCAGCCCTCCGCTCCCAAGGGCCGGGGTGGGCCCCAGCGCATCGGGCAGCGTGTGCCCTGGGCCCCCACCAAGGCCACACCCAGGACCCCTTCACGGTCCTGGCCCAGGGCCCCCACCCGGGGCCCCTCGCTGTTCCGGCACCAGCCTGGGGGCGCCTCACTGTCCAGGACCCCGCTGGGCCCCTTCTCACCATACAGGACTCCCACCCGGCCCCTCACGTCCAGGGCCCCGCCGGGCTCCTCCATCCGGGACCCCCACCTGGACTCTCCGTTCAAACCCCCCGCCGGGCCCCTCCGTCCAGGCCCTCCGCCCGGCCCCTCCGTCAAACCCCCCGACTGGCCCCTCCGTCCAAATCCCTCACCCGGCCTCTCTGGCTGAGCCCCCGCCTGGCCTCTCCGTCCAAGTCTCCCACCCGGTTCCTCCGTCCGGGCCCCCCGCCCGGCCCCTTCGTCCAAACCCCCCGCCCGGCCCCTCCATCCAGCCCCGCAGCCTCACCGTCCAGACCCCAGAACTGTAAGTGCTCCTGGAGGTCCCGTCCGAACACCCTCTCCTTGGAGTTCTCTTTCTTCTTCCCTTTCTGCCGCGACTTCATGGCCAGCGCTGGGGCCCTGGGCGTCCGCCGCTGCCCCCTCCCCCCGAGAGCTTTGCCCCCGCGGCCCCCTGGGAGCCCAGGCCGGCCCCCCGGGGCAGGGCTGTGACCTGGGGCTGGAGGTGGATGGTCCCGGCCCCCCGGAAGTCCCCCGACGCTGTCTCGTGGCCTGTGCCGGCTCGGCCCAGGAGGGCAGGAAGCTGCTCTGTGCCTCCCGCTTCCTGCCCGAGCATCTCGGCAACCACAGCCCGGGCCGGGCCTGCGTCAGAGTCAGGGCCTGAGCGCCCGTGTGCTTGCAGGTGCCCAGGGCCTGGCCATCAGAGTCCCCCGGCAACTCAGGGCCTGGCCATCAGAGTCCCCCGGCAACTCAGGACCCGGCCGCCCGAGGAAGACCCTTCACGGGGGCAGGTGTGTGGGGGCGGGGGGAGGGCTGCCGTTTCCCGCCACCGGACGGACCCCCAGGTCCTCCCCGACTTGGGCCCGGCATGGGGGCTGTTGAGGGACCCCCCCAGTTCAGACAGGAGGAGACAGACACAGTTTTTCTGTTTATTGAAAAACAGAAGAATATTTATATACAGATATATTACATATATACACAAATGTACACAACCCACACCCCACCCTGGCCATGGAGCGTAGGGGTGCGTCTCCCGCACCCCCCAGGACTGGACCTGCGTGGGGGGGGATCTTCTCCATCCACCCCGCCAGACCCCTGCCTCAGCCATCCGCAGTGACCACCTCCCCGTGGCTAGGGGACAGTGAGGAGTCCAGGCCCTGTGCTCCCGCCCACACCCCCATCCCAGCTCCCAGGCGACACCCCCCCCTCCAGGCTGCCTACGTGTGGGCATCTCGGGGGCCACTTTCTGCGCTGGCCTTGTCCCCTGACGAAGGCAGAAGAAGCCCACTGTCCCCAAACAGAAAGTTGGGGGCCGGGACTGGGGCAGCTCTGCCAGTGGCCAGCAGGGGACAGCAGCGAGCCGACCGCCAGGGCTGGCCCACGCTGGCCCTTGCTGGCCGCCCTCCCTGGCCGGGCCCAGCGACGCCCAGCTATGCCTGCACACCCGGATCCAGCCAGTGGCCCGGCCTCGCCCAGCCTGTGTCCTTAATACTGCTCTGGGCTCAGGAGATAGCTGCCAAGCAGGCCACTGACACACACACGCGCACGCAACACACGCATGGACACGCATGGACACACATGCGCACACACACACACACACACACACGGGGGCTTGGCCAGGGGAACCCGCCCATGGTCCGGCGGGGCCAGCGGCCTGGCGAGAGGGCGTCCCAGAGCAGCGGGCGGCGGGTCAGACCAGGTGCCCGCGCCCGTTGATGTAGATGCCGTTGCCCGTGGGCTTGGCCCGCAGCGTCCCGTTCTCCGGCACAAAGTGACTCATGGCCTGCTTGATGCTCTCGTCCTGCGCGTCCTCGTCCTCGGGCCGGCTGGAGCCGGGCGCCAGCAGCTCCGTCTGCGTCTCGATCTCCCTCACCGTGGTCAGCGTCGAGTAGCTTCGGCCCTCCGGCTCGTCGCTCTGGGGGCCGGGCACAGAGCGGTCAGCGGCGGGGACCGGCGGGCTGGCCGGGGCGGGGCAGGCCGAGCGGGGGCGGGGCGGGAGGGGGCAGCAGAGCCGAGCCGGGCGGGGGCTCACCATCACGGAGCAGCTACTGTTGTCCTTGAGACTATCGGGGTGGCCCTCGGCTCTCAGCCCTACACTCTCCTCCGGCTGCGGGCCCGGACACAGGGGGCAGTTAGGGGGCACCGCCCTGGCTCCGGGCTCCCCCGCCCCCTCCCGGCCCCTCCAGCTCTGCTCTCCTGCCCCCTCCTCCGGGGCGCAGCCGGGATTCCCGCCCCCCGAGGCAGCGTTTCAGAGCAGCCTGGGACGGTGGGGGGGTGGGTGGGGGGTCCCGGGGGTCACAGCGGCGCCCAGCCCGCCCGTACCTGGCTCCGGGGGTCCGAGTGGTGGGAGTGCAGCCTCCGGATGGAGTTCTCCCGCGTCAGGGTCAGCTCCTCCTCACTGGAAAGCACGCGGGTCAGGAGCCCAGGGAGGGCACGTGCACACACACGCGTGGGCGGGGCATGACAGGGAAGCATGTGTGCTCAGGCACACGTGTGAGGAGGTGTTGGTGTGTTTGTGTGGGCAGTGCACGGGGAAGGTACATGGCGGAGGTTATGGGCACACATGCTTATCTGTGCACGTATGTAGAGGCATGTGTCTGTGTGAGGATAGTGCATGTGCTTGTATGTTCATGCATGTGTCTGTATGAGGCTAGCATGTGCTTGTCTGTGCACATATATGCAGGCATGTGTCCGTGTGGCTAATGTGTGCTGATATGTGCATGTGTGCACAGGCATGTGTTGTATGAGGCTAGTGTGTGCTTGTCTGTGCACATATGTGCAGGCATGTGTCTGTATGAGGCTAGCGTGTGCTTATATGTGCATGTATGTTCAGGCATATGTCATATGAGGATAGTGTGTGCTTATATGTGCACATATGTGCAGGCATGTGTCTGTATGAGGCTAGCGTGTGCTTGTCTGTGCACATATGTGCAGGCATGTGTCTGTATGAGGCTAGCGTGTGCGTGTCTGTGCACGTATGTGCAGGCATGTGTGTGAGGCTGCGTGTATTTGCCAGGCATGAGTCCGTGAGTGTGCCCCTGTGAGATGCATGCGTGTGCTCTGCATAGGTACAGCTGTGCATACAGGCGGGTGCAGGCATGGGCACGTGGGCGTGCATGTGTGCAGACATGCATGGGTGTGTGCGTGCCGTAAGCACAGGCAGGGGTGAGGGTGTGTTGGGGAGTGCACGTGTGGGCGTCTGTCCGTGTTCCGTGTGTTGCCGGCACACAGAACGTGCACGGGGCTGTGCATTCACGGGAAAGTGTGTGTGTACACACGTGTCTGCGTGTGTCTGCACACGTGTGTGCGCAGGGGTCCGCCTGCTCTTCCCCCCCGTGCCCCGGCCCCCGTTCCCTCCGCGGGGCCGCGCCCACCCGGGGCCGTCCTCCCGCCGGACTCACAACTTCTGGGTCATCTGCTGGGCCTTGCGGCGGTGGTAGCGGGACATGAGGACGACGACCACCACCAGCAGGCAGAGGAGCAGGGCGGCGATGACGCCCACCACCACCACCGACGCCGACACCAGGTCCACCTGCTTCCCCGGCTCGTCCTGCGGCTCTGCGGGGACGGCGCGGTCAGCGGCCGTGGGGGGCCGCCCACCCCACCCCCCAGGCTCCCGGCTTACCGGCCACGGCCACGGCCACGCGGGCGTCCCTGGAGGAGAGCGTGTTGCTGGCGTGGCAGACGTAGGTGCCGCTGTGCTCCGAGGTCAGTGCCGGGAAGGACAGGGTGGCCCCTTCGGCCCGCACCCCGCTGGGCAGGGGCCCGTCCAGCCTGTGGGGCAGGAGGCTGCTGCTGGGCGTCCGCCGAGCCGGACGGGGCCGCCGCGTCCGCGTGCCCCGACAGCTCCCCCCATGACGTCAGCCGGCCTCCGGCTGTTCCCACGGGGCCACGCCCTCCCCCAGCAGGTCCTGGCAGGGGCCCTGCCCCTGGCCGCCCAGGCTGACCCGGGCACCCACGGGCCTGCGCTGCGGGAAGCACCCAGGCGCCCATGGGCCGCCCGGCTCCGGGCAGACCGACGGCCATGCCCGGGACGCCTTCCCAGAGGCTCCAGCTCAGGACACTTGGAGAGGGAGGGCTGGGGAGGGCAGGGGAGAGGAGGACTCGGGAGAGGGGCAGAGAGCAGGGGAGTGAGGGGAGGGCGGGAGATGCCTGCTTCTGTCCTGACCCTCCACAACACACGCGTGTCCCTGGCTCTCTGCATGCACACACATGCCTGGGCACACAAGGCCACGACATGGCAGTGTCCTGGGGGGTTCCTCTGCCACGTGGGCAGGCGCTGAGTCCAGTCCCTGGTGGCCGTGAGGACGGGCCCTGCCTCCTGACGCCAAAGGCAGGTGGGGACAGTGGAGGGGCCGAGCCCAGAGCTGGCAGGAGCCGGAGCACGGCCAGGGGTGGCCCCAAACCAGCCAGGTGATGAGTGACGGGGAACCGGAGGTTTAGGGACAGGGACACGAGCCTGGCGGTGCAGGCAAGGCTCTGGGTTCCATCCCCGCCACCCTGGGGTGAGCCACAGCCCTGGAGGGGTGATGGAGCAGTATGGCTGGGAACGGCACCCCAATAACAGAAATAAGGGGAGGGGGCCGAAGTGAGAGCACAGCAGGGAGGGCGTTAGCCTGGCACATGGCCAACCCAGGTTCGATCCCTGGAATCCCATAGGGTCAACCAAGCACCCCCAGGAATCATCCCTGAGCACAGAGCCGGGAATGAGCCCCGAGCACTGAGCCAGGAGTGAGCCCCAAGCACAGAGCCAGGAGTCAGCCCTGAGCACAGAGAGCCGGGAGTCAGCCCTGAGCAGAGCACAGAGCCAGGAGTCAGCCCTAAGCAGAGCACAGAGCCGGGAATCAGCCCTAAGCACAGAGCTGGGAATGAGCCCTGAGCACTGAGCCAAGAGTGAGCCCCGAGCACAGAGCCGAGAGTGAGCCCCGAGCACAGAGCCGAGAGTGAGCCCCGAGCACAGAGCCGAGAGTGAGCCCTGAGCACTGAGCCGGGAATGAGCCCCAAGCACTGAGCCAGGAGTGAGCCCCGAGCACAGAGCCAGGAGTCAGCCCCGGAGCACTGAGCTGGGAGTGAGCCCCGAGCACAGAGCCCGGAGTCAGCCCTGAGCACAGAGCCAGGAAACATCCCTGAGCACTGAGCTGGAAGTGAGCCCCGAGCACAGAGCCCGGAGTCAGCCCCGAGCACAGAGCCTGGAGTCAGCCCTGAGCACAGAGCCAGGAGTCATTGCCGGGTGTGACCCGAAAAGCAAAACATTTTAAAAAGCCGGGGAGAGATCAAAGCCTTCTCAACCCCCTTCCCCACGCCGTGCCGTCACCGATGCGTGCATGAACTTCCCTGCCTGCCCGGTGTCCCCTCCCCCCGCCCCGCCCCTGCCCTGCCCGGTAGGGGCCTCACCGGCTCCAGTTGTAGGACGGCGGCGGCTGCCCCTCCGTCAGACACTTAAGCGAGGCTCCTTCTTGGCCCACCTGCCACAGCTTGGGGTCCTCCAAGCCCCGCACGGACACCTCTGCCAGGACTATGGGGGCAGGAGGAGAAGGAGGGGTGATCCCCGGCTCCCACGCCCCCTCGCCCCACGCCCGCCCTCCCGGGAAGCAGCCGTTGCTCTGAGCTCCGCGTCCAGGGGGCTGCGGCCACACCCGGCGCCTGAGTAGCGGCTGTGTCACACTTTCCAGGAACCAAGGCTGCTCGGAGACAAGCTCCTGGCAGGTGACAGGATTCGGGCCGGAAGCTGCCCCCTGCACCTCTGCATGTTTCTGGTGCTGCAGACTCCAAGCTGGTCCCAGGAGACTTTGGGGGCACGGGGGGGGGGGGGGTGAAGCTCTTGCAGGCACACACCCAGGGGCGCAGGGTCTGGGCCGCCCCCCTGCCCGTCCCTCGCCAGAGCCCAGCACTCACAGGCCACCTGGAGGACGTGGGTGATCCGCTGGTCTTGCAGCAGCCCTGGGTGCGACACCACGCACGTGAGTGGCTGCTGGTTCATGCTACGGCTCGGCACCAGGCGGAACTCGGAGGTGACGGCCGCCGAGCGCGAGTGCTTGAAGGACCGGCTGGACGCCGTGCCCCGGACGGCCGTGTCCCAGCTCACGCTGGGCGCCGGGCTGCCTTCGGCCGTGCACGAGGCAGCCAGCGTCAGACCCTGGCCCTCCTCCAGCGCCGGCCCGGGGTTCAGGGAGGGCAGGGGCGGCACTGTGGAGAGGAGAGGAGGAGGAGGGGGGTCACACTGGGCGCCGGGAGGGGCGGGCAGAGCCGGGGGCGGGGGGGGGGGCTGGTCCCTGTCCTACTCTGTGTCCCCACATCACACCGGGAGCGAGGGCGGGTACCGCCACTGCCGCTGAGTATACAGCTGACTTCATAGTTTGGATTCTTTAACCTGCGCCTGGGTCATGTTTAAATCCTGCTTAATGAAGCAATTTAAGGGCTCGGCAGATAGCATCGAGGGATGATGAGGATCAGGGGCATTTAGTAACCTTGCTAAGCACGCGGGACCCCGCGACGCCGCTGTGCAATGCTGGATGTCAGCGACTTGCACCCCTCCAACGCTGGAGGAAGAGGTGGGGTGTGTGAGTGTGGGTGGGGTGGGGGGTGTCCCTGGAGGTCCAGAGAAACCAGGACAAAAAAAAAAAATACAACTGTTGCTTGTTTGAGTTTTTTTTTTTTAATTCCTATGGATGAGGCTGGAGCGATAGTCCAGCGGGGAGGGCGTTTGTCTTGCCTGCGGCCGACCCGGGTTCGATTCCCAGCATCCCACAGGGTCCCCTGAGCACCGCCAGGAGTGATTCCTGAGTGCAGAGCCAGGAGTCAGCCCTGAGCATCGCCGGGTGGAACCCAAAAGAAAAAAAGAAAGTCCATCTTGGGGCTGGAGCAATAGCACAGCGGGGAGGGCGTTTGTCTTGCCTGTGGCCGACCCGGGTTCGATTCCCAGCATCCCATAGGGTCTCCCGAGCACCGCCAGGAGGGATTCCTGAGTGCGTGAGCTAGGAGGAACCCCTGAGCATCGCCGGGTGGGACCCAAAAAAGCATGAAACAATAAATAAGTAAATCCCTGTGGGGGCCACACCCAGTGGCTGCCTGGGCGCTCCGAACCCAGATCTCGGGCCTGGGGCCTCCTGCGTTACTGGGAGGAGCTTGAGCGCTGGGCAGGCAGGAGGCTCGGCTTGGGGGGACCTGGAGAGGCCCCAGGCTGCGCGCCCCCGCATCCCCGCCCCGCGCGCTCCGCACTGCCCGTGCCCAGAACCCAGCCGGCCCCGCACCACGCGCCCTGCACGCCCCCAGCCCTCGCCTCGCCCCGCGCGCCCCGCACTCGCCCGACCCTGCATCCCCTCCCGCGCGCCCCGCACCTGTCCTGCCCCGCGTGCCCCCACTCCCCGGCCCGTATCCCTCCCGTGCGCCACTCACGTACCCCCCGCCCGCGCCGTGCCCTGAGAGCCCCCCAATCCCCGGCCCCGCGTTCCCTCCCGCGCGCCCCCGACTCCCCGGCCCTCACCCCCTCCCGCGCACCCCGCATCTCCTCCTCGCGCGCCCCGCACCCGTCCTGCCCCGCGCGCCCCTCACTCCCCGGCCCGCATCCCTCCCGCGCGTCCCTCACGCCCCCCCCACCACCCTCGCCGTGCCCTGAGCGCCCCCCACTCCCCGGCCCGCATCCCCTCCCGCGTGCCCCGCACCTGTTCTGCCCCGCGCGCCCCGCGCGCCCCGCGCTTGCCCGACCCCGCATTCCCTCCCGCGCGCCCCCGCATCTCCGCCCCGCGCGCCCCGCACTCCCCGGCCCTCAACCCCTGCCGCTCGCCCCGCATCTCCTCCCCGCGCGTCCCGCACCCATCCTGCCCGCGCGCCCCCCTCTCCCCGGCCCGCATCCCTCCCGCGCGCCCCGCATCCCCGGCCCCGTGTCCCCTCCCGCGCGCCCCCCACTCCCCGGCCCTCATCCCCTCCCGCGCGCCCCCCTCTCCCCGGCCCGCATCCCTCCCGCGCGCCCCCCACTCCCCGGCCCTCATCCCCTCCCGCGCGCCCCGCACCCGTCCTGCCCCGCGCGCCCCCCACTCCCCGGCCCGCATCCCTCCCGCGCGCCCCCCTCTCCCTGGCCCGCATCCCTCCCGCGCGCCCCGCATCTCCGGCCCCGCGTCCCCTCCCGCGCGCCCCCCACTCCCCGGCCCTCATCCCCTCCCGCGCGCCCCCCTCTCCCTGGCCCGCATCCCTCCCGCGCGCCCCCCACTCCCCGGCCCTCATCCCCTCCCGCGCGCCCCGCACCCGTCCTGCCCCGCGCGCCCCGCATCCCCGGCCCCGCGTCCCCTCCCGCGCGCCCCTCACGCCCCGACCCTCGTCCCCTCCCGCGCGCCCCGCACGCACCCAGCACTCGCAGCCGCAGGCGCGCCTGGAAGGAGCCCGCGGGGAAGGTGCTGACGCGACACTCGTACTCGCCCTCGTCCGCCTGCACCGCGTTGCGCAGCAGGACGGCGCCGTCCAGGGGGCTGCGTGGGGGCGCCGGCTGCTCCACGCGACCCTCGTAGGCGGCGCCCACGTGCAGCCCGTACTCGGCGTGCAGCAGCGCCAGCTCGCGCGCGCCCTCGTCGGCGTCCAGCCGCGCCCAGGCCACCTGCGCCACCTGCTCGTCGGGGTCCCCTCGGTAGAAGCAGGGCAGCCGGGCGTCCTGGCCCAGCACCGCCGTCACCACGTCCGCCGTCTCCAGCTCGCCCGCGGGGCAGCGGCCTGCAAGGGCGAGAACGGGGCTGGGGGCCACGGCGGGCAGGGCGCGCCCGCGCGGGCCCCGCCTCGGATCCAGACGGCCCGGCCGGGGGTCTTCCTGCCTCCCTCAGAGCCCCCCAGGGCCCCGCAGATGCCCAAGGCGAGGGCTGGGGGCATGGGACGGGGCTGGATGCGCTCTTCCATTTGGCAGATGAGGACAGGGGACCTGATCCCTGGAGGGAGGTGACACACCCCACCAGGTGGGCAGAATCGGGGGAACTCCGGTTTGGGGCCCCGCGGACTGTTTGTGGGTGTCCGTCCACGAGCGTTTTCCTCTCGCGGGGCTGGAGCAACAGCACAGCGGGGAGGGCGTTTGCCTTGCATGCGACCGACCCGGTTCGATTCCCAGCATCCCATAGGGTCCCCCGAGCACCGCCAGGAGTGATTCCTGAGTGCAGAGCCAGGAGGAAGCCCTGAGCATCACCAGGAGTGACCCAAAAAAGCAAGACTGTTTTCCTCGCGTCCAGCACCCCGATCCCTAGGCTTCTTCCGATCACAGGCGGGGTGCCCGGCTCATGCCCGTAGCCCCCAAGGCCCCCAGCGGCCAGCGAGAAACTCAAGGGTCATAGGCGGAGCGAGTGAGGCAGGAAGACCCCCCCAGAGACCCTCCAGACACCCTGCACACGCCTCTGTGCCCCTCAAGAGGGAATTCCGGGGCTGGAACACAACAGGTAGGGCGTTTGCCTTGCACACGGTCGACCCGGGTTCGGTTCCCAGCATCCCATAAGATTCCCCTGAGCACTGCCAGGAGTGATCCCTGAGTGCAGAGCCAGGAGGAACCCCTGGGCATCGCCGGGTGGGACCCAAAAAGAGAAAGAAAAAAAAGAGGGAATTCCAACGTGGGGGTCCCGGGTGCTGAGTGCAGGAAGGGAACAGGGAACGAGGTCAGACTCCCCGGGAAGTCTCGGCAGACAGGCTCAGAGGCTGGCCGGGGCGCGCGGGCGCGGGAAGGGTCTACCCCAGCCCTGGGGAACATTCTTCTCGTGGCTGGGACGTGAGCACCACGGATTCCCAGGGAAGAGGGATCCCATGTGGGAGGGAAAGCATGAGCCAGGGCTCAGGGCAGGACGCAGCAAGTCAGCCGCAGATCAGAGAGGGGCCCGGGACACACGGGTGGGGGTGCAGGACTCCCGGAAAGCCGGAGTCGTGGGGAGCACTTGGGGAGGAGCACGTCCCGGTTCGGGGCGTGGGTGGCGGGAGCTGGGGAGGATGGGACGTGGGGCAGGGGGTGGAGAATCCATCCCTGGAATCAATCCCAGCCCCCTGAACGCGGGAGCCACGCAGAGGGAGAGGGGACAGGCGGGATGGGGGACACGGGGGGGGGGGGGGCAGCACAGGTTCCTCAGGGACAGTGACAACTCAAAGCCGAATGGCCGGTCCTGTGGCGGGCAGCACAGGACGCTGGGGGGGGGGAGGTGGAGGTAGGAGGGTCCAGGCAGGGGACTGGTCAGTTCAAAGTGCAAAGCCCCAGTCTCGAGCACTGGGCATCAAGCACCAAGCACCACAACTCCTTCCTGCGTTAGCAGCTCGGACCCAGGACAGTCCGGGCAGAGCTCCCGGTGGCCATACAGAGGAGGGCGCTCCTAGGGGCCCGGGGGGCAGGGTGGCCGGGCGGGCTGGCTATCTGGGCCCAAAAGGGCGGGCGGTGTTCTGGGGTGCAGCCGGGGGTCCCGGGCCTGCCGGTAAGGCGGGGAGGGAGGCGTCCCGGATCGGAGGCCGCCCAGGACAGGCCCAACTGGCAGTGCCAGATACCAGGGCCCTGACCTGCCCCTCCCGTGGGTCCCTCCCTGCCCAGCCCCAGGCTCACAGGTCCAGCTCCCCGGGCATGCTGGGCGCCAAGTTGTGTCCCCTGGCTTGGGGCCCCGGGGACAGTTTGTGGGTCCCCGTCCAAGAGTGTTTTTTTCCCCCGTTCAGCACCCTGACCCCCAGCTCCCAAGGCTGCCAGCGACCAGTGAGAAACTCAAGGGTCATAGGAGGAGCGAGTGAGACGGGAGGACCCCCCAGGACCCCCCAGATGCCCTGTCCTCCATCATCACCCCTCTGTCTGGGGAGCACACACACTCACACACACACACACAATGCAGACTCACACACACGCAGACACACAGACACATGCAGATACACACACACAGACTCGCACACACACATGCACTCACACACACACAGATTCACACACATGCATACTCACACACACAGAGTCGCACGCGCACACACAGGCACACACACACTCAGACTCACACACACGCAGATTATGCAGACTCACACAGACACGCAGACTCACACAGACACACAGACTCACACACACAGACTCATAGACACACAGACTCACACACAATCACGTAGACTCACGCAAACACACACATGCAGATTCACGCAGACTCACACAGACGCACACACACACGCAGACACAGACTCACAGACGCAGACTCATAGACACACAGACTCACACACAATCACAGACTCACACGCAAACTCACACAGACGCACACAGACTCATTCAGGAATGTACTCATCCACACACGCAGACTCATGCAGACACACACACTCACACATACACACACACAAAGATGCACACAGGTTTTCAGAGACTCACGCATAGACTCACACAGACTCACACACAGAAACACACGCACATACACACACAAGCAAAGCCACGCACAGAGACTCACGCATCCACACGCGCACGCACAAACCCAGGCAGCGTCTCCCACATACTCAGGCCAGGGGCCAGAGTCTGAGCTGCACGGCCCAGGCCTGGGGGGTGGAGGGGCACACGGCCTCCTCTCTGTCCCCCAGCCGGGCCCTCCTGGGGCGTCAGCACCATGACGTCACCCGACTGCCTCACGCTGAGGTCACGGGGCGGGCAGAGGGGCCAGGCGGGCACAGACCCTCAGCGCAGCGCTGCCGGGCGGGCGGGGGGGTGTGACCCTCCCTGGGCCTGGCCCTCCAGCCGCAGGACGCTGGTCAGGAGCCGGGTGATTCAGCCCAGCCGCCGCCGCCGCAGCCACCAGCCACCCCTTGTGCAAGGGGAGAACAGGCCCGACTGGCCCGACAGGATCGGGCCTGGCCTCCCCCACGGGCCTCTGGGCCCTGCCCGGGTACCCCGCCCGCTCCAGACGGCCCCCACCCGGCGGTCGGTCGCAGGGGCAGGAGGGGAACTGAGTCTGGGAGCTTCCTCCTTCGGCGCTGCCCGCGAGGCCCTCCAGGGGGCGTCTGTGAGCAGGTGGGGGCGGCTAGGTCTGGGGTCCGGGGGAGGGACACCAGGGCCCCAGGGCGGGCCTGACGGCTAGTGTGGGTGCCCTTTGGGGAGGTTCTGAACCCAGGAGGACATGTGACCGGGCAATATCAGAGGGCATGTGAACACACGTGATATGGGTGAGACCCACGTGTCAATGTGTGAGGCCCCATGTATGTGAGCTGTGTGATCCGTGTGCGAGATGTGGGTATAAGATCGATGTTGGTGATCTGTGTGATCCATATTCATGACACGTGATCCGTATGTGGTCAGTGTGTGATCTATGTGTGATCCATGTGTGTGATCTATGTGCGATTCACATGTGATCCATGTGTGACACATGATTTGTGTGTGGTCAACATGTGACCCATGTGTGGTCCATGCGTGTGATCCATTTGTGATCCATGTGTGTGATCTATGTGTGGTTCACATGTGATCCATGCATGTGATCCATGTGTGACACGTGACTTGTGTGTGGTCAATGTGTGATCCATGTGTGGTCCATGTGTGTGATCCATGTATGTGGTCTATGTGGTTCTGTGATCTATGCATGTGATCCATTTGTGATCCACGTGATCATACATGTGATCCATGAGTGATCTATGAGTGCAACCCATGTGTATGATCCATGTGTGTAACTCATGCATGTGATCCATTTGTGGTTCATGTATGTGATCTATGTGATCTATGTATGGCCCATGTGTGACCCATGTATTTGATCCATGTGTGATCATGTATGTGTGATCTGTATGAACACTCATACATGAGACCGACATGTGTATGTGTGTTCCACATGTGAAATTCATGTGTGATCCATGTGCAAGATGCGTGTGACCCGTGCATCTTGTGGGAACTGTGTGATCTGAGCCTGTGTGTTTCAGACCCATGTGTCTGAAGTACATCTGAAACACACCATCATGGATAATAGTCCTGTGCATGACCCTTCCATGAGGCCTGTGCAAAGGTCTGAGATTCATGTGTGTGAACGTGGGAGATCTCTGTGCTCTCTGTGCACCTCACGCTCTGCTCCCTGCTGCGTTCCAGTCTAGTCTCTGGCTGTGTCTCTCCGTCTTTCCTCCCTCCTTCCTTTCTTCCTTTTTCTTCCCTTCCTTCCTTCTTTCCTTCCTTCCTTTCTTCCTTCTTCCTCCCTCCCTCCCTCCCTCCCTCCCTCCCTTCCTTCCTTCCTTCCTTCCTTCCTTCTCCTTCCTTCCTTCCTTCCTTCCTTCCTTCCTTTCTTCCTTCTCCTTCCTTCCTTCCTTCCTTCCTTTCTTCCTTCTCCTTCCTTCCTTCCTTCCTTTCTTCCTTCTCCTTCCTTCCTTCCTCCCTTCCTTCCTTCCTCCCTTCCCTCCTTCCTTCCTTCCTTCCTTCCTCCCTCCTTCCCTTCATCCAATCCTTCCTCCCTCCTTCCTCTCTCTCTCCTTCCTTCCTTCCTTCCTTCCTTCTCCTTCCTTCCTTCCTTCCTTCCTCCCTTCCCTCCTTCCTTCCTTCCTTCCTTCCTTTCTTCCTTCTTCCTCCCTCCCTCCCTCCCTTCCTTCCTTCCTTCCTTCCTTCTCCTTCCTTCCTTCCTCCCTTCGTTCCTTCCTTCCTCCTTTCCTTCCTTCCTCCCTTCCCTCCTTCCTTCCTTCCTTCCCTCCCTCCCTCCCTCCCTTCCTTCCTTCCTTCCTTCCTTCCTTTCTTCCTTCTCCTTCCTTCCTTTCTCCTTCCTTCCTCCCCTCCTCCCGTCTTCACTCTGTGTCCCTGGTTGGCTGTGCTGGAGGGGGTGCAGGCGGCTGTCCCTGCCCACCCCCGTGGACACCTAGGGGTGAGGCCACTGTCCGCGGGCGGGCGGGCGACGGGAGACACTCGGGCCGCAAACAAACAGCAGTCTGTGGGCTCCAGCCCCCCCCCCTCCCGGCTCCCCAGCACCTGTGCCCCCCCAAGCAGCCTCCACCAGAAAAACCAGCTCCCAGAGAGCGGGCAGGGTGTCTGGGCGGCTGGGGGAGGGTCCCGTCTGGGTCCCCTTTGTTAAGGCATCCCTCCCGGGGACAGTGGGGATGTGTGGGGGCGTCTGAGGTGAGACCCGGCTGGGGTGGGGGCCCGGTGACGTCACCACGCGTCGAGGGCCCCTCCCCAGGGCCTCTGCACAAGGCAGAGCCCTGAAAACCGGGTGCCCCCCCGGCTTCCCCCCCCCCCCCGGCTTCCCCCCACTGTCCTAAGCCCCCAGCTTAGCCACAGCTTCCCTGCCCGGGCAGGGCGCCCACCGGCAGATTAGCGTCGGGGGTGGGGGGGCGGCGAACAATGGGGGTGGCCGGGCCCAGACAGGGTTCCCAGGTAAGTCCCCTAAACCCCCGGAGCCGAGTCTGAGCCCGCTGAGTCATCGCTCTGTGGGTGGGAGACCCCAAACTCCACTTCTCCCAAACCCCGGGAGGCCGGGGGAGGGGCGGCGAGTCTGGGAAAAGCGAGTCCCGGGCAGCGGGGCCCCCGCGACCCACCCGGGACCCTGGGACCCCAGGCCTCCTCCGGGCAGCCCCACCCACCTCTGCGGGATCACTGCCTCCCACCCCCACCCCTGGGACAGAGGCTGCAGCCGGATCGCCCCGATGCCCAGGGCGGGTCTGAGGTCACGGCCACTTCAGGGCTTTCCCGGCACCCCGGGGATCCCCGCCCCTCTGGCTGGGTCCAGCTCCCGGGTGCAGGGCTGGCCCTCTGCAGAGGGGGCAGAGCACGAGGGGCCTCAGTGAGGGGACCTGGCGGGCGCAGGCCCACTGGGGTGACGGGGGCGTGGCTCCGGGTCCCTGAGGGTGTCAGGGCAAGGGACCGGGCAGGGCTGGGAGGGGGAGGGAGGGGACCTCACCCGGAAACTCATCCCATTACCCAGGAGACAAAGGCGCCTCAGCGGGTGGGGCCCGGCCTGGGGCACTCCCAGCCAGGACTGGGGGTGCTGGTGGCAGCAGGCAGTGGGTCCTCCCCACCCCCCACCCCCCACCCACCGCTGTCCAGGCAGCAGCCTTCAGGGGTACTCAGAGGCCACTCAGAGCTGGAGACGGGGATCAGGGGGTGGACAGGGCCCCACCCAGCCGGACCCTGGGGTGCCGGCGACTTTCTCAGACAAGTCCCCGCAGGGGGCACTGCAGAGATGCTTGGAAGAGCTCTTCTCTGGGAGGGTCCCCTGGGACCCCCCACACCTGGAGGCGAAGGAAGGGGCCGGGAACCCCAACCACACCCCCGTCGTGCACAGGCCCCTGCAGGACCCCCCACGCCTCCTCTCAGAAGCCCCCACAGCACGCTCCGCCTCGGGACTCCCAGACTGACAACGGTGGCTCGGTCTGACTCAGTTTCCCTACCCTTACGTCCGTCCACACGGGGAGCCCTAGGACCAGCCTGTCCCTGTCTGGAGCGGGGACACCTGTTCTTCCTCCTCCACTGGCCCCGAGAGAAGCAGCTGCACCCTCAATCTGGCGGCCGGACCCCCTTTACACCTGCCGCTCCCGGGGGGTCAGGGCGAGCGGGGGGAAGGGGGGGGACAAAGGGGGCCACACCCTCCATGGAGGCACGACACCCACACTGGACTCCACACCCGGCAGCCCAGTGGGCAGGCGGGGGACGCTGCCACCTCCCTCGGGGTTGGGACCGTGGGGCGGGGGGAGACGGACCCCCCAGAGTGTCCGTCTCTCCCTGTGGCCGTCCTGGCTTTGCTCATCCCTCTGCCTGGCCGGCCGCGGGATTGCGGGAGTGTGTCCCCCTGCCCACAGGGGAGGGGGACGGGCGCCCCGCGGAGGGGCGTGAGGGGGCGGGAGGGGTCGCGTCCTACCTGCCAACAGCGCCAGCAGCAGCAGCAAAGGGGCCTCGGGCCCCCACATCTCGGCTCCCAGGGGCCGGGCCATGGGGCGGGCAGCGCTGCCCGGGGTCGCCGGGGGAGCTGGCGCGGCCGGAGGCAGGAGGTGCCGGGCGCTCGGTGGCCCCCCGCGGCTGTGTCCGAGCCCCCTGCCCCGCTGCGCCCGGCCGGCCGCCTGCCGCTGCCCCCTAGAAGTTCGCCCGGGAGCCGCGCTCTCCGGAGCTGCTTCCCACGCCGCCGCGGCCAGCAGGACGGTAGAAACTTGGGAACCTGCTCAGCCGGTCAGAACAGGTGCTGGTCCCGTCCCGGGGGCCGGGCCTGGCACGGAGCAGACGCAGCCGACGCTCAGCTCAGCCGCCGCCCCCACGACGGGCGGGCAGGGCCGGGCGGGTGCTCCAGGCCTCCTGGGTGGGAGGAAGGAGGCAGGACACCGCCTGGCGCCCCCCCACCCCCGGCCCCCGGGGCCACGTGGGGACCAGACCAGAGGCCGCAGCTGGCCGGGCCCCCCTCCAACAGGAGACAGGCGGGGCTGGGGGCTGACCCCGCCCCCCAACGGGAGTCCGGACAGGGCTCCTCCTGCCCCCGTGGTGACCGGCCGTCGAGGCCTCGTGTCCATGCTCTCTGGCCAGCCCTGGCCTTGACTCCTGAGCCCGGGAGGGTCTGCATCCGCGACGGGAGAGGGGACGGGCCCAGTGGAGGCTGGGGGACAGTTGGAGGGACAGAGTTTGGACTCAGTGGGGGCAGAGCCACAGCAGGACACGCGCCTGAGACAGGCAGACGGGACATGGGGCAGGAGGTCGCGGCAGGGGGCCGGGGCAGCGTGGGGGCGTCACTGTCGCTGCCCGGCCAGCTCCATCCTGCTGCTCCATCCTGCTGCCCACGGAGGCCGCCCATCCCCTTCCCCGGGGTCCGGCCCCCGCACCATCACCCCGGGCGCCCCCACCCGCCAGCCTCATTACGGCCGTTCCCTCATTTGTGCGGACTTATCTCTGGAGTTAAATTGTCACTTTTGAAGGAGAGGCCCCGGCGGAAGCCGGCTGGCTGCCAGCGGCCAGGACGTGGCGTGAGGGACTGGGGGCCGGCCCCCGCCTTCCCGAGGGGGTTCCCCTCTGCTCACCCGCTCCGCTCACCCATGCCCACCGAGGGGCCGCCCGAGCCCGGGTCCGACTCGGAGCGTGCAGGTGAGGGTCGCCAACACGGGGACCCGCTCCCTGTACCCGCCTTGCCTCTGCACAGGACGACCGACCGTGGGGACCCCTCCCTCCACGCCCCCGGCCCCCTCCGGGGAACCCCAGCCCCCCGGAGCTCCGTCCCCACCTGTGCCGGGGGTGGGGGTGGGGGGGCCCCACCCCGATGCCGCTTTGAGATCTGCCGTGGCTGGGGCAGGGCCGGGGGGCGGGAGGCGTGGCCTCGGTTATAATTATAATTATCGCACCTGGATGCTATCACAGCCCCTCCGTCTTCCCACGGACTCCCCCTCCCAGGCAGGGAAGTGCCGGGGAAACCGAGGCACGGGGCCCCGCCCCTCCCCTCTGCCCTCCCACGCGCCGCAGGACCCCACCCCAGCCCTGAAGCCCAGGAGCCCCCACCACTGGGAGGGGACCCTGGGGGGCTCAGAGCCTCCAGGGCTGGGGTCCCCCATCTGGTCCCCTAGTCCTGTCTCAAGCTCCACCTGGCCCCAGGAACCCCCTGCCCAGGGACATGGTCTGGCCAGGGGCAGCATCCTTGACTCTGTCTTTCCTTCCTGGTGACCGCTGCCCCCTGTCCCCCACGTCCCCAGTGGCCGGCCAGGTGTGTGGCAGGCATAGAACCCGCACAGGGGCATGTCTTGTGGCATGGTTGGTGCCCCGGAAGGGCTCTGCCCCGGGAAGGCTGGCCGCGGGCACAGCCTGTCCTATCACCGTCCCTGTCTCCTCATCCCTGTCCCTCTCCTTGTCTCTGTCCCTGTCCCCGTCCGTCCTGATGCCTCCTGGCAGCTGTGGCCGTGTGTATGGCGTGTGTCCGGCTGGCCGCGGGCACCGTGAGCTGCAAACTCAGCCAAACCGGTTCTTGTTTGTGTGGACAAGCCTGGCGGTGAGTCAGGGAGGGCCAGGAGGGGTGGGGTGGGGGGAGAGGAAGGGTCGGGGATGGGGGGGACAGGGTGTATAGCAGGAGGAGCCCTGGGGAGGGACTTCCTGGGTGTCCTCCTTAGGGGGCACCCTTGGGTCGCGGCCTCTCGCTCTAGTCTTCAGGGGAAGGTGGCGAGGGCTCGAGTGAGGCCCGGGGCCGGGCTGCACCATCCCTAGGCGTGAGGGGGCCGCATCCGGGTCCAGGGGGCTCCACCTCTCAGGACCTCCTGCTGGACCCTGCTGCCAAGGGTCGGAGGATCCAGGGAGGGCGTGCAGGACTTGGCCTGGCTCTCCTTCCAGCACCAGCCCCCGCCCCTCCTCCTAGATATTTTTTTGGGGGGAGGGCCACACAGGTGATGCTCGGGGGTTCCACCTGGCTCTGCACCCAGGAATGACTTTTTTATTTTTGCTTTTTGGGTCACACCCGGCGATGCTCAGGGGTTACTCCTGGCTCTGCACTCAGGAGTTACTCCTGGCGGTGCTCAGGGGACCATATGGGATGCTGGGAATCGAACCCGGGTCGGCCGCGTGCAAGGCAAACGCCCTCCCCGCTGTGCTCTCTCCAGCCCCCCAGGAATGACTCTTGGAGGTGCTCAGGGGACCCTATGGGATGCCGGGGATCGAACCCGGCATCAGCTGCGTGCAGGCCAGTCCCTCCGTGCTGGACTGTGGCTCCCGCCTCTGCCCGTACCCCCAGATGGGGGCGTTCCGTGCTGACCTCTCCTCCCTGCGGTACGGACGGCAGCTCTGGGGAACCCAAAAGGTCCTCCCGCTTCTTGGCTATAGAAAAAGGCCGAAAAGGGAGGCGGGGTGCAGGCTGAAGAGCCAGACAGCAGCTGGGGACCCGCTGGACGTGGTTGCAAAGACCTCTGTCCCCTCTCCAGGGCAAAGACCAGCCTGACAAGGCCCCGGGCACTGGAGTGCTAGGCAGCTCCGGGGCAGTCGCGTCGTCTCCAGAGGCCGGGGACTGAGGCGAGAGCAGCCTTGGGGACACAGGTCCCGGTGAGTCCTGCCCTCCAGGCTGTTCCCTGGGAGGGGCGGGCACCTGTCCCCTGGCTCCTGCCGTAAGGCACAGAACAGAGGGATAGGGGACGCCGGGGCAGAGGTCAGGTCCACGGTGCCCGGGGCCACCCTGATGCCAGCCGAGGCCCGAAGACCAGCGGCTGGCTTTATTCCGGAGCCCCTGGCCGGAGGGTGCCTGGCGCCCCGCCCCGCTGCACCCCAGCAGGTGTGGCCGGGAGCCGCGGCTCTGCTGCGCCCTAGCGGCCAGTCCCCCAAAACGCTCTGGGAGCGCACGGCCGAGGACAGGTCACCTGCAGCCGCACGCAGTGGGGAACCTGCCTGGTCCAGGGGGCTCCCCGTCCCCGCTGCCCTCCCCGGGGCCACCAGGGCGCCCGCAGCTCCCGGTCACCATCCAGCTCAGCCCGCGGCGGGGGCCCCCTGGAGACACCTCCCGTCTCCATGGTGACGACATCACCCTGGCCAACAGCCTCCAGGTCTCCCGTCCCCATGGCAACAGCCGCAGCATCCCGGGGCGTCGGCGGGTCAGCCGGCCGGCGGCCTCCGGGCGACCGCCCTTTCCGGTGGCCGCGGTCGCGTGTCCATGGAGACGGCGGCGCTTTGCGACCTCGCGTTTGCGCGCGCCACGTCACGCGGGGGGGGCGGTTGCTGGGCCGGCGGGGGCGGGGCCATGGCAGGGGCCCGGGGCTGGACGTGGCGGCCGGTGGCCCGGGACCCGCTGCTGGCGCGGGGCTTCCACTCGTGCACGGAGCTGCAGGGGCGCTTCTACCTGGTGGGGGGGCTCCTGGCGGGAGGCAGCCGGCAGCCCAGCGCGGACACGGTGGTCTTCGACCCGCGGGGGCGCCGCGCGGTGCGGCTGGGCGCGGGGGACGGCCCGGGGCGCAGCCACCACGATGCAGTGGCCGTGGGGGGCCGCTGGCTGTGCGTGGTGGGCGGCTGGGACGGGGCGCACCGCCTGGCCACCGTGGCCGCGCTGGACACGGAGAGCGAGCACTGGGAGGCGTGGGCCGCCGCGCCGGGCGGCTACAGCCCGGCCGGCCTCAGTGGCCACACGTGCACCCGCGTGTCCGAGCGCGAGCTGCGCGTCGTGGGCCGCGAGGGCGGGACGCGCACGCAGCGCCGCTTCGGCAGCGTCTTCACGCTGCGCCTGGACCCCGACGCCCGCGCCTACAGGTTCGAGCCGCGCCCCCCGCGCGCGCCCCGGCCCGACTGTCCCGAACCCCCGCGCGCGCCCCTGCCCGACTGTCCCGAACCCCCGCGCCCCCCAAACCCCCCAGCGCCCCGGCCCGACTCCCCTGCGCCCCTGAGTCCCTGTCCCCGGCCCTACTGTCCCGCGCGCCCTGCGCCCCCGCCGGACCCTCCCGCGTCCCACGCGCCCTGCACCCCGGCTCGGCTCCTCCGCGACCCCCGCGCCCGGACCCGGTTGTCCAGCGCGCCTCGTGCCCCCTCCCCAGCCTCTCCCGCGCCCCCGCGACCCCCAGCCCCAGCCTCTCCCGCGCAGTTACACGGAGGAAAGCTACCGCACGACCTCGCGCTCGGGACACTGCGCCGCGCTGCTGCAGACCCCAGGGCCGCGGCCGGGCCACCAGCTGCTGATCGTGGGGGGCTGCATCTCCCCGGAGTCGGAGGTGGCCGGCCACTGGAGCTGGGGCAAGATTAAGGTAGGTGGGGGGTGGGGGTGGGGGCTGGAGCGATAGCACAGTGGGGAGGGCGTTTGTGAACGCGGCCGATGCGGGTTCGATTCCCAGCATCCCATAGGGTCCCCTGAACACCGCCAGGAGTAATTCCTGACTGCGTGAGCCAGGAGGAACCCCTGAGCATTGCTGAGTGTGACTCCCCCCCCCAAAAAAAACCAGATTAAGGTAGACAAGGGGCGCGCACTGCCCGTCCCAGCTCCGAAAGGTCCTCAACACCGCACCCCCCCTCCCAGCTGGAGCCCCCCGCAGCCCCCTGCTTGACGGAACAGCTGGCCAGGCTGGTGAGCGGCGCGCAGGGCGCCCTGCAGGGCCCGCGGGGCCTCCGGCATCACTCGTGCACCGTGGTGGGGCCCTTCGCCGTCATCTTCGGGGGAGAGACGCTGACCAGGGCTCGAGACACCGTGTGCGATGACCTCTACGTGCTGGACGCCCGTGAGAGACGGAGAGGCGGGCAGGGGGGCGGGGAGGGGGCGCCCCCCGTCGCCTGCCCGGGGGTGGAGCCTGGTCCAGCCCGCATCCCTCCCGCTCCCTGCAGGCCGGGTCCCGCCGTGCTGGTTCCGCTTCCCCTGCGCAGAGCCCGGGATGAAGCGCTTGGGCCACCGGACGTGCCTGTGGGGTGACCAGCTGTACCTGGTGGGCGGCTTCGGGGCCGACGGCAGGACGGCCAGCCCCGAGGTGTGCGTGCTGGACCTGTTCCCCTGACGCTGGGCCCCAGGGGCCCTGCTGACCGACCGCGGGCTCCCCGGGGCGCACCTCTCCGCACGCATCTGCGGCGGTCACCCGCGGCGGTGTCCAGGGGGCCGCCGCGGTTCCTCATTAAAGCTCAGTTTGACAGGCACGTGTGTGAACTTGGGGGGCAGCGCGCGCCCCCCGTTTGTCAGGGTCCCCCCGGCAAGCGCTGACCCAGGCTGGGCCCGCGGGACCCCACGGCCCCGTTGCGCGCCGCGTTCTGGCGCGAGCACAGGCTTGAGTTCAGTGTTCTGACCAAAACATTTAATTAACAAAAAAAAAAATCAAACCAAAAAAAAAAAAAAAAAAAAGAACCACACACACACAGGACAGCAGAGAAGGGAGGAGGAGGCTGAGAGAACCGTGCGGGCGGCCTAGGAGACCAGGACCCCCGCCGAGCCGCCCTTGGGGCCCGGCCCGTCGGGGGGCGCGGGCGCCGCGGGCTTCTCGTCCTCGCCCAGGAGACGGATGTTGTGTTTTTCCCGGAACTCGTTCAGCTCCTTGCCCTTGGCCTGCAGCTGCTGCGTCAGCGTCTCGATGATCTTCTGGATCTGGGGAGGGCAAGTGGGCGGGTGGGCGGCGGCTCCCGCGCGTCTGGGGCCTCCCGCAGCCCCCCGCGCCCCGCGCCCCGGCCCCGCGCGCACCTGCTCCTTGTTGCTCTCCAAGGCGGGCAGCACCTCCTTCACCGTCCGCTCCACCAGGACCCCACCCACCATGCGGTAACACTTCCGCGTCTCGTCCACCTCCTTCAGGGTGTCGATCACCAGGCTGGGGGGTGGGTGGCAGGGGTGAGGGCCGGACAGTCCACGCGCAGGGCGCGCGCCCGTCCCCTCCGTGGTCCCCCGCCTCCGCCTCTCACCTGTGCTCACCCAGCTCCATCTCCAGCTCGGCCGCTTTGGACGCCAGGCCCCGCTGCTCCTGCCGCAGCCGGTTGAAGCCGGCAATGACCTGGGGGGTTGGGGGAGAGGGGCAGTGGGCGCAGGTTCACCCCCCTGGTCCAGCAGCACACGCCTCACACCTCGCCCCCAGGAATGAACCGCGGAGTCCGCCGCTGGGTCAGGGGTGGGAGGGGACAGCCAGGCCCCACGCCAACGGGGCAGGTACCTGGCCCACACTGGGCGTCCACTCCCTGGGCAAGTCCCTGGTGCTGGCCGCAGAGCCGGGTGCCCAGCCCACCCTGCCCAGTTCCCAGACAGCCCCAGAATGGCCCCCGATTACCCACCGCGGGCAGGGAGGCTGGCCCAGTGTCCCACCCCAAATCCCTCCTGTCCAAACCAGCCCCCACGACCACTATGACCCCCCCCCCCACCCGTTCCCATGCCAGGCCAGGCTCGGGGTGGGAACTGGGCACAGTCTGCTCTCCAAGCCCCACAAAACGCCAGGCCAGCGATTTCTTCCCTCGTTTTTGCTAATTACTTGCTTCCTAATTGCATCTCGGTGGTCCAGACCGTAAGCTTTTATTATTTTTTTAGGGGGGGGGTCACAACTGGCAAAGCACAGGGGTTGCTCCTGGCTCTGCACTCAGGAATCACTCCTGGCGGGGCTCGGGGGACCCTATGGGATGCTGGGGATCGAACCTGGGCACTATGTTGTTATCACTCCAGCCCTGACCATGAGCTTTTTTTTTTTCTTTTTCTTTTTCTTTTTGGGTCACACCCGGCGAGATGCACTGAGGTTCCTCCTGGCTCATGCACTCGGGAATTACTCCCGATTAATCACTCCTATTCAAGGGAGAACACAGGCTTGAACAGCAAGCTGATTCTTTTCTTTGAAGAAACTGAGGCTCCTTGAAGTGAACTGTTTCAGCTCACCCAGCTGCCAGGCCCAGCACTGGCTTGCTTCTGACTTTACAACGGTTCTGGAATTGATTGTCTTTTTTCCATTCTTTTTGCTGAAGAATTTTGTTTAAGAATTTTTTAAAGAATTTTGTCTATTATATTTCCCTCTGGGCTGGAGCGATAGCACGGCGGTAGGGCGTTTGCGTGCTCACAGCCGACCTGGCTGATCCAGGTTCGATTCCTCCGCCCCTCTCTCTCGGAGAGCCCGGCAAGCTACCGAGAGTATGTCGCCCGCATGGCAGAGCCTGGCAAGCTCCCCGTGACATATTCGAGATGCCAAACACAGTAACAACGTCTCACAACGGAGACGTTACTGGGCCCGCTCGAGCAAAATCGATGAACAACGGGAGGACAGGGCTACAGTGGTGCTCGGGGGACCCTATGGGATGCTGGGAATCGAACCCGGGTTGGCCGCGTGTAAGGCGAACGCCCTACCCGCTGTCCAGCCCCTGCGACCATGAGCTTTTAATGAACAACAGAGCCTAAGAGATTCTTCCACGTATCTTATGGGTTTGGGGATCACCCCTGGCTGTGGTCAAGGGCCACTCAAGGGTGCCCCGGAGGCAGCTGGCTCAGTTGGGGAAATCTATCCGGGCCGCCTGGTACAGGGCCTGAATCCCAGCACTTTCTCCCCGGGGCGCCAGCAGGCTGGGAGCGGAGAACCCAGAGAGCAGCGGACACGGGCTCCTGACCCTACCCAGTGGTGCTCAGGGGCTACTGCCAGCCCCAGGGAGCACCAAGGATCCCCGAGATCGAATCTTGACCTCCTGCCTGCAGAAGCAGCCAGCCCGGTTCTGCTCTGGCCCAAACCCGTGTCTGTGACTTCGAGGGCCGGTTTTCCCCGCCGCCTGCCAGCCCAGAGAGGCATTCGCTGTTCGGGAGGGTTCCTGCCCCTCCTGGTTCCGTAAGTCCTGCAAAAATCCACCCCTGCTGCCCTCCATGGACCCTCTCTCCTGCCCACACTTGCCTTCCCTTTCCAGGGGCCTTTCCCTGGAACTAACCAACACTGCAAACCCTGGCTAAACTGCGTCCCCCACTCGACACTGCGGCCGGGCCGGGCAGGGCCCAAGCTGACAGCCCCTGGGTGCCCCATCACCGGATCCCGGGCGCTGTCTGAACCAGGGGGGGGGGTCTCCCGTACTCCTATACCCACAGCTCGGGAGCCCCATCTCGGACCTGGAGGTCTCCTTCACCAGGGGGGGGATCTCCTGCACCCAGGGGTCATCCCTACTCCCATGTCCACAGGCTGAGCGCCCCATTCCAAACCTGAGGGTCTCTCGCACCTGGGGGTCTCCTGCACTGGAGGGGGGAGGGGTTTCTGCACCCAGGGGTCTCTCTGCACCTAGAGGATCTCCCCTACACCCATACCCGCAGCCTAGGCGCCCCATCCCCGGACTTCGAGGTCTCCTGCACCTGGAGGTCTCCTGCACCGGGGAATCTTCTGCACCCCGGGGATCTCTTGAGCCCAGGGGTCTCCCTGCACCCTGAAGGGTGTCCTGCAACGGGAGATCTCCTGCACTCGGGGAAGCTCCTGCACGTGGGAGATGTCCTAGCAGGGATGGGGGAGCAGGGGGGTGTCGTCTTCTGCACCCGGTGGGGTCTCCCTGCACCTGGGGTCTCCTGCATACACCCGGGGGAGCTCCTACGCCTGGGGGGGGATCTCGCTGCACGGGTGGGGGGGAGGGGGGTCTCCCTGCACCCTGGATATCTCCTGCACTCGGGGTAGCTCCTGTGCCCGGGGGGGGGGGGGGGGGGGGGGGGGTCCCCCTGCACCTGGGGTCTCCTGCACACACCCGGGGAGTTTCGTGCACCCCGGGGAGCTCCTATGCCTGGGGGGGGGATCTCGCTGCACGGGTGGGGGGAGGGGGGTCTCCCTGCACCCTGGATATCTCCTGCACTCGAAGGAGCTCCTGCACGGGGAGGGGGGTGGTCTTCTGCACCCGGTGGGGTCTCCCTGCACCTGGGGTCTCCTGCATACACCCGGGGGAGCTCCTACGCCTGGGGGGGTCTCCCTGCACCCTGGATATCTCCTGCACTCGGGGGAGCTCCTGTGCCCGGGGGGGGGGGGGGGGGTGTCTCCTGCACGGGGGGGTGTCTTCTGCACCCGGTGGGGTCTCCCTGCACCTGGGGGTTTCCTGCACTCGGGGAAGCTCCTACACCTGGGGGGGGGGGGTCTCGCTACACGGGGGTGGGGTGGGGGGGGAGTGTCTCCCTGCACCCTGGATATCTCCTGCACTCGGGGGAGCTCCTGTGCCCGGAGGGGGGGTCTCCTGCACTGGGGGGGGGGTGTCTTCTGCACCCGGTGGGATCGCCCTGCACCTGGGGGTCTCCTGCACCCGGGAGGTTTCGTGCACCTAGGGAGCTCCTACGCCTGGGGGGGGGGGTCTCGCTACACGGGGGGGGGTGTCTCCCTGCACCCTGGATGTCTCCTGCACTCGGGGGAGCTCCTTGCCCGGGAGGGGTCTCCTGCACCCGGGGGGGGGTCTTCTGCACCCGGTGGGGTCTCCCTGCACCTGGGGGTCTCCTACGCCTGAGGGGTCTCCTGCACCCGGGGGGGTCTCCCGATTTCCATGCCCGCAGCCCCCCGCCCATCCCCCTCCCCGGCCCTCCGCGGCCCGCTCGCCGCATGCGGGGGGCGTGACTCACGGCCCGACGCCGCCCCCCGGGCGAGCGCGCGTCCGAGACGCCCCCGCGGCGTCCGACACGCCCCGGCGCGGGCCCCGGCGATCACCTGCTCGGCCGAGACCCCCGCCCGGCCCGCGCCGCCGCCGCCGCCGCTCTTGCCGGCGCGCCCGCTGCCGTCCGCCATCGCCGCCGCCCGTGGTTTCCGGCCGCCGGCCCGCCCCCCGCGTCACTTCCGGGCGCCCCGCCGGCCCGCCCCTGCGGGCGGCGCACGCCCCGCCCCTTCCGGCGCGCCCGGGCCCCGCCCCTTCCGGCGCGCCCGGGCCCCGCCCCGCGGACAGCGCTCGCCCCGCCTTTTCCGGCGCGCCCGGGCCACGCCCCCCCGCGGGCCGCGCTCGCCCCGCCCCTTCCGGCGTGCGGCTGTCCAGCGGCTCTCGGCGTCCAGCGCGCGGGCTGCGACCGCGGCTCCCCATGTAGGCGCGCCCGGCGGGGTCCGCGGCCGGGCGGGGCCGGGCGGGGCCCCCGCGTGTCCGCGCCTCCCGCGCGCACGCGCGCACGCGCCCCACCCCCACCCGGCCCCGCGGGTGCAGGGCGGGAGCGGGCCGCGGCCGGCGTCCGGCGTCCAGCGCGCTGACCGTCTCCTCCCCGCAGGCTGGGCGGCGGCGTCAGGCCCCCGCACCTGCTCCTGCCCCTGCTGCGGGGCCCCGGACTCCGCCCCCCGCGGCGATCGCCCCTGCGCGCTCCGCCCAGGTAACGGGGTTTCGGGGTGGTGGCCAGCTGCCCCGCGGACGCCCGGGTCGGGGGGCGAGGCCCGGCTGAAGCCCCGAGTCCCGCCGTGCCCTCCCCAGGCCCCGGGCCATGGCCACCCCCGCCGCGGAGCTGCCCCTGGTGGCCGTGTGCCAGGTCACGTCCACGCCGGACAAGCGGCAGAACCTGCAGGCCTGCGCCCGGCTGGTCCGGGAGGCCGCGGGCCTGGGCGCCTGCCTGGCCTTCCTGCCCGAGGCCTTCGACTTCATCGCGCGGAGCCCCGAGGAGACGCTCGGCCTGTCCGAGCCGCTGGACGGGCCGCTGCTGGGGGAGTACGCGCAGCTGGCCAGGTAGGGCGCGGGGGGCGCCCGGGCGGGGCCCCCCCGGGCCCGGCCTGAGCTGCCCGCTCCCCTCCCCCAGGGAGTGTGGACTCTGGCTGTCCTTGGGCGGGTTCCACGAGCGTGGCCCGGACTGGGAGCAGAGTCGCAAGATCTTCAACTGTCACGTGCTCCTGGACAGCCAGGGTGAGCGCCCGGGGCCGCCCGCCCGCGGGGCCCGGCGTGGCCAGGCCCGGCTGCCCAGCGCGAGTGTGTCCTGGCTCTCACGGCAGGGTCGGTGGTGGCCACGTACCGGAAGACTCACCTGTGCGACGTGGAGGTCCCCGGACAAGGTCCGATGCGTGAGAGCAGCTCCACCGTGGCTGGGCCCAGACTCGAGCCCCCCATCAGCACCCCTGCGGGCAAGGTGCGCCGGGCACGGGGACGGGAGGGGCGGAGCTGCCCGGCGCTGGACAGGGCCCGAGCCTGTGGCTTCCCTTGCAGCTCGGGCTAGCCGTGTGCTATGACATGCGTTTCCCGGAGCTGTCTCTGGCCTTGGCTCAGGCCGGGGCAGAAATACTCACCTACCCTTCGGCCTTCGGCTCCGTCACCGGTCCTGCCCACTGGGAGGTAAGGTGGACCAGGGCCTGCTGCCCGGCTGAGGACATTCTCCATCGAGGCCTGCGATGGCCCTGGCAGTGACGACCCCTCCTGCTTGCCAGGTGCTGCTGCGGGCCCGTGCCATCGAGACCCAGTGCTACGTGGTGGCCGCAGCGCAGTGTGGACGCCACCGACGAGAAGCGATCCAGCCACGGCCACAGCATGGTGGTGGACCCCTGGGGCACGGTGGTGGCCAGCTGCTCCGAGGGCCCCGGCCTCTGCCTGGCCCGCATCGACCTGGGCTACGTACACCAGCTGCGCCAACACCTGCCCGTGTTCCAGCACCGCAGGCCTGACCTCTACCGCAGCCTGGCTCAGCGGCCGGCTTAGGACTGGTGCTCTGGTGACGGTGACCAGGGAGGGGGCAGGACCCGGGCACGCCCCCACTCGTGCCAGGGGTGACCCGGGACCCTGCTCGGGGGATGGAAAAACCGAAGTGAGCTCAGATCTGATTTCAGAAAGGTGAATCGGACAGTCACTGTTTTATTTCATGGAAACTGGAGCGCCAGCAGCGCCGTATTGAAAATACACTCGTCACAAAGTCTGTGTCTGGACAGCTCATTGCAGGGGGGGTCGGGGAGCGGGATGGTACCCGGCTGGACTGGGCTCGGCTCCTCCTGGCCTCCTGGTTCACGCGGCCCACCATCCCCCCGTGCGCCCCACTCAAAGTGCGACCCGCAGTGCATTCCCAGGCTCGGGCGCCGGCCGGCAGGAGGGAGGGAAGAGTGGACAGAAGCCCCTTCCCTCCACACTCCGCACGGGAAGCAGGGGTGGACGGGCCGCGGGCAGGTGCCCTGGCCTGGCCCTCCACCGGAGCCTGTGCTCGGCTGGGGGGCCGGTTTGGCAGAGACCCCCCACCACCCCCGCACCACCACCACCAGTGCTTGCCGTGGGCAGGAGACAGCTGAGAGGGCCACGGTGTGTTTTGTAGAAAGTGTGACTGGGGAAGGGGGGGAGTGGACGGCCAGTTTCCAAAACTCGCTTCCGAGCCCGCCTGCCTCCCGCCAGGCTCTGAACGTACTCACAGCCCTTTGGTTTTGCAGAAGCGATCCGAGAGCCCCGGGCCGCCCCTGCAACTGTCCACCACGCCGGGCCGGCCCGCCTCGCCGGCCCCACGCGTGGCTGGTGGCTCGGCGGTGGGTGGCGGCGGCCGGGACCGGGGTGCCCGGGCGCGGGGCTTCCGACGTCTCTCCTTGAAAATAAAAAGGCAGGGGTGTGACTGGCCTGGAGGGAGGGTCCGCGGGGGCCACGGCGGGCGGGTGGCCGGGCCAGGCCAGGCCGGGCCGGGGCAGGCAGGGCCCCCGGCGGGTCACGGCAAGGCCTGAAGCACCAAGTTCCTCAGCAGGTTCTGCCGGCCCAGCTCATAGTCCTCCTCGTCCACGTTCACCAGCAGCTTGATGGCCTCGTGGCCCACGGCCTGCTTGAGCGAGTCCGTGATGAAGACGCCCTTGAGGGCCTCCAGCAGGGAGCCGTTGATGTAGTCGCGCCAGAAGGCGTCGAGGTAGGTGAGCTCGGAGAACTTGATGTCGCAGATGATGGAGCCCAGGTCGCGGGACTTGAGGATGGTGTTGGCCTGGTTGAAGCGCTCGAACTGGCGCTCCAGGGGCTCCTGCTTGTCCGAGAAGACGTTGCCCTGCAGGGCCGCCTCGTGCTGGCAGTACTCGGCGCGCACCCGCAGCCGGATGTCTGCGGGGCGGGGAGCGGGGACGGCCCCGGGCGTGAGCCGGCGGGGCCGTCACGGGCGCGGGGCCCCCCACCCCCGGCGGCCCCCCGATTGCTCACCGCACGTCTGCTTCTCCTTGGGGTCCGGCGTCAGCGACTTGCGGCGCTTGCGGGGGCTCCCCAGGGCCGCCCTGCCGCCGCGGGCCGGGCGCTTGGGGCACATCTGCGGGCCGGAGGCCGAGCAGCACACCACGGGGTAGTGGGCAGGCACTGCGGGTGGACAGCGGGGGCTCAGGCTCAGGGCCGGGGCGTCGTGCGCGGAACCCCCCGCCCTTGCCCCGGCAGCCGCGAGGGGCTCACCTGTTTTTGAGGGCTGGGGAGGCCTCGGCTCCGGCTCACTGAGGGCTCGGGGGGTCACATAGCGGATGGACGTTTCCTCCAGGTACTTGTCCACGAGGTCGGGACACACTGGCGGGGACAACGACGGGGGTTGAGGGGCCCCGCCCCTTTGCCACCAGACCCGCCCCTAGCGCGCTTGGCCCCGCCTCCTCGCCGCCAGACCCTATCAGGACTACCCCAGCGTGCCTGGCCCCGCCCCTTCACTGTCAGACCCGCCCCACACGATTGGCCACGCCCCTCCACAAACAGCCGACCAGGAGCATCCGACCCCGGCCCCAGCACACTCAGTCCCGCCCCCTCACCACCGGGCCCTATCAGGACTGCTCGCTACACATCCGGCCCCACCCCCTCACCGCCAGGCCCTGCTAGGTCCGCCCCCAGCGCACTTGGCCCCGCCCCTCACAAGCAGATTGGCTTATGAAGCACCGGGCCCCGCCCCCTCGCCACCAGAGCCTATTGGGACCATTCCCCTGACTGCCCGGCCCCACCCCCCTCACCGCCAGGCCCTATCAGGACCGTCTCCAGCGCACTTGGCCCTGCCCCTTCACTGTCAGAACCGCCCCCAGCATACTTGGCCCCGCCCCCGCACAAGCAGATTGGCCTATGGAGCACTGGGCCCCGCCCCTCACCACCAGAGCCTATTGGGACCGTCCACCCACCGCAAAGCCCTATCAGGACCACCCCCAGCACATTTGGCCATGCCCCTTCACGGTCAGAACCACCCCCAGCATACTTGGCCCCGCCCCCCGCACAAGCAGATTGGCTTATGGAGCACTGGGCCCCGCCCCCCTTCACCACCAGAGCCTATTGGGACCGTCCGGCCCCACCCCCTCACCGCAAAGCCCCATCAGGACCGCCCCCAGTACATTTGGCCATGCCCTTTCCCGGTCAGAACCACCCCCAGCATACTTGGCCCCGCACAAGCAGATTGGCTTATGGAGCACTGGAACCCGCCCCCTCACCGCAAAGCCCCATCAGGACCGCCCCCAGCATACTTGGCCCCGCCCCCGCACAAGCAGATTGGCTTACGGAGCACTGGGCCCCGCCCCCCTCACCACCAGAGCCTATTGGGACCGTCCCCCTGACCGTCCGGCCCCCACCCCCTCACCGCAAAGCCCCATCAGGACCGCCCCCGGGATACTTGGCCCCGCCCCCACACAAGCAGATTGGCTTACGGAGCACTGGAACCCGCCCCCTCACCGCCAGGCCCTATCAGGACCGCCTCCAGCGCACTTGGCCCTGCCCCTTCCCCGCCAGAACCGCCCCCAGGACACTCGGCCCCGCCCCCTCACCTGCCCGCCGCCGCTTGAGGGTGACGTAGGGCAGCAGGTCGTGGCGCGTGATGATGCGCAGCAGCTGCAGCACCTGCCGGAAGTTGCTCTCGTCGCAGCGGCCCTGGCGCTCCAGCGCCAGCAGGAAGTCCCGCCCGTTGCGGATGAGGCCCCGCTCGTGGTCGTCGATGACGTCCACGAAGAGGAAGGACAGGACGCGCACGTCGCGGTGCGTGAGGTGCGTGCCCACGATGTCGAACATGCGGTGCAGGCTGTAGAGCCCGTGCTCCTGCGCGCCGCGCTCCTCCGGCCACGCCTGGCTGGCCCTCCGCTTCCGGCCCGCCATGCCGGACACTCAGGGCTGCGGCGCCCGGACCCCCGGCGGGGCAGCTGTGGGCCCCGCGCGGCTGCAAGGACACGGACGGGACGGACGGCCCGTGAGCCCCGGGCGCCGCCCCCTGCGCCGCGCTGCCCCCGTCCCGTCCAGTCGGGGCGGCCGTCCACCCCCGCATCCCTGCCGAGTCCCGCGCCCAGCTGCCCCTCCTGTCCACCCCCGCATCCCCGCCGAGTCCCGGGCCCAGCGACACACCGGGGGCAAGAGAAAGGGTCAGAGTGACGAGGGGCCAGCACCCCGCCAGGGATAGCCAGAGCCCACCGCTCAGCCAGCCCCTTCCTGTCCACCCCCGCACTTGCCCACTGCTGGACACTCGGGGTCTGGCCCAAGCGCCTGCCGCACCTGGTCAGGTGCTGCCACTGACCCTCCCAGGTTAACCGACGGCCCCCGATCCCCCCCCTGCTTCCTGCGCACTGGGAGACACCAACGGGCGCTGACCGGGCTCTCAGCCGCTGGGCAGCGTGGACCAGGGACATGAGGCCTGTCAGGACCCCACGGGCCAGAGGAGGGGCAGCCCGGGGGCCCCCAGCAACAGCCCCGCCTGTGTCCGGGCTCCTGCCCACCTGTCCCTCTGGCCAGCTGCTAGCAGAGGGGGCAGGAGCTGAGGGCCGCAGTGCCCCCAGGGCCTCCTTGTGCTGGCCAGGGAGGTGGCCTTGCTCCTGCGGGCCGGATCCTGGCGCCTCCAGGCCGCACCGGGAAGATGCCAAGGAAGTTTTAGCCTGTGGGGGCACTCAGTGTCCCACGAGGCCGGACACTCCTGGTCAGGAGCCAGCAGGTCCCTCACCCCAGAAGCCAGCAGGATGGGAGGGGACAGTGAGGCTGTCCTCAGGGTCGGACCACAGGGCTGGGCACGGGGCAACAGCCCCCCTCGGTCCCCAGCGCTCAGCCCGGAGACGCAGGCTGGCATGTCTCCCGCTTAATTACTGGCTCGGGCACTGCCCGCTCGCTCAGCAGTCCTGCGGGAGGAAGGGGGGTGTCTGGGCCTTGCCACGGCCACTCGGCCGTCCGCAGCAGTGACATGTGGGGGCCACCCGGGACCCCGAAGGACAGGAAGGGGGCCAGCGAGGGCACAGGCCGGACGTCAGAAAGACCCAAGCCACCATGTGCCATGACATCAGGGGGGCCGGTGGGGTCCCCTCTCCGCCCCTCTGATAGGAACCAGCTGCCAGGCCGCTCTGGCCACTGCCCAGCCGCGGCCTCTGCGTCTGTGTGTGTGTGGTGGCCGGGGACAGTCTCAGGACCCTTTCAGGAAGGTCCTAGGGGAAAATGCAGAGCCAGACCCCAGGCTGGCGATTCCAGGGGGCTCCTTGTCCCCTGTGCGCCCCGGAGACCCTAAGAATCGGACCTGGAAGGGATCGGAGTTGGGAAACCGGAGTGGCTCGGACACTCGCGGCCAGCGCCTCGGGGGAGGCCGCACCCGGGCCAGTGTCCACGCCACAGGGCGCTCCTGGTCAACAGCCGCCCAGCTGGGCACGTCCCCCCCCTCCCGCAACACCCGTTTCTGCTCCTGCTTCCGGACGATCGCGATCTCCCGAGGCGCCAGGGCCGGCCCCGGAGGGAGTGGGCAGCGGCGGGCAGCTGACCTCCCCGGGCAGGCGGGGCTCCGAGGGCCCCCAAGGCCAGTGCCAGCGGCGGCGGCCAGCTCCGTCCGGATCTTACCTCTGGAAGGAACTCAATTTCCCGGGGCTCTTCCTAGCGCGGGGGTCCAAGCCGGGCCGCAGAGCAAACACCAAGGGGGCGGGGGGGGGTCGGGGAGCAAGAGTCAGTGTCCACGCTGCGTCCTGAGCGCCCCCCGCCCCCCGCCGGCCGCTCCCCGCCCCCCCACCCCGAGCCCCGAGCGGGCCCTCCGCGTCCCGGCTGCAACAAATCCCGCAGGCCCAGGCCAGTCCGGCCTCGTGCCCGGGACCCCCAGCCCCGACGCGCGCCCCGGCCTCGGGGGTCCCGGCCACCGCGGGGGAGGGGGCCCGCGCGATCCGGCGCTGACACCTCCCCCCGCGCCGGACCCCCGCGCCGAGCCGCCCGCGCCCACCCGGCAGGGCCCAGCCGCGTTCCCGCGGGGCGCCCGGGACCCCCGGCGCGCGCGCCCCGGCCACCGCGCAGGGCCCCGGGGCCGCCACTCCAAAGTCCGGCGCGGCCGCGGCCCGGGCGGCCCCGGCGGCCCCCGGGGCCCCCGCGCCCCCGTCCCGCGCGCCGCCCGCCAAACTTTGCGCCCGCCCGCACTTTCCCCGGGGCCGCGTCCCCCGGGCCGCCCCCCGCGCCGCCCCCCGCGCGCCCCGCGCCGCGGCCGCCCGCGCCCCGCCGGCCGCCCCGCGCGCGCCCCGCCCTCCCGCGCCCCGGCCCGCGCGCCCCCCGCAGCCCTCACCCTCGGCTCAGGCCCGGCGCCGCCGCCCCGCCGGCCTCCCGGCGCCGCATCCGGGCTCCAGCCGCCGCCGCCGCCGCCGCCGCCGCCGCCGCCGCCGCGGGCGTGGGGGAGGGGCGCGGGCGGGGCGGGGCGGCGGCGGCGGCTGCGTCGCGAGCGGCGCCGCCCGGAAGCGCGGCCGGGCCGCGGCGGCGTCGGCCCGTAGCGAGCGCCGGGCGCGGCGGCCATGCCGGGTGCGGGCAGCCTGGCAGCGGCGGGGCGCGGCGCGGGCCGGCTTCACCCCGCCGGCCGGCACGGGCCGCGGCGGCCATCTTGGGTGCGGGCAGCCGGGCAAGGCCGCGGGGGCCGCCGGGAGCCGCGGGGGCCGCCGGGAGCGGACGGCGCCCCGCGCCCCCAGACGGGGCCCCGGCCCGGCGTCCGGCCGGCGCTCCGGGGCCCGGCTTGACCTTTGCCCTGCGCTTCCTGGGGACCCGGGCCGGGCGGGGTGGGGGGTCCGCGCAGGTAAAGGGGGACCCGGGGCGGCGGGAACTGGCATCCGTGCACCCTAGGGATGCGCCCAGGGCCACGGGGCACCCACGCCCCATAGGCGTGGCCGGCCCCGCGCATCCTCAGCCTCCGGGGACCACCGGATCCCTTTCCTGTGAATAGGAGAATCAACGGTCAGCGCTGGGGCCGGAGGGGCCGGCGGGCAGGGGTCCCACCGGGTTTGCGCCCCTGCCCTCTGCACTGTCCGCTCCTCGCTTTGCACCCCTGGGGGACTCGGGTCCAGCAGTGGGACCCGCCTGTGCATCGCGCGAGGGGCCAGGCAGGAGGGTCCCCTTTGAGGGATGCAGGGAGGGCGCAGCGATCCCCCAGCTCACAGCCACCCCACCCCACCCCACCCCAGGTAACGCCAGGGACCCCCAAAGACACGCGTGCTTTTCCTTCCAGAGAAAAAGGAAAGGGACGGAGGCCTGCCCCGGGGCGAGGGAAGCACGGGGCCCGCGGGCTGTGCATTCATCAAGAGCATCCTGGTCTGCAGCACGGAAGAGGAAAGCCCAGCTGCCCCGGACAGGGCAGGCAGGTCAGGTGGTGGACAGGCCGGTGGACAGGCCGGCTGCGTTCCCAGCAGGAGGACGCCCGCGAGGTAAGTTCGGGAAGGGGAGCTCAGTTCCCCCCGCCAGTGGGCCAGATGGCCCTTCTGCAAATCCGCAACGTCTGAAGCTCACGCACTCGGGAGGAAGCAGGTGCAGAAGAATCCGCGTGGCGAAGCTGAAATGGGCCGTGAAAAGCCACCCCAGCCTCCGGGGAGCCTCAGTGTCCCAGGAAACGCGTGGAGGACCACCACCTGCTCTTGACATAACTTGCCTGTGATTCTCGGCCTCTGCCTGGACCTGGTCTCCGGTTGTGTGTTCAGCCGTCCCGGCTTCTCGGCCAACACGCTCTGTGCGATTCCTGTACCGCCTGGTGCCTTGTGTTGTTCAGAAATAACCGCCCTCCCAGTGTGGATAGACCTAAAGGATTTTTATATTTTCGTTTTCCCGGTAGATGCGGGGCCGATTGGGGTGCTTGAGCGTTTTCGGCTACGGGGATTGAGCCTTTAGAAGCGAAACAGCATCCGGGAGCATGAGTTGGCTTTGCTCCGGGACCCCCTCACACACAGGCCTGAGGTCAAGGTTTGGGCCGCACCTGGCCAGTGCTGGGACCCCTGTGCTGCTAAGCACTGGCCCCTTCGTCCTGCGTGTAAAGCTTGCACTACCCTTTGGGCTCTCCAGCCTTTTTTTTTTTTGCTTTTTGGGTCACACCTAGCTGTGCACAGGGGTCACTCTTGGCTCATGACTCAGAGGACCATATGGGATGCTGGGAATCGAACCTGCTTACCTGCTGTTCAATTGCCCCAGCCCCCCCCTTTTTTTTTTCCAATCCCTTTTTCTCACTCGTTCAGTGATTGGGATCCAGCACCTGCGGCTGCAGCGGCCAACCTGGCCAGGCCATCCAGTGGCCGCTGTCGTAGCTTCCAGAGCTCCGGCCCACCTGGGCTGACACTGGGCACAGCACTCCGTCGGCCTGTGTCTTTATGGACGGGGCCCACACCCAGTGGTGGTCAGGGCCGGCTCCCTGTCGTTCTTTGGGGCCTCCTGTCCCAGCGTTCAGCCCCTGGTCATTCTCCAGGCCTCGGGAGAGGTGGCCTGCGGCCTTAGTGACCATGGTCCCCAGCAGGGGGCAGCAGCCAGCCAGCCAGCTGAAGCAGCCCCTGAAGGTTTTGTATCTGATTCAGTGACTCCCCATCAAGTCTCCCCACCCAGGTGGGCCTGGAAACAGCCCAGACACCCCCACAACCAGCGTCAGACCCACCACTGCTGAGCCTGGCTGTGGGAGGCTGGGCTTGCTGGCCCAGTTTGGGGCTGGAGCGATACCACAGCGGGTAGGGCGTTCGCCTTGCACGCAGCTGACCTGGGTTCCATTCCCAGCATCCCAGATGGTCCCCTGAGTAATTCCTGAGTGCAGAGACCGGAGTAACCCCTGTGCATCACCAGGTGTGACCCAAAAACGCAAAAAACGGTGCTCCGGGTGAGGGCGATCACCTGCCAGGGGCTGCCAGAAGTCAGGTGCTTGGAGAGCGCCCACTTCCCATCTCTGGTCCGGAACTCGGAGCTAGGCAGCCCCCTGAGGCTGCCGGTACTGGTGACCTCTGCAGTGTGTGTGACCGGCATCCCGTGACAGACGCTGCACTCTCCACTGGGGACAGGACAGGCCTTCTGAGGTGCCCTGCATGTGACGCGGGGGCGGGAGAGGGGGTGCTCACATGACCCCACACACACACGTTACAGGGACGAGAGCAATTCCAATACACTCAGGTACCTGGGGAAGGTGTGAGTGGGTCGCTGGGTCTGACGGTGAGTGGAATCTGATTCCCAAAGCACTGCAGTGAGAGGTGCAACAGGATGTGTCAGGGCAACCCCATACTGATTGTCTGATTGTCTTTGGGTTGATAAAGGAACCACGAGGTCACGAGGTACTAAATCCTGTGGGGGGAGGGATGGCCCAATGCCAGAGCACCAGCTCTGCACACACCACACACACACACACACACTCACACTCTCACACTCACACTCAGTCTTGCGCAAAAGGATTCAAAGCCACTAGCGTGTGCTGGACCTGAAGTTTAATTCTAACAGGGTGAAGGGGCCTGGACGGGTAGGACAGCTGGGAGGGCGTTTGCCCTGCATGCTGCCGACCCCGGTTCGATCTCCACCAGGAGTGATTCCTGAGTGCAGAGCCAGGAGTCAACCCTGCCCAGCGCCAGGTGTAACCCCCCAAAAAAAAGCCAAAAAAAAATTTTTTTTCTAACGGAGTGTTGCGGCCAGGGTCTGTGCGAGCGATTACAGCCCGTGCACGGGCCCCGGGTGCTTTGCTTTTTCCCTCGGGGTCCGGCGAGCGCCTTAAGACCTGTCCAGCTCCATCGAACGTGGTCCATCCGCTGACCCCTGAAAGTCCAGGCTAGAAGGCCCTCCAAGAGCACCGTGGCCCTGGGAAGGCTCAGCATCCCCTCGCGGGGCTGGACTCGGCTCCCCAGCAGTGCTCAGGGTGCACCGGCTGCCTGAGCGTGGGATGAGGGCGCCCAGCACCCGCCCCAGCCTGACCAGCGGGCCGGCCCCGCCTCGCCCCGCCCCGCCCGCCCGGACTAAAGATGGCGGCGGCCCAGGCGCCGGGCCCCGGTGACGCCACTTCCGGCGGCGCGCCTGCCCGGCCCCAAGATGGCGGACGAGGCCACCCGGCGGCTGGTGTCCGAGATCCCGGTGCTGAGGACCAACGCGGGCCCGCGGGACCGCGAGCTGTGGGTGCAGCGGCTCAAGGAGGAGTACCAGTCCCTCATCCGGGTCAGTGGCCGTGGGCGGCCCCGGGGGAGCTGCCCGCGCGTGCAGGATGCGTCCGGCTGTCCAGGGGCGACGCCCGGGGGCAGGGGGCAGTTGGGGGCAGCGGGGGCAGTTGGGAGCTCCGGGGGCAGCAGAGACCCGGGGCTGCACCCCCGGAGGCCCGGGCAGCGGCGCGGGAGGGTCCAGTTCGCGGGGGGCTGCGCCTCCCCGGAAGGTGACGTGGCGCCGGCTGCACCCAGGCGAGGCGTCGGAGCCCCGAGTCGGGGGCAGCGACCCTCAGTGTCCACCCCCACGGCCAGCAGGCAGGGCCGAGGTGTAGCCGCCTCTGGCGCCTTGCAGGACCCCGACTGCGTGCAGGCCAGCTGGTGGCCCGCCAGCCGCGCCTCTCCCCAAAGCAGTTCCGTGTCCAGCTGGGGCGAGGACACACTCGGACCCTTGGGGTCCAGGTCAGGTGCAAAAAGGAGGGTGCATGGGGAGGCTTGGCCGTGGTGGGAGGGTCACCCAGAGGAAGGGGAGTCAGTCCGATCTGCGAGCACAGCCCCAGCAGATAGGCCGGCAAGTCCAAGCAAGACACGGACTGGCTGGAGAGAGAGGTGGAATCCCGAGAAATGTACCGATAAAGTACTTGGGGGGGTGGGGGGCACACCCTGCGGTGCTCAGGGGCCACACCAGGTTGTGTTTGTAGATGAGACACACACACACACACACACACACACACACAGGATCCTGCGTACAGTATACAGTACTGGTGATGGAACCCAGCTCCCGTAAATGATTTTTTTATTATTGGGGGCAGGGGGCTGAGGTCACACCCTGCAATGCTCAGGGCTGACTCCTGGCTCTGCACTCAGGGATCACTCCTCTCAGTGCTAGGGGGACTCTATGGGATGCCGGGGTTTGAACTCACAAATCACGAATCACGACCATCCTGTTATTCGTCGATTGCCTCGAGCAGGCCCCAGTAACGTCTCCTTCATCCTAGCCCCGAGATTATATTCAAGGCTCTTTAGGAGAATGAGACCCATCATTGTTAACTGGTGTTTGGCATATTGGGGACGCCACGGGGAGTTTGCCAGACTCTGCCGTGTGGGCAGGTTACATTCGGTAGCCTGCCAGTTTGTCCAAAGTAGGAGTGAGATAATAAGATGTCACTTCTGGGACTGGTTTTTATAGTCTCTGAGTCTTAGCCATTGATGGGATTACACAGCTCCAGGGGGCCAGTTGGTGGGTGTGACCCCCGCCTACTGGAATTTGGAGGATCTGGGTGGTGGATGCTCAGCCCCGATCTGAGTAGGCTTGGAGATCTCAGCCCCAGGACCCGCATGCCTTGTTCCTCTGCCGGTACCTTCACGTGTGCGGAGAGTGTTCTCAGCATGGTGGTGGCTGGTTTGAACTCAGGTCGGTCATATGCAAGGCCAATGCCCTCCCCTCTGTGCTATTGCTCCAGCCCCTGTAAAGGATTTTAGTCTGAGCGAGGTCAGTGTGGATTGAGTCCGACAGGGAGGGGAACAGGAATGAGGGGTAGGACATCATCACAGGCCCAGAGCTGGGTCACTAGAGGACATTTGGGGCGGGTGGGCAGTGAGAACATAGGGGAAGGGATTGGGCTTTAGGGGGGTGAGAGTCGGGTTTGGGGCCCGACAGCCAAACCTGCCCCCTGAAACAGGCATGGAGGAGGCTTGGCAGGGAGGTGAAGGTGAGGTGTCTGGGGTTACTCCTGGCAGTGCTCGGGAAGGGGGGGGACATATGGGATTCCAGGAATCAAACCCGGGTCAGCTGCATACAAGGCAGGCCTCCTCCCGCTACGGCTTCAGCCACAAAGCCTTCAGTGTTTGTGGGTATTAGTAGAAACCCAGGAGAGGCTCCAGGCTGAGAAAACGTTTTGCGTGCAGGAGTCCCTGAGTTTAGTCCCTGCACCATGCCTGGTGTCTCCCCCCCCCCCTCAAAAAAAAGAAAAAAAGGCAAATCCGGAATCCTGAGGGTGAGCAGTACATATCTTAAGACGTGTCAGGGGTCTGGAGAGATAGCACAGTGGGGAGGGCGTTTGCCTTGCACGCGGCTGACCCGGGTTCGATTCCCAGCATCCCATATGGTCCCCTGAGCACCACCAGGAGTAACTCCTGAGTGCAGAGCCAGGAGTAACCCCTGTGCATCGCCAGGTGTGACCCAAGAAGCAAAAAGAAAAAAAAAAAAAGATGTGTTGGGGAGGGGGTACTGGAGTGATAATACAGTGGAGAGGGCGTTTGTCTTGCACGCGGCCAACCTGGATCCCATCCCCGGCATCCCATAGGGTCCCCCGAGCACCACCAAGGGTGATTCCTGAGTGCAGAGCCAGGAGTAACCCCTGAGCATCACCGGGTGTGACCCAAAAAAAAATTAAAAAAGAAAAAAGATGCGTCAGGGGCTGCATGCACGCAGCACTAGACGTGGGACGAGTCTCGGGTTCCCTTTGCTAAATCAGGCACGAACCCCAACATTCCCTCTTGGGCTGTGAGCCCCTGTCCTGCTGACGCTGGACTCTGGTCAGAAAAGTGGGGTGCCGTGCCCCTGGAGTAAGCAGTCTCACACTTTTCTTTTGCGGACTGGGGGGCAGCCCTCGGCCCCCTCAGCTCTCTCCAAGGCCTCACTTTCTGCTTTCAGTACGTGGAGAATAACAAGAACGCGGACAACGATTGGTTCCGACTGGAGTCCAACAAGGAAGGGACGAGGTAGGCAGCCCCCACCCCTCCCGGCCATGGGACTCCCTCGGCCCATACTCCCGCCCGGTAGTGGCGGGGTGAGGAAGGGCCGTGGCTCAGACTGAGGCCCGGCCTTCCCCGCAGGTGGTTTGGAAAATGCTGGTACATCCACGACCTCCTCAAGTATGAGTTCGACATCGAGTTTGACGTGAGTCGCACTGAGTGTGTGGCGGGAGGAGGATGCAGAGGGAGTGGTGCCACCGTAGCCGGGATGGGGGGCCTGACCCCTGGCCCCTGCTCTGTCCCCGCGCTGTCGTCACAGCCCTCTCCTCTCTCCAGATCCCCATCACCTACCCCACCACGGCCCCTGAAGTCGCCATCCCGGAGCTGGATGGGAAAACAGCCAAGATGTACAGGTAGGCGAGGGCCAGGGCCCCTTATCCTTGGCAGGAAGCTGCTCCGCCTTGCGGCAGAGGGGAACTAGACCGTGTCCCTCCGCTGCTCCCGCAGGGGCGGCAAGATCTGCCTGACGGATCACTTCAAACCTCTGTGGGCCAGGAACGTGCCCAAATTCGGACTGGCTCACCTCATGGCTCTGGGGGTAAGTACGAGGTACTTGGTGTCTTAAGGGAGGAAGGGGTCGGTAGTTAGACCAGAGACATAATGCAGTGGGTCCGGGAACTTGCATCCCAGATCGTCCAGGTGTGACCCACCGCCCAGAAAAAGTTCACTGCATCTAGTGAATGATCATAATCACTCTGGAAGCCCGTCCTCTGCTGTCCACCCCTCCCTCCTCCTCACAGCCCCCTCCTTCCAGCCCGGAACTCCTTTCTCTGCTTCCCCATGCCGCCCCCTCCCTCCCGTGTCTCACACAGAGCTCTGATGGAGCAAGGAGCAGGGCGTAGACCTGGGGGTAGTGATTCACGGGTCTCCCTCTCCCGGGCACTTTGCAGCTGGGCCCATGGCTGGCCGTGGAAATCCCGGATCTGATTCAGAAAGGCGTCGTTCAGCACAAGGAGAAAAGCAGCCAGTGACCGGCGGATGGAGCCCCAGAGGCAGGAATGACCCAGGCCAAGCATGTGAAGCTGGAGCCGCAGTGGGCCTGGCCGGGAAGGACACGAAATGCCTGGATGCAGGCTTCTGAATGTCTAAATGAGCGCTCGCCGGCGGGGGGCCCCTAACCCTGGCTTTGCTTCTGGATCTTGGAGGCGGCTGATGGGAAGCCGGTCGGAAAGCCTGATGGTTTCCGGAGGTGAACAGCAATTAAAAAAAAAAAAAGGCGCTTCCTCTGGCGGCTGTGGCTCCTTTGGTGGCTGTGGGCGCCGACTCTGGGGGAAGCCCAGGAACAGGAGGGTGTTCGGCTCGGGGCCCTCGGGGACCGGGGACTTAGGCCTGCGAGGCGGGAAGAGCGGCAGCGGCGCCGCGGAGGGGGCGCGGGCAGCCCGCGCGCCCGGCCTGGGCCCACGCGACGCGCCCCGGCAACGGTTCCGAGCGCGCGATGCGCGCGATGCTGCGGCGGCGGCGGCGGCGGCGGTGGTGCTGAAGCTGGGCGCGTTGCCATGGAGCCGGCGGCCGGCGCAGGGGGCGGGCCCGCGCAGGCGCGCGGCGGCCGGGGCGGGGCCGGCGGCGGGCGCGCAGGCGCGCGGCGGGCCGGGAGGCGGGGCCGGCGGCGGGCGCGCAGGCGCGCTGCGGGCCCGTGAAGCCGGCGCCCGGCGGCCGGGCGGGACCAACAAAGATGGCGGCGGCCCCTGCGGCGGGCGAGAGCGGGGCCAGCGCTGCGGCCGGGGCTGCGGCCGCGCCCGCGGGGGCGCTGCCCGGGGGCCGCGGGGGCCGGCCCTGAGCGGACGCCCGGCCCGGCCGGCCTCCGCCGCCGCCGCCTCGCCGGGCTCAGGTAGGGCGGCGCGGCGCGGGGGCCGCGGGCCGGGCGGCGCGGGGCCGGGGGGACGCTGGCCGCCGGCCGCGGGGGACGCCGCCGCCGGACCCCGCAGCCAATCAGCGGGCGCGGCCCCGCTGCCCTCGAGGGGGGCGGACCCGCCGGCGCCCGGCCGCGGGGGTCGCGGCGCCCGCGCCCCGCCGCCGGCCGCTCGCCGCGCGCTGGCCGCCGGGCCCCGGCGCGGCGTGTCCAGGGCGGCGTGTCCGGCGCGGCCGAGCCCGGCGGGCAGGGCCCGGGCCGGCCGCGGGGATGCGCAGGGGCCGCGCGGACGCCCCGCCCGGCGCCGGGATGCCCCGCGCCGGCCCCCAGCTGCCCGCCTCTGCCCGCAGGTCCCGCCCGCGGTGTCCACCATGCCCCAGGCCTCGGAGCACCGCCTGGGCCGGAGCCGGGAGCCACCTGTTAGCGTCCAGCCCCGCGTCGGGGCCAAGCTGGCCTTCGCGCCCCGCGCGCGCAGCCGGGAGCGCCGGACCTCGGCCCCCGGGCCCAGCGCCCTGCTCCGCCCGCTGCCCCCCGAGGACCGGCTGCAGAAGCTGGAGCTGGGCCGGGGCCGCCGGCCGGGCCCCCGGCCCAAGGGGCCGCTGCGGGCCGACCACGGCGTCCCCCTGCCCGCCTCGCCGCCCCCCGCGGGGCCCCTGCCGCTGCCCTCCCGCACCAACCTGGCGCGCTCCAAGTCCGTGAGCAGCGGGGACCTGCGGCCCGTCGGCCTGGCCCTGGGTGGACACCGCGGGGCGGCGGGCGAGCTGAGCGCCGCCCTGAGCCGCCTGGCGCTGCGGCCCGAGCCCCCCGCCCTGCGGCGCAGCACCTCGCTCCGCCGCCTGGGGGGCTTCCCGGGCCCCCCGTCCCTGCTCAGCATCCGGGCCGAGCCCCCCGCGGCCCACGGCGCCTTCCACATGATCGCGGCCCGGCCGGCCGAGGCCTTCTACACGGCGGACAAGATGGTGAGGGGCGGCCCCCGTCCTGGCCCCGTCCTGTCCGGCCGCCGCCCCCCCCATCACCCAGGCTGTCCCCAGTGCCACCCCGGGGACTGCCCGGCCATTTGGAATTCTTCCCGGGGCCCCCAGGGCCTCCCTTTCCCTGCCACCTGGTCCCCCAGGACCTTCCAGTCGCCTAATTGGCCTCCGGGGGCCGGGCAGGGGCGGGCCCAGCGCCTCTGACCCCCAGTGGTTGCCCATTTCAGAGCCCAGCGGGCCGGGGCTGCCCGCAGTCGGGGCCGACCGGGGAGAGGGTGCAGGCAGGGGCCACGGGGGGCGGAGGGGGCCTGGGGGGCAGCAAGGTGGGGGTGGGGGGCAGCTGGGCCACCCACCATGCCGGTGCTCGGGGAGCTGCCCTTGGAGCTGCAGCGCCGCCTGGCCGGGCAGAGGACCCGGTGGGGAGCGGGAGGGACGGCCCTGGCCCCGTCCGTGGTGTACTCGGCCATCGTGGGCCTGCTGCTCCTGGCCAGAGAGGTAGGGCCTGGAGGGCTGCATGGGGACAGCGGCCAGGGGAGCAGCCGGGGGCCACACTGACCTCGTCCCCCCACAGGCCCATCACACGCTGCTCCTGGGCTCGGGCCACGTGGGCCTGCGGAATCTGGGCAACACGGTGAGTGTCCGGAGTGGGGCGGCAGGTGGGCGGTGGACTGGGCAGCAGCGGGCAGCCGCAGTGACCAGCCTGTCCCCCCTGCCCCCAGTGCTTCCTGAACGCCGTCCTGCAGTGTCTCAGCAGTACGCGGCCACTCAGAGACTTCTGTCTGCGCCGAGACTTCCGGCAGGAGGTGCCCGGCGGGGGCCGCGCCCAGGAGCTCACGGAAGGTGGGGGGCGCTGCCTTTCCTTCCCCTTCACCCCATCACCACTTCCTCCCTCTCCTCCGGGGACCGAGGGCTCAGACCCCGACAGACGCTGAGCCTTGCCCGGCCCCCCGCCTTCTCAGCCTTTGCAGATGTGATCGGAGCCCTGTGGCACCCCGACTCCTGCGAGGCTGTGAACCCCACCCGCTTCCGCGCCGTCTTCCAGAAATACGTCCCTTCTTTCTCGGGATACAGGTGGGCACCCCGGGCCGTCCCCCCCCCCACCCCGCTCCCTCACCCGCGGCCGGGCAGGGCGTTCTCACCAGCCACCGCCCGCTCTGTCTGCCTGCAGCCAGCAGGATGCCCAGGAATTCCTCAAGCTGCTCATGGAACGGCTTCACCTTGAGATCAACCGCCGGGGTCGCCGGGCGGCCCCCATCCTGGCCAAGCACCCAGCCTCGGCTCCCCCCCGCCGCGGAGGGGCGCTGGTGGAGGACCCTGAGTTAAGGTGAGGGCAGGGGGGCCCCCATCCCTCCCTCACCCGGCCTCGCCGCCTTCCCGGGGTGCCAGCCGACTCAACCCCTTCTCCATCCCTTCTCCATCAGCGACGACGACCGAGCCAACCTGATGTGGAAACGGTACCTGGAGCGAGAGGACAGCAAGATTGTGGGTACGTGGGGGACGGGCGGCAGGGGCGGGGCGAGGTCAGGGGGGCGCCTGGTGGCCAGCGTGGGGCTCCCTGACCCTCGCCCATCCCCACTCTCCGTCTAGACCTGTTCGTGGGCCAGTTGAAAAGTTGCCTCAAGTGTCAGGCCTGCGGGTACCGGTCCACGACCTTCGAGGTGTTCTGTGACCTCTCCCTCCCTATCCCCAAGGTGAGGGGCCGGCAGGGGCGGGCGGGAGTGTGGGAGGGCCCTGGGGTCTGTGGGGCAGGACTCCTCTCCCGCTGACCACCGTGGCCAGTCTGACGCCCGGGTCCCCCCCAGAAAGGGTTTGCCGGCGGCAAGGTCTCACTGCGGGACTGCTTCAGCCTCTTCACCAAGGAGGAGGAGCTGGAATCCGAGAACGCCCCGGTAGGTGGGCCCGACTGGGGGAGGCTGGGGCACTGGGTGGGCGCAGGGCTGGCCGGCCGGGGTCCACTCACTGGGCCGGGGCCGCAGGTGTGTGACCGGTGTCGGCAGAAGACGCGGAGCACCAAGAAGCTGACGCTGCAACGGTTCCCGCGCATCCTTGTGCTCCGTATCCTGGACCCCTGGACCCCTGGACCCCGCGGGCTTGGCGGGCGCAGGGCGGGTCCCGGACGGGGTGGGCGCGCCGCCCCTGCGTTCCTTAACCCACCCACAGATCTGAACCGGTTCTCGGCCTCTCGGGGCTCCATCAAGAAAAGCTCTGTGGGGGTCGACTTCCCGCTGCAGAGGCTGAGCCTGGGGGACTTCGCGAGTGACCGAGCGGGTGAGGGGGCTGACCGGGAGGAAGGGTGGTGGGCGGCGGTGGGCGCCGCGGCGCTGCCCCCCCTCCCCCCACCGCCCGCACTGCTGACCCCCGCGCTGCCGCCAGGGAGCCCCGTGTACCAGCTGTACGCGCTGTGCAACCACTCGGGCAGTGTCCACTGCGGCCACTACACCGCGCTGTGCCGCTGCCAGACGGGCTGGCACGTGTTCAACGACTCCCGGTGAGCGCCCTCGCTGACCGTCCGCGTAGACCGCCACCCCCGGCCCCCGCAGCCCTCGCTGACCCTCGCCAACCCCCACCCCGGCCCCCACAGCCTCCCCGCAGCCCCCGCTGACCCCTGCAGATGCCACCCGCACCTGACCCACGCAGACCCCCCACCCTGGCCGCCGCAGCCCTCGCCGACCCCGCGGACCCCTCCCAGCCCCGCGGCCTGCCTGGCCCCCACGCCGGGTCCCAGCCAGCCGCCCTGCGTCCCCTCTCCGCAGCGTCTCCCCGGTCAGCGAGAACCAGGTGGCGTCCAGCGAGGGCTACGTGCTGTTCTACCAGCTGATGCAGGAGCCCACGCGGTGCCTGTGACCCCCGGCCCCGGCCCCCGAAGCCCCCCGCTCCCCACTTACCTCAGAGACGTCTATTTTTGTGTCTTTTTAATCGGGGCGGGGGGAGGGGGGTGTAGCTCCCGTTATTTTTTTTATTGACAGGTCCCCGTCCCCCTGGAGGCCCCGTCCCCCTCCCGCGCCCCGGCCCGCCCGGCCCGTGTACAGCCCCCACCCTGCGACCTCACTTTTTGTGAATAAATTTATTAAGAAAAAGCAGCGGCGTCCCGCTTGGCATCTCTGCGGGGCAGGGCCTGGGGTAGGGGCGGCCTGGGGGGAGGCGAGGGCGGCCCCCGCGGGAGAGGAGCCGGACCCCGGCGGGCAAACACGCCGCGTTGCCGGGCGGCCCCGGCTCCCGCAGGCCACGCTGTTGCTAACGCCACGGCGCTGTTTATGGAGCCTCGTCCCCGCGGGCCAGCGCGGCGCCCCTGCTGCCCGCGGCCCCCACCGGGGCCTGGCCGCGCGGGCCCGGGACGCGCCGTCCGGGATGCGCCGTGGCCGCGGCTCGCCCCGCCCCTCCGGGGGTTGCCCCGCCCCGCCGGTCACTAGCCCCGCCCCTCCGCGCATCGCCCCGCCCCTCCAGGGGAAATGCTGGCGCTGGCCCCGCCCATTGAGAGGATCATCCCGCCCCATTGGCCGCCAGCTCCTCTCGGGCGCCCGCCTAGCCGGCCGCTAGCGCCGCCCCTTCATGGATCGCCCCGCCCCTCCAGGGGAACTACTGTTGCTAGCCCCGCCCATTCAGGGGATCATCCCGCCCACCGAGCGCTCGCCCCGCCCCATCGGCCGCCAGCTCCTCCCGGGCGCCCGCCCAGCCGGCCGCTAGCCCCGCCCCTCCTGGGTAGCCCCGCCCCTATAAGCTCTCGTCCCGCCCTGTTGGCCGCTAGCTCCGCCCCAATAGGCCTTCGCTCCGCCCCGCTGGCGGCTATTTCCCCCGCCCCCCCAGGCGCTCGCCCCGCCTCTCCAGGAGGTAGTCCCACCCCCTCCAGGCGCTCGCCCCGCCCCTCCCGACGGAAGTCCCGCCCTTCCAGGGCTCTCATTGGCCAAGGCGATCCGGGGCCTTCCCTCCCCCGCCAATCCCGACCCGGGGAAGATCGCGGCGTGCGGGGGGCGCGGAGACGGGGCGCCGGAGGGGCCTGAAAGGACGGGGGCGGAGCCGCGGCCCCCAGCTCGCGCTCGGCGGGGCCCCGCGCCCCAGGCCCCCCGGCCCCGAGCCTGCGCCGGCCGATAGCCAGGGCGGGCCCTTATCGGGCTCCCCGTGCGCCTTCCGGAACAGGCCGGCGCGGCGCGGGGAGCGCGGGAGCAGCTGCCCATGGGTCGCACGGTGGTCGTGCTGGGCGGGGGCATCAGCGGCCTGGCCACCTGCTACCACCTGAGCCGCGCGCCGCGCCCCCCGAAGGTGAGCCGGGACCCCCGCGCCTGCCGCCCGCCCGCGCCGCCGCCCGCCGCGGCCGCGCGCGATCGCTCAGTGTCCACCCCCCCCGCTGTCCAGGTGGTCCTGCTGGAGGCCAGCGAGCGCGTGGGAGGCTGGATCCGCTCGGTCCGAGGCCCGGGCGGCGCCGTGTTCGAGCTGGGCCCGCGCGGGATCCGGCCGGCGGGGCCCCTGGGAGCGCGGACCCTGCAGCTGGTGCGCGACCCTCGGGACGGGCGGGAGCGGTGGGCAGCGGGGACAGCGGGAGGCCCCCGCGGTGGTCGCCGGGGAGGCGGGACCGGGCGCAGAGCTGGGGCTCCCTTCTCCGCCCCCCTGAGAGCAGGTGTCCGAGCTGGGCCTGGACGCCGAGGTGCTGCCCGTTCGGGGGGACCACCCCGCCGCCCGCAACAGGTTCCTGTACGTGGGGGGCGCCCTGCACCCGCTGCCCTCGGGCCTCAGGTGAGCGTGACCGCCACTCCGGGCACCCCGGCGCCCGCCCCGCCTGGCCCTGGCCCCGGCCGGGCTGACCCTCCCACCCCGCAGGGGCCTGCTGCGCCCGTGCCCGCCCTTCTCCCGCGCGCTGCTCTGGGCCGGGCTCCGGGAACTGTCCGCGCCGCCCAGCGAGGCCCCCGATGAGACCGTGCACAGCTTCACCGAGCGCCGCCTCGGACCCGAGGTGCCCCGCCCACCCACCGTGGCCACTGGGGTGTCCCCGCGCGGGGCGGGAGGGAGGGCGGCTTCTGTCCTGCCCTGGTGGCCCCCGACCACCTCCCCCAGGGCAGTGGGAAGGGGGCAGGCCTCTCAGCGCCGGCGGGGTCCCTGCAGGTGGCCGCCCTGGCCATGGACAGCCTGTGCCGTGGGGTCTTTGCCGGGGACAGCCGGCAGCTCAGCGTCCGGTCCTGCTTTCCCAGCGTGTACCAAGCCGAGCGGACCCACCGCTCCGTGCTCCTGGGGCTGCTGATGAAGGCCGGTGAGGGACCCCGGGAAGGGGGGACAGAGGGACGCGGGGGCTGGGGGTCGTGATGAGGGTCAGGGCCTGCTGACCACCCCTCTTCTCTGCTTCCTCCGTGCAGAGCAGAGCCCCCAGCTCGAGTCCCCGCTGGCCCGCCAGGCACGGGCTGAGCGCTGGAGCCAGTGGTCACTGCGTGGGGGGCTGGACACGCTGCCCCGGGCGCTGGACGCCTACCTGAGTGACCGGGGGGTTCAGATCCTCCGCGGGCAGCCGGTCCGCGCGCTCAGTCTCCAGGCCGGGGGACGCTGGAAGGTGGGTGTCCGGTTCAGGTCCCCTCCCGTGGACTTTCGTTCTTTGTGTTTGCCGTGGCCGCCTGGGGGCGCCAGAGTAATGCCCCTGGCCCTGTACTCAGGTGGCCCTCGGGGACAGCAGCCTGGACGCCGACCACGTGGTCAGCGCTCTCCCGGCAGCAGGTAACGGTAACGGCCCCGCAGACCCTCCCCCCGACGTAGCCCCGGAAAGGCCTGAAGTGGTGGGGGGGAGATGTCCACACAGCTGGTGCCCGCGTCCCCCCTAGACCTCAGCCCGCTGCTGCCTGCCCAGGCAGGGCCCCTCGCTGCCATCCTGGCCACCATCCGCGCCGTGTCGGTGGCCGTGGTGAACCTGCAGTACCGGGATGCCCAGCTGCCCGTGCAGGTACCGCCCTGGAAGGGAGAGGCCGTGGGTCCACCCCTCCCCAATCCTGCCCCCAGCAGCTGTCCCCCTTCCGCAGGGGTTCGGACATCTGGTGCCTTCGTCTGAGGACCCCGGCGTGCTGGGAATCGTGTACGATTCAGTGGCGTTTCCCGAGCAGGACGGGAGCCCCCCTGGGCTGCGCGTGACGGTAGGTGAGGGCCCCCGCTGGGTATCATGGGGCACCAGGGGTGGGGGACCGCTGGTGAGTGCCATGTCCCCGCAGGTGATGCTGGGAGGGTCCTGGATGCCCTCCGGGGGGCCGATGCCCTCCCTGGAGCTGCTCCAGCAGCAGGCCCAGAAGGCCGCCTCCCAGCAGCTGGGGCTCACGGGACCCCCAAGCCACTGTCTGGTGCATCTGCACAGGGTGAGTACGGGGACCCCCCCCCCAGTGCGGGCGTGAGGCTGGGGGCTGGTTGGGGGTGACCCGGCTTTCACGCGCCCTGGTTTTCACAGGACTGCATCCCGCAGTACACCCTGGGCCACTGGCAGAAGCTGGGTAAGTGGGGGGCAGGGGGGATGGGGGGAGGCCAGCACCAGCCCTAGCCCCCCAACGCCCCCTCCCGCCCCTTCTGTTGCAGAAGCCGCGGCTCAGTTCCTGGCCACCCAGAAGCTGCCCCTGAGTCTGGCCGGAGCCTCCTTCCAGGGAGTGGCCGTCAACGAGTGCATAGAGAGTGGACGCCTGGCTGCGGCCCGTGCGCTGGGCAGCCCCCCTGAGCCCTGAGCCCCCCAGCAGTGGAGGGGAGGGCAGGGCGTCAGAAAAATAAACCACAGTGTGCCATGATCCAGCTGCGTGTCCCCCAGTGCGTGCGGCCAGGGGACACGGGGGTCTGCAGGAGGCAGAAAAAAGGGGAGAAGGAGCCAATGATTCTTTATTAGAAAATATATCAAAATCCCGCCCCCAGCCGGCCCCTCCAGGGAGCCCCTCCGGGGCTACCTGGGAACCATAAATAAAATAAATAGATTCGGGGTCCAGGGCCGGCACCCCATGCCCAGCCCAGACAGGCCCTGGGTCCAGCCGTGCTCCGAGCACGGCGCAGGGGACTCCGGGCTCAGCGGCCAGTGGCCAGCGCGGCCCGGTGTCCTTCACAGTCAGCGACCCCGGGACCCAGGCGAGGACTGGTTGCGGGGGGCAGTGGGCAGCGGACCGGGCCGGGCGGGGGGCCGACGGTGCAGCATCTCCTGGCGGAAGGCCTGGGACGAGCCGGGCGGGTAGCGGGGGCCGGCGGGGGAGCGCGGCCGCGGGTCCGAGCCGATGTCGGCCGTGATGTTGGTGTAGAGGGGCCGGCGCTCGCGGCCCAGCAGGCGGTAGGTCAGCGAGTTCATGCCGTCCTGCGTCCAGGAGTGCTGCGTGCGCACCAGGAGGTCGAACCTGCGGGCGAGGCGTGGGGTCACGGCCGCCGGGCCCCCCATCCCCCACCCCCTGCTCCGCACCTGTGCGTGCGGCAGGACCCCGGCTCCTACCTGTGCGGGTTCTCCTCGTTGCCCTTGTCCACCTGGTGCTTCACCATCTTGTAGTGCCCCACGGACGTGGGCGGCCGCGAGATCTTCATCCCGGCCAGGTGCACCCTGCGGCCGGGCCACCCATGAGCAAACGGGATGTGTCACCCACACCCCCCCCGTTTTTTGGTTGTTTTTTTTTCCTTTTTGGGTCACATTCGGCAATGCTCAGGGCTTCCTCCTGACTCTGCACTCAGCAATCACTCCTGGCGGTGCTCGGGGGACCCTATGGGATGCTGGGAATCGAACCCTGGTCGGCCGCGTGCGCGGCAAACACCCTCCCCGCTGTGCTATCGCTCTGGCCCACTTCCTTTTCTTTAATCATTATTTTGGTTTGGGGACCACCCCCTGTGGTGCTCAGGGGTCACTCCTGGCTCTGTGCTCAGAGGACTATATGGGATGCGGGGGTGGGGGTCCACACCTGGGTGGGCAAGGCAAGGGCCCTTCCAGCTGTGCTATCTCTCCAGCCCCCCTTTTTTTTTTTTTTTGCCCTTTGGGTCACATTCAGCGATGCTCAGGGCTGACTCCTGGCTCCGTACTCAGAATCACTCCTGGCAGTGCTCGGGGGACCCTATGGGATGCCGGGGATTGAACCCAGCTCAACCCCACGCGAGGCAAACGCCCTCCCCGCTGTGCTATCACTCCAGCCCCCTATTTTGTTTGTCTTTTTTTTTGGTTTTTTGCTTTTTGGGTCCACCTGGCGATGCTCATGGGGCCATATGGGATGCTGAGAATCGAACCCGGATTGGCTGCGTGCAAGGCAAATGCCCTACCCGCTGTGCTATCATTCCAGCCCCTGTTTGTTTGTTTTTAACTAGAAAAGCAGCCCCGCGCCTCTGGGAGACCAGCAGGAGAGAGGAGGGGCGTGTCTCTCCCCAGTCCCAACCCCAGGCAGGCAGGCGGGCAGCTGGGCAGGGGGGGACTCACCGGGCCGCGATGTCGTCGTCCTCACCCCCCCAGCCCCAGTACTCGTTGGGGAAGCCGTTCATCTTCAGGTACTGGTCGGGGGTCAGCGCCGAGACGCCTCCAAAGTACTGGGGATACGGCAGGCTGCAGGGCAGGGGTCTCCGGTGGGTGCCGGGGAACTCACAACCATGTGTTGTGTGTCCCCCGTCCCACCCCGTGCCCGGACCCGGGACCCGCTCTGACCTGTATCCAAACTTGTTCATGGCCACGGCCACGTGGCGGGGCCCGCGGGGGTCGCACACGTACAGGTTGTGGTCATTCTCGGGCAGCAGGTCCACGTCGTGGAGGAAGAGGCAGTCCCACTGCTCGTCCCGCAGGGCCTCCCGCACCCCCACGTTCAGCAGCTTCGCCCGGTTAAACGTCCCGTTTCCGGCCTGGAGGGGGCGAGAGCGGGCGCTGGGCACGGGGCGGGGGACAGGTGCTGGGGACAGGTGACCAGGTGACGGGGAACAGGTGGGGGGGGGGGCGCGGGACAGGGCAGGGCTCGGCGCGCCCCCTGCCGGCCGCCCCCGGGAGGGCAGGGCACCTGGTGGATGACGTAGATGCCGTAAGCCAGCTGCTGGCGCTGCAGGAAGGGATGCAGGTGGTAGAGGAGGAGGCGCAGGTGGGGCTCCCGGGCGCGGTGCGGCACGATGACGGCCGTGCGCGAGTGCGGCTCGCAGCCCGGGGGGCGGTACCGGCCGCCCGGCTCCACCCGGGGGTTCCGCTCCAGGATCTCGGCCAGGGACGGGATGGGGCTGAAGGACACGAACACGGGTCCCACTGCGGGGGGGGGGGGGGAGGGATGGCGCGGTGAGGGGGCGGCAGGACCCGGCAGCCCGCAGAGTCTGGACACCCCTTTTCCGTGCCTTTTATTAGGTTTTGGGGGCCACAGCCAGGGGTGCTCAGGGTCTCTCCTGGCTCTGTGCTCAGGGCTCACTCCCAGCTCTGTGCTCAGGGTCACTTCCCAGCTCTGTGCTCAGGGTCACTTCCGGCTCTGTGCTCAGGGCTGACTCCCGGCTCTGTGCTCAGGGTCTCTCCTGGCTCTGTGCTCAGGGCTGACTCCTGACTGCTCAGGGCTGACTCCCGGCTCTGTGCTCAGGGTCACTTCCCAGCTCTGTGCTCAGGGTCACTTCCCAGCTCTGTGCTCAGGGTCACTTCCAGCTCTGTGCTCAGGGCTGACTCCCGGCTCTGTGCTCAGGGCTCACTCCCAGCTCTGTGCTCAGGGCTCACTCCCAGCTCTGTGCTCAGGGCTGACTCCTGACTCTGCTCAGGGTCACTTCCCAGCTCTGTGCTCAGGGTCACTTCCCGGCTCTGTGCTCAGGGCTGACTGCCGGCTCTGTGTTCAGGGCTGACTCCTGACTCTGCTCAGGGTCACTTCCCAGCTCTGTGCTCAGGGTCACTTCCGGCTCTGTGCTCAGGGCTGACTCCCGGCTCTGTGCTCAGGGTCTCTCCTGGCTCTGTGCTCAGGGCTGACTCCTGACTCTGCTCAGGGTCACTTCCCGGCTCTGTGCTCAGGGTCACTTCCCGGCTCTGTGCTCAGGGTCACTCCTGGCTCTGTGCCCAGGGGTTATTCTTGACTGTGCTCTGGCCTTACGCCCTGGAGGTGCCGGGCTGGAACACAGGTGCTATCAAAGCGCAAAGCAGGTCCCGTCTCCCTGCCCTCCACCCCAGCGCCCCGGGGCCGGCCCCTCTGCAGCTGGACCCCCAGCAGAATGCCACCTAGCCCGAAGATCAGGCGGGCGCCCGCATGGTGCCCCGTTCGCCCCCCAAGCCGGAACCCGCCCAAACCCCGCCCCAGGCCGGCCGGCCGGACTCACCTAGGAGCGGGGATCGCTCCGGGCAGTCGGGCAGGTCCTGGGGGGCGGGCGGGTCCCTGGAGACCGGAGGGGGCCCCAGCAGCTGGCTGAGGTTGCTGTACACGTCGTGGGGGTGTGCGTAGTCGAAGGTGGGGCCCTGGTCGCGCGCGAAGAGGGCGCTGAGGTTCCGGAAGCCGCCCAGCGACAGGTACATCATGACGGCCAGCTGCGAGCCCACCAGCAGGGCCAGCGTGCAGGGCCGCTCCAGCAGCCTCCGCAGCATCCTGGGGGAGCCCGGCGGGGAGGCGCGATCCCGGGCAGCGGCGGGGACCGGCCGGCACCGGCGGCCGCGGGGGCAGGGCAGGCGCGCGCGGCACGCAGGCCCCGCCCGGTCCCCGGGGCCGCCGCCGCGCTCACCTGCGGGCTTCAGGGGGTCTTCTCCCGGCCGCGGGGGGCTGCGAGGGCTCGCGGAGGGCCGGCGGCGGGCAGCATGCTGCCGCCAGGGGCGCGCGGGGCAGGTCGGGGCCGGGCCTGTCCAGCACCTGTCCCGGGAGCGGAGGACACGCCTGGGGCCGCGGCGGGGCGGCCGGCAGGTGCCGGAGCGCGGCCCCCCGCCCCGCCCCGCCCCGCCCCGCTGGGCGGGATGCCCGGGCGGGCGCGGGCGACCCCCTCACCTGGAGGGCGTGGCCGGCGCCGGGGCGCGCCCGGGGACCCCCGATCGCGCCCCGCGCCCCCGATGCCCGCGCGGCCACCCGGGACCCCCTGCCCGCCCGGCGCGCCTGCAGCCGCGCTCCCCGAGGCCCTGCGTCCCGCTGCGCTCGCCCCCGCGGCCTCCCCGCCCCCCTCGGGCCGCCCTGCCCGCGCCCCGGGCCCCGCACCTGGCCTGGCGCGTCCCGTCGTCACCGCCACCCCGGCAGCCGGGCAGGCACCGCCGCCGCCATCTTGGAAGCGGGCGCCGCGGGGCGGGCCCTGGCGTCACTGAGGGCGGGGCGGGGCCTCGCCTCATTGGGTGGGGCCCGGGGCGGGGCGGGGCTTGTGGCGGGGGGCGGGGCCTGCGCTGGCTCCTGGCCGGGCCTGGCTGTCAGCCGGGTCGACGTCACGGCCCCAAGTCTGCGAGACGCGTGCCCTGGGCCGCCGCTGACCCCCAAACTCGGTGGAAAGCCCCTTCCGCCTTGGCTGTCGCCCCCCGGCGCACCCGCGCGCCCCTCAGTGCCCAGGTGGCTTCCGGCAACTGGATCCGGAGGGGCAAACCCCGCAGCCAGACCGGGATACTTAGTTGCCAGGACGGGATACTTAGTTGCCAGGCCCGGGATACTTAGTAGCCAGGCCGGAATACCTAATTGCCAGGACGGAATACCTAATTGCCAGGCCGGGATACCTAGTTGCCAGGCCGGGATACTTAGTAGCCAGGCCGGAATACCTAATTGCCAGGACGGGATACCTAGTTGCCAGGCCGGGATACTTAGTAGCCAGGCCGGGATACTTAGTAGCCAGACCGGGATACCTAGTTGCCAGGCCGGGATACCTAATCGCCAGGCCGGGATACCTAGTAGCCAGGCCGGGATACCTAATTGCCAGGACGGGATACTTAGTTGCCAGGCCGGGATACCTAGTAGCCAGGCCGGGATACCTAATTGCCAGGACGGGATACCTAGTTGCCAGGCCGGGATACTTAGTAGCCAGGCCGGGATACCTAATTGCCAGGCCGGGATACTTAGTTGCCAGCGCGCTGGGTTTCCGCGGGCCCGAAGGAGCTCAGACTTTGCAAAAGAAACCCGTGAGACCCGGCAGCGTCTGCCTTCGAGTGAGAAGTGCCACCCCCGACCCCCGACCCCCGCCCCCGCCCCCGCCGCCACCACTGTTGGTGCCAACAGGACAAGGCGTGCGCCCGCCTTTAGAGGCCGCCTTTAGATCTGGTGGGCCCAGAATGCGCCCCTTCGCAGGTGCGGGCCCCCAGAGGCTTACTGGACGGATTCGTCGGCCCCTCCTCCTTGGGCTGCCTCCCGTTCCGTTTCCACGGGAGCAAAGAGCCCCCCCAAGAGCCCAGAACCAGCTTCAGAGCACGCCGGCCAGCCCCATCTGTGGCCTGGTGTGTGCTTCCCTGGTCCTTAAGAAATCGAGGAGTTCTTTCTTCAGGGGGGGAGGAGCCCACATGGTGGGGGCAGGGTGCAGACAACCTGGAGCCCCCCCTGCCCCATCCTCTTAGCCCTTTCTCCCCCCCTCCAAGTCTCATGCCCTCATGAGGCAAGTGACCTGCCTGACAAGTACCTTTGTGGGGAGGGAGGTTGCTCCCAGTAATTCCCAGCCTGCAGTGGGTGCTGGGGGTTCCTCAGGCCAGCCTGGTGATGTTTGAGGGGCTATGTGGTCACTGGGGGCTGGAATGATAGCACAGTGGTCGGGCGTTTGCTTTGCACATGGCCGACCCGGTCAACCAGGGTTCAATTCCTCCTCCACCCCTCTTGGAGAGCCCAGCAAGCTACCGAAAGTATCTCGCCCACACAGCAAAGCTCCCCGTGATGTATTTGATATGCCCAACATAGTAACAAGAAGTCTCACAATGGAGACGTTACTGGGCCCGCTCGAGCAAATCGATGAACAACGGGAGGACAGTGCGACAGTGCGACAGTGGTCACTGGGATTCAATCAGGCTCGGATACTTGCAAATCATGCAGTCACCACCCAATATTGCCTCTCTCGGGCCTGTTCGTTAGCTCATCAATCTTTTCTCTCTCTCTCTCTCTCTCTCTCTCTGTGGGGGGGGGGGGTGCAGCGGGAGGGGTTTGGGCCACACCTGGCTGTGCTCCGGGGTTACTCCTGGCTCAGTGCTCAGGGATCACTCCTGCCAGTGTCGAAGGATCATAAGGGGCTGCTGGGGCCCAGGTGGGCCACATGCAAAGCCAGTGCCCTCCCTCCCCGGAGGGGCCGCAGCTCTCACTCCTGAGCAACATGAAACAGTCTGGGCTGAAGGGAACCCGGGGCTGGAGGGCAGAGCTGTGGGAAAGCCAGGAAAAATCACACAGCAGGTGGGGCGCTGCTTTGCGCTTGACCAACCTTTGATCCCTCGTAGGGATCCCCGAACCCCACTCAGAGAGATCCTGGGGCACTGAGCCACTGAGCACGGCTGCATGTGGCCCAGAGCACAGCTAGGTTCAAACCCCCAGCGGGAGTGGGCGGGAGAGAGCCTCTCTTTTTTTTTTGCTTTTTTGGGGTCACACCAAGCGATGCTCAGGGGTTATTCCTGGCTCTACACTCAGGAATTACTCCTGGTGGGGGACCATATGGGATGCCGGGGATTGAACCCAGGTGGGCCGCGTGCAAGGCAAACGCCCTACCCACTGTGCTGTCGCTCCGGCCCCTACCCTCTCTTTTTTAATTTTATTTTAAGGAATCATCGTGCGGGTGAGAGACTCTCCTCTCAGTAGCTTGTAGCTTGCCGGGCTCTCTGACAAGGGCGGAGGAATTGAACCCAGGGTCACCCGGTGGAGTGATAGCACAGGGTAGGGCTTTTGCCTTGAGCCAGGTTTGATTAGATATGGGGAAACACAGTAACAAGTCTCACAATGGAGAAGTTACTGGGCCCTCTGAGCAATGGGAGGACAGTTCTACAGTGATGCAGTTACAGACCGACAAACTTTCATGATTACAGTTTGATGTTCAAGTACCCCTCCCCCCACCAGTGCCCATTCTCCACCACCGGGGGTTCCAGCAACCCTCCGCCACCCCCACCCCTTCCCACCTCCCCTATCCCTTCGTGGTTCCCAGAAGACCTTTGCCCTGCTGCATCACGGCCACACCCTAGACTCATTCCGTACCTGGGACGGCAGCTTCTGTGCTGAAGGGCTGGTTTCCACCCCTACAGTCATCCTGTTCTTCAGAAACCCCAGGGCGCAGCTCAACAGAACTAACCCACCCTGTCCGGATTCCATTGCTCAAGGGAGGGGCACTGGGGCTCCAACTCATGGCCTCACACTTTGGGGTGGGGGGTCACACCCGGCAGTGCCCAGGGCTGACCCCTGGCCCTGCATTCCGTCAGGGGGGTCCCTCCTGGCAGGGTTGGGGAGATGATGGTCCTCCCGTTCCAGGCTCTCTCCAGTCCTCTGGCCTCTCTCCTGAGACTCTGAGTCATCTCCTGCGTCTGTGCCAGCCCCAGAGCCCGCTTCTGGTCATTTCCACACCAGATTGCGGGTTCGAGGCCTCTGACCGCCCAGCGCGCCCCACGCGGAGAAGATGCAGGCTCTGTGGGTTTGGACAAAGGGTTGGGCCACGGGGGACAGCGGGGGTGGTCACCCCAACCCAGGGCGCCTGCAGATGCCTCCCCTTCCTGCAGCCTCTTCCAGCCACAGCCCCTCCCCCTCCTCCCCCTGCCGCCCCTCCCCCCACTGCGGGCAGGTCCGGGGAAGCCGCTTCTCCGGCGCCCTCCTGGTGCTTTCCCCAGCTGTCAGTGCATCCCCTGCTGCCCCTGGTTCCCGCATCCACCGGGCACTGCGCCAGGCAGTGGGGCTGAGACCCAGGGAGCCACAGCCAGAGCCAATGAACCGTTCAGGCGGCCAAGACGAATCCCTAAGCTCCATCCTGCCCGCCCTGCCCAGCGAGACGCAGGCAGGCTTGGTCTGTCAGTCTGGTTTTGAGAAAATGAAATGCAGTCATGAATACTGGACAGAGGTTACAGCGGGGGGGTGGGGGGTGGAAGAGGACAGGAGTTCCCCCCACCTCCACAGCATCCCAGAAATCCCGCCCTCCGCCCCGGGCCCAGGACGGGGCCTGGAGGGATGCCCAGTTCCCGGCTGTAACCGCAGACCTGGCCTCAGCACAGAAAGGGCTGGAGATTGGCAGGCCTCCAGCCCGGCCCCACCGCACACACGCACGCACCCGCGTACATGTGGCCTCGTGGGGTTCCCGCCTCCCTGACCCCGGGCCCTCTGCATGGGGGAGGGGTGCCCCCACCCAGGCTGTGGGGAGATGGCGGCACCCCGAGCCCCCCAGAGGGGACTTCCCCCACCGCACAGAGCGTGAGAACGAGCTGACACTGCATGAGGACCTGAGGCAGTGTGTAGCCTGGAGAATGTTCCAGAAGGCAGTCAGGGCGCAGCCCTTCCCCGAGGCGTGGATACACATCATCAGAGCAGTTTACTTTATTACTGTCCGGGCTTCCTCTTGGCATGAGGAGCACATGCCCCCCCCCCCCCCGCCCCCATGGAGTGACAGACGGACGGGGTAGGTCTCCAAGGTGCCTGGTGCCGGGGTTCCCCCTTTCATGACCTCAGTGGGGTTCTGGGCTGTGCCCAGGGGAGCGTGATGTGCCTCCTTCCTGCCTCCCCGACCCCAAACTCCCCCGGGGAACCCCACTTTGCCTCGGAGGCTCAGCTGTGGGCGTTCTCCGGGCTGGATCCGGGCTTCCCGCGTGCGCACCTTCAGCCCAGGGAACCGAGACGATGAGACGCCCTGCAGCCACCTCTAGTGGCCCTGCCTCAGGCCTGCGTGGGAGTGTCATGGCTCGGGGCTGTCCTCGCTGCAGAGGTGGCTTCCAGGGCAGGCTACCAAACACACGTGGCTGTGGCTGCTGTGGCTGGCCCGGACGGGAGGCCAGGGCCCCGGGGGTGGAGAGCTCGGATGTGCCAGGCCCAGCACAGCTACCAGTCCCCCCCCCCCCGCGCCTGCTCCCCCCCCCCCCCAAGGCACTGGGATGCCCCCGCCTTATTCTGTCTCTCCCTGATGTCCCAGAGCATCCTGGAGCCAGCCAAGCCCGGGCACCTCCCCACGGGCAGGGAAGCCAGTGTGCGGTCCAGGCACTGCCCCCTCCCTGCCGCTGAGCCTGGCCCCTCCCGGAAACGGAGGCTCAACAGGTGAACAGAGCCCGTGTGACACACACACTCGTACACATGAACACATAAGCTCACGCACATGCACACAGACACACTCATACATGTGCACCTACATACACACGTGCACATATACTCATACACGTGCAGACTCATGCACATATATACACTCATACATGTGCACACACATGCATACATACACACACATGTACATACACGCTCAAATGCACACACATGTACACAGACTCATCACATGCACAGACACTCATACACATGCACACAGACACATACATGTGCACATACATGTACACGTGCACAAACACTCATACACGTGCACTGACTCAGCACATGCATATGTACCCACTCATATGTGTGCACACACACGCACACATACACACTCATACACATGTACACATACACAAGCACATGCACACACACTCAAATGCACACACTCACACATGTGCACAGACTCATCACATGCACAGACACTCATACACTTGCACAGATTCATCACATGCACACATACACACTCATACATGTGCACACACACATACATGCACACATGCACACTCATACACATGTACACATATACAAGCACACGCACGCACATATACACACTTAAATGCACACACTCACACACATGCAGATTCATCACATGCACACATACACACTCATACACATGTACACATACACACATTCAAATGCACACTCACACATGTGCACAGACTTATCACATGCACACACTCATACACAAACACACACTCACACACGTGCAGATTCATATACACATGCAGATTCATCACATGCACATATACACACATGCACAATGCACTCCTACACATGCACACATACTCTCATACACAGCACACACACATACACAAGCACATGCACACATACATACACACTCACAGGCACTAACAAGCACACACACACTCACACACATGCATCCACTTATACACTCACTCAGGCAGACACACACATGCACACACGCACGCATGCGTATACACTCACGCTCACACTCCCCCCCTTCTGCCCATCGCCCTGGAGCGCCCCGTGTGTGGCCGGCTCCAAGCCGGGCTCCGTCTCCAGGACCGGCCGCCCCCTCCCCGCTGCCCCGGTGTAAACTGAGGAGAATAAATAGGAAATAAATACGGGCCTGCCCGCCTCCCCGTGGCCAGCGGGGAGCGACCTCCGGGCGGGCCTCCCCGAGCCCAGCGCCTCCGCCGTCGGGGCCGCGGGGGCAGGGCCAGCCCGCCCAGCCCGCGCACAGGGCGCCTCCCGCCCCGCGTCCAGTCCAGTCCGGTGCGGGCCCCGGGTCACTGGGGCCACCGGCGCCGTCGCAGCGCCTCCAGGATCAGCGCCTTGCGCGCCAGCCAGTCGGGGCGCTCGGGGCGCGGGGGCGCGGGGGGCGGGCGCGGCGCGAAGAAGCTGAAACGCAGGCGCGCGCCGCGGGGGTCTCCGGCCTGCAGCGCCTGCAGCGTCAGCGGCTCGGCCAGCGGCCCGCGGCCGGCCAGCGTCTCGGGGGTCGCGGCCGCCCCGCTGTAGCGCAGCCGCGCCGGCCCGGGCAGCGGCACGTCGGCGGGCCCGGGCTGCAGCGCCGACGCGCCGTTGAGCGCGTACGAGCCGTCGGGCCGCCGCAGCGCCAGGAAGACCCCGCGGGGCCCCGGGCCGCCCTGCAGCCGCACCAGCACGTGGGTGGCCCCCGCGGGCAGCGTCACCACGTCCGTGTAGCCGGGCCTGCGGGGAGCGGGGGAGAGGGGGAGAGGGGCCGTGAGCGAGCTTGGCCGCGGGATTCCCGGTGCGCCCCTGCCCCAGGCCGGGGTCCCCTTTGCGTGCCAGGGGTCCCTTCTGCGTCCCTACCTCTGATGGGGGGGTCCCCTCTGCGTTCCAGGCCCCCCTGCGTTCCAGGTCCCCTCTGCGTGCCAGGGGTCCCTTCTGCGTCCCTACCTCTGATGGGGGGGTCCCCTCTGCGTTCCAGGCCCCCCTGCGTTCCAGGTCCCCTCTGCGTGCCAGGGGTCCCTTCTGCGTCCCTACCTCTGATGGGGGGGGTCCCCTCTGCGTTCCAGGCCCCCCTGCGTTCCAGGTCCCCTCTCCGTGCCAGGGGTCCCTTCTGCGTCCCTACCTCTGATGGTGGGGGGTCCCCTCTGCGTTCCAGACCCCTCTGCGTTCCAGGTCCCCTCTGCGTGCCAGGGGTCCCTTCTGCGTCCCTACCTCTGATGGGGGGGTCCCCTCTGCGTTCCAGGTCCCCTCTGCATGCCAGGGGTCCCTTCTGCGTCCCTACCTCTGATGGGGGGGTCCCCTCTGCGTTCCAGGCCCCCCTGCGTTCCAGGTCCCCTCTCCGTGCCAGGGGTTCCTTCTGCGTCCCTACCTCTGATGGGGGGGTCCCCTCTGCGTTCCAGGTCCCCTCTGCGTGCCAGGGGTCCCTTCTGCGTCCCTACCTCTGATGGGGGGGTCCCCTCTGCGTTCCAGGCCCCTCTGCGTTCCAGGTCCCCTCTGCGTGCCAGGGGTCCCTTCTGCGTCCCTACCTCTGATGGGGGGGGTCCCCTCTGCGTTCCAGGCCCCCCTGCGTTCCAGGTCCCCTCTGCGTGCCAGGGGTCCCTTCTGCGTCCCTACCTCTGATGGGGGGGTCCCCTCTGCGTTCCAGGACCCCCTGCGTTCCAGGTCCCCTCTGCGTGCCAGGGGTCCCTTCTGCGTCCCTACCTCTGATGGGGGGGGTCCCCTCTGCGTTCCAGGCCCCCCTGCGTTCCAGGTCCCCTCTGCGTGCCAGGGGTCCCTTCTGCGTCCCTACCTCTGATGGGGGGGGTCCCCTCTGCGTTCCAGGCCCCCCCTGCGTTCCAGGTCCCCTCTGCGTGCCAGGGGTCCCTTCTGCGTCCCTACCTCTGATGGGGGGGTCCCCTCTGCGTTCCAGGCCCCCCTGCGTTCCAGGTCCCCTCTGCGTGCCAGGGGTCCCTTCTGCGTCCCTACCTCTGATGGGGGGGTCCCCTCTGCGTTCCAGGCCCCCCTGCGTTCCAGGTCCCCTCTGCGTGCCAGGGGTCCCTTCTGCGTCCCTACCTCTGATGGGGGGGTCCCCTCTGCGTTCCAGGCCCCCCTGCGTTCCAGGTCCCCTCTGCGTGCCAGGGGTCCCTTCTGCGTCCCTACCTCTGATGGGGGGGTCCCCTCTGCGTTCCAGGCCCCTCTGCGTTCCAGGTCCCCTCTGCGTGCCAGGGGTCCCTTCTGCGTCCCTACCTCTGATGGGGGGGTCCCCTCTGCGTTCCAGGCACCCCTGCGTTCCAGGTCCCCTCTCCGTGCCAGGGGTCCCTTCTGCGTCCCTACCTCTGATGGGGGGGTCCCCTCTGCGTTCCAGGTCCCCTCTGCGTGCCAGGGGTCCCTTCTGCGTCCCTACCTCTGATGGGGGGGTCCCCTCTGCGTTCCAGGCCCCCCTGCGTTCCAGGTCCCCTCTGCGTGCCAGGGGTCCCTTCTGCGTCCCTACCTCTGATGGGGGGGTCCCCTCTGCGTTCCAGGCCCCCCTGCGTTCCAGGTCCCCTCTGCGTGCCAGGGGTCCCTTCTGCGTCCCTACCTCTGATGGGGGGAGGTCCCCTCTGCGTTCCAGGCCCCTCTGCGTTCCAGGTCCCCTCTGCGTGCCAGGGGTCCCTTCTGCGTCCCTACCTCTGATGGGGGGGGTCCCCTCTGCGTTCCAGGCCTCCCTGCGTTCCAGGTCCCCTCTGCGTGCCAGGGGTCCCTTCTGCGTCCCTACCTCTGATGGGGGGGTCCCCTCTGCGTTCCAGGTCCCCTCTGCATGCCAGGGGTCCCTTCTGCGTCCCTACCTCTGATGGGGGGGGTCCCCTCTGCGTTCCAGGCCCCCCTGCGTTCCAGGTCCCCTCTGCGTGCCAGGGGTCCCTTCTGCATCCCTACCTCTGATGGGGGGGTCCCCTCTGCGTTCCAGGTCCCCTCTGCGTGCCAGGGGTCCCTTCTGCGTCCCTATCTCTGATGGGGGGGGTCCCCTCTGCGTTCCAGGCCCCTCTGCATCCCTACCCCAATGTGGGGTTCCTCTGCTTCCCAGGGGTCCCCTCTGGTCCCTGCCCCCGGCGCGGGGTTCCCGCGGTGCCCCAGCACCCAGCACCCAGCCCCCAGCGCAAGGCACCTGAACTTGCGGAAGGAACCCGCGTGCTTGGTGCAGCCCGAGCCGTCGCCGCCGCACACCATGCACTTGTCGAACTTCTTCCTGGAGCCGATGACGCGGTCACAGCCCGCGTGGATGCAGCGGCCCTGCACGCACACGGACGCACTCTCGGGGGAGCAGGGCGTGCCGTCCACCACCTGGGGACCAGAGCGCGGAGCTGCCCGAGGGGTCCCGGAAGTGGGGGCGCGCGGGGGGAGGCTGGGCCGCAGCATCGGGGTCATGCCCAGGGCCGCCAGGACGCTCCGAGGCCAGCCCGGTGCGCGCTCTGGACACGCGCGCGGGGGAGCCAGGGGGAGTGGCAGTTCCGCCGACGGGCGCTAGAGGGCAGCAGCCCCCGGATCCGCCGGGAACGGGGGCCACAGGCTTAAACTCCGAATTCATTCTCTGGGGCTGGGTACCGCGGAGTGGACGCGGGACGCCCTTGCCAGGGTCTGGGCTGGTTTTCCTTTTTCTTTTTTTCTTTTTTTTGCTTTTTGGGTCACACCCGGCGATGCTCAGGGGTTCCTCCTGGCTCTGCACTCAGGAGTTACCCCTGGCGATGCTCAGGGGACCCTATGGGATGCTGGGAATCGAACCCGGGTCGTTTGCAAGGCAAACGCCCTACCCGCTGTGCTGTCTCACCAGCCTCTGGGCTGGTTTTCTAAGCAGTCGGGATAGGTGAGCGCCGGGAGGACAGATGAGTGGGTGGGGACAGGTGGGAGGGCGGAAGGAAGGACGGTGACCAGGAAGGAGGACAGTGACCAGGTGGGAGGATAGTGACTAGGAGAGAAGACAGTCAGAGGAGGAAGGACGGAAGGACAGTGATCAGGAGGGAGGACAGTGACCAGAAGGGAGGGCAGTGACCAGGAGAGAAGGCAGTGGGCAAGAGGGAGGGCAGTGGGCAGGAGGGGGAGCAGGTAACAAGGCAGGAGGACAGACATGCAGGGGGCAGGCAGGTGGACAGATGGCGGCGGCCTCTGTCTCAGCTCCCACATGCAGGGCCGGCGCTGGCGCTCACCCGGGGCTGCAGCACGTAGTAGTAGCCCAGGGCCCGCGCCTGGCAGGTCAGCTTGCACTGGTCCCGGGGCGCCACACCGGTGTAGCGGGGCACCCAGTCCATGGGCCCCGGGAAGCTCTTGAACAGGTCGCTGCGCAGGTTGTAGGCGGCGCACTGCTCCTCGCGGAAGGTCAGGGCTGCGGGAGGGACAGTCAGGGCCGGCCCGCGCCGCCCCCAGCCCGGCCCCGAGCCCCCCGCACGCACGCACGCACGCAGTGCCCCTCACCTGAGCCCGAGGGGCAGTCCTGTGTGTGGCAGGACCGGAAGCGGGTGCGACGACCCTCACAGTATTTGCCCCCGTTGCGGGGCACCGGCCTCGTGCAGTCCCGGGAGGAGAACTGGACGCCACCCCCGCAGGTCCGCGAGCAGTCGCCCCAGGGGCCCCAGGAGCCCCAGCCTCCCGCCTGCGGGATCTGCAGAGCGCGGGAGGAGGAGGGGCTGTCAATCTCCTGGGCGGCCCCGCCCACCACGACTCCGCCCCGCCCACCACCCTGCTTTGACCACGCCCACACCCCCTGGAGCTTAGCCTACATCCACCCTGGCCCCGCCCACCCCTGATCCCACACTGCCCCGCCTTGACCACGCCCACCCCCGTCCTGGCCCCGCCCACCCCGATCCCGCCCCGCTTTGACCACGCCCACCCCCGTCTTGGCCCCGCCCACCCCTGATCCCACGCCGCCCCGCCTTGACCACGCCCACCCCCTGTCCTGGCCCCGCCCACCCCTGATTCCACCCCGCCCCGCCTTGACCACACCCACCCCTGGCCCCACACACCGCCCCGCCTTGACCACGCCCACCCCTGTCCTGGCCCCGCCCACCCCTGATCTCACACCACCCCGCCTTGACCACGCCCACCCCTGTCCTGGCCCCGCCCACCCCTGATCCCACTCCGCCCCGCCTTGACCACGCCCACCCCTGTCCTGGCCCCCGCCCACCCCTGATCCCCACCGCCCCGCCTTGACCACGCCCACACCTGTCCTGGCCCCGCCCGTCACACGCACGCGCGCGCACACACGCACACACACACACACACACACACACACACACACACACACACACACTCTGCTGGTACCTTGAAGTCTTGGAGCTGGTGACCCTGCAGGCAGCGCCCCCCCATGCAGGCCTGGTTCGGCCCGCAGGGGGTGCCGTCGGCCCAGGGCGAGTGCTTGGTCTGGCACATGGCCTGCCCGTTGATGTGTCCCGAGCACCAGAGGGCAGCACAGGGCGGCGGCAGCTGCGGGCAGTGGTGGGAGTCAGGCCCGAAGGTCAGCTGGCACTGCCGGTCAGCGCTGTAGTCCTTGCCCGGGAAGGTCGCGGGCAGGTGCAGGGGCGCCTCGGGCTTGTCGAGGAGGCAGTGGCCTGGGGAGGGCGGGTGGGGTCAGCCAGTGAGGGCCTTTGAGTGGCGCAGAACCGGACACACGCGCACACACACACACATACGCACACGGGGCTGCCCCCAGCTCGCCGTCCCTCCACACAGGAGACCAGGCTGGGGAGGTGACCCAGAGCACAGCCTCTCCTCCACCCCTACCCACAGCCAGCAGCACAGGCCGCCCTCCAGTAGCCACGGGGTGGGCAGCCCTGATCCCTCAGGGGACCAGCCCACCTCCCAGGAGGAAGTGGGACCACCCACCCCCACACACCGGATACACAGGAAGTGGGAGGGAGGGTGGTTTGGGCCCGCAGGTGTGAGAAAGGGGCGGAGGGGGGCAGGCGGCAGCTCACCATAGCCGTTGTCCAGGAAGTCGGTGACAAAGCGGGCACTGCAGGGCGACCAGGGCTCCTCGGGGTCCACATGGGCCATCACTGGGGCCATGACGTGGCGGGAGGCACCCCCGGGCCCATTGAGCGCGAGACAGGGCTTGGAGTTGTCATGCAGCATGTTGAAGACGTGGCCTGGGCACAGAAGCCTGGCTAGGGTCCACTTCCTCCAGGGCACTTACCCCACCCACCCTGGCCCCGTCCCCTTCCCTGTGGTCAGTGCGACAGCCCTGGTTCATGTGAGGAGTAGCCAGTGGGGTCCGACAACACGCACGCAGACACCTCGGCCCCTACATGCAGGAACAGGCATGCATACGCCCCTTACACGCCTTTACATGCATGAACACATGCACAGACTCAGCCCCGACATACATGCTCACACATGCACACATGCACACAGCAGCTCTTACATGTATACTAACATGCAAACACGCGCACGCACACCAGCTTCTACACACATGCTCATAGCTACAGACACCACACCAGCTCCTACCCACCGCAGCACGCCCCTCACGCAATTCTACCCCCAGCTCCAGGCGCACCAACTCCTCCCCTCACACAGTTCCCTCCCAGCTCGGCCCCTCAATCGGCCCCACCCACGGTCACGCCCCACGCAAGCCACGCCTCCTATAAGCCACGCCCTGTCAAAAGCCACGCCCCCTAACACCTCAGTCCATTGCCAGGCCCTAATAAAACCACGCCCACCACAAAAGCTCTGCCCAATTTAGCCACGCCCCTCAGCTCCACGCCTGCTGCCCCTCACTCTGCTCCACTCCATAGCCACACCTCCAGCACAGACACACCCCGATAAGGCCACGCCCCCAAAAGACACACCCCGATAAGGCCACGCCCCCTGACTTAGCCACACCCCCAGCACAGCCAAGGCCCTCAATTGGCTCCTTCCCAGCTGTCCTTCACTTAGCTACGCCCCTAAGAGCCCCGCCCCGCAGAAGCCCCGCCCCCATTTAGCCCAGGCCCAGGCGGCCATGCCCCTCACCCAGCCAGGCCTCCAGCAAGCCACACCCAATAAGGCCACGCCCCCAAAAGGCCCTCCCTGGCTTAGCCACGCCCCCAGCACAGTCACAGCCCTCAATTGGCTCCTTCCCAGCGCTCCTTCGCTTAGCCACGCCCCTAAGATCCCTGTCCTAAAAGCCCCGCCCCGGCTTAGCCCAGGCCCAGGCGGCCACGCCCCTCACCCAGCCAGGCCGCCAGCACAGCCGCACTCCTATAAGGCCACGCCCCAAAAAGTCCCTCCCCCAGCACAGCCCTGGCCCTCAATTGGCTCCTTCCCAGCTGTCCTTCACTTAGCCACGCCCCTAAAAGCCTTGCCCCGCAGAAGCCCCGCCCTGGCTTAGCCCAGGCGGCCACGCCTCTTGCCCAGCCACGCCTCCAGCACAGCCACATCCAATAAGGCCACGCCCCAAAATGTCCCGCCCCAAGCACAGCCACGGCCCTCAATTGGCTCCTTCCCAGCTGTCCTTCACTTAGCCACGCCCCTCAAAGCCTTGCCCCGCAGAAGCCCCGCCTCGGCTTAGCCCAGGCGGCCACGCCCCTCGCCCAGCCACGCCTCCAGCACAGCCACATCCAATAAGGCCACGCCCCAAAATGTCCCGCCCCAAGCACAGCCCTGGCCCTCAATTGGCTCCTTCCCAGCTGTCCTTCACTTAGCCACGCCCCTCAAAGCCTTGCCCTGCAGAAGCCCCGCCCCGGCTTAGCCCAGGCGGCCACGCCCCTCGCCCAGCCACGCCTCCAGCACAGCCACACTCCTATAAGGCCACGCCCCCAAAAGTCCCTCCCCCAGCACAGCCCTGGCCCTCAATTGGCTCCTTCCCAGCTGTCCTTCACTTAGCCACGCCCCTAAGAGCCCCGCCCCGCAAAAAGCCCCGCCCCGACTTAGCCCAGACCCAGGCGGCCACGCCCCTCACCCAGCTCGTGGGCAGCCGTGAAGGCCGACTGCAGCCCGTCGTCCTCCACCACGGCGCAGCTCCGAGCCGGGTCGCACACGGTGCCCACGTCAGCCATGCCCAGGGTGTCACAGGTGGACGCCCCGCACAGGTCCTGGGGGGGGGCGCAGGCAGGCCTGAGCGGCGCCGCGGGACGGCGGGGGCCCCCCAGGCCCGTGCCCCCCACGCCAGTGTCCCCCTCCCACCTGCCGCGTGAACAGGATGGCCGTGTCGAAGTGGTCGGGGTCGGAGTCGTTGGCGGTGTTGAGGCCCCGCTGCCAGGCGCAGAAGCTGCGCAGAGTCTGGGCCGCGCTGGGCCCCACCTGGGGGCCCTCCTCGCCGGGGCCCAGCACCACCAGGCGGGTGACCACCAGGCTGACCGGGTTGCGGATGGTCGGGTGCGTGAAGGCCTTCGCGGCGGCCGCCAGCACGGTCAGCAGGTACCGCTTCAGGCCGGCCCCGTGGAACGCGGTCATCTTGGCATCCGCCACCACCAGGGTCTCCACGAACCGGCTCAGGGACGCGAACCGCTGCGGGGAGAGAGTGTCCCCTGGGTGCGCTGCCCGGCGGGGCCAGCGCTGCCTGTGCCAGTGCCCGCAGGAGCCGGTCCGTCAGGTCAGCAGCTGCAGGCTGGCCCGGCACGGAGGGGGTGCGGGACACCGTCTGGTCTGGATTAAGCTGGAACAACGGGGCGGGCTGGTGGGAAGGGGGCAGGGAGAGGGGAGGAGACCGCGGGCGGAGGGGGGCAGGGGTGCGTGGAGGGGGGACTCCTTCCTGGCCAAGATGGCCCAGCCCTGCTCGGTCCTGCTCGCTGGGTTCCCTGGTGCGGGGACGTCCCCGGCTCTTAGTCCCCTCGGGAGCCCTCCCCGGGCTGGGGTCCAGCGGCGGGATCGGGGGAGGGCAGGGCAGCCAGGTGGTGGGAAGAGGGGGTGCAGGCATCGGGCCAGGGGATGGGGTGCAGCGGGTGGGTGGGGCCGTCGCCGCGTGGCAGAGGGCGCTGCCTACCTTGGCCCTTCGGGGTCCGGGGCTGGGGGGCCCGGGGGGGCCCTTGACGTTGCACATGGGCCCTTGGTCGCTGGTCGGCCGCCTCCGGCGCAGGACGTGAGCGCCGGGCCCCCCGGCCGAGTTGGGGGCGCCCCCTTCCAGGGGCTGGAGGTGCAGCTCTGCCCCCCGGTACTGCAGCACCCCCAGGAGGGCCCGGCCATCCCAGTGCAGGGAGGCCACGGACTCGGGGTCACCGTTGACGGTGCCCGTGAGGTAGGTCCCGGGTTCGGCACCGCCCAGGGGAGCGGGCACCCGGCCCAGGTACTGCACCGTCAGGCCCTCGGCCCGCACGGCCGCGTCCTGCTCCAGCTCCAGCAGCAGCGGCTCCCCGAAGGCCGGCAGGAGGCAGCGCAGCCGGGCAGGGGCGCCCCGACCCGGCCACACGCTGCCGTTGAGCGCCCGGGGGAACACGACCTCCTCCTCGGGGGCCGAGGGGCCCGAGAGCCGGGCGAGGGGCAGGGCAGCCGCCAGCAGCGGCAGCCACCGGGGCGCGGGACACGGGGACATGGGCCGGGGCTGTGCCGACACCCGCCCAGGGGACGTCTGCAGCCGGGAGGGAGGCAGGCGGGGGGCTGCCGGCCGGGCTGGGGGCTCCCGGGGGGGCGTGGAGGAAAGTCAGGCTCGGGGCTGGCTCTCACGGCCCCTCCTGGAGATCTGGGGGTCTCCCCGGTCCCCCCTGAGCCCCTCTGGACACTCTTCGGCTCTGACTGTGCCCCAGCTCCTCGGGCCCCCCGTTGTGCCTTTGTCTGTCTGCCTCCTCCCGGCCGGATCTGTGCGTCTGTCCCGGGGTCTGTGGGTCTGTGGGTCTCCTGGCCTCTGCCCCCCGCCAGCGCTTTTAAACCCGCCGAGCTGCGACCATTGGCAGAGCGCTGAGCCATTCAGCCCCGGCCGACTCACTCTCGGCTTTCCTGTCCGTCCCCCCCCACGCGGGGGAGGGGAGAGGGGGGACCCAGCCGGCAGCCGGAGGGATGCGAGGCAGCGGGCCAACCCCTGACGAAGCCTTTTCCCAAATCCCGCAGTTGGCGCTGGTGGGGAGGAAGTCGGGGAGAGGGCCCGGCCGCCCACACAGAGGACCACGGTCCCCTGGGCTTTCTGCCCCCACCGTCCGTGTCTCCCATTTCTCAGGCTGTCCAGGCTGCCCTCTGCACCCCCCGAAGCCGGCCACTGGGTCCCAGAGACAAGGCAGGGGGGAGGGAGGCGAGTGAGCGGGTGGGCACGGGTAAAGAAGCTTCTGGAAGGGAGAAGCTGCGGGAGGTCAGGGTGGGACCCCGCAGCTGGAGGGGTCAGGAAGGGATGCAGGGAAGACCAGAGAGTCCCCCTGGATCCAAGGCCCCTTCTTCCCCTCTGCTCCCGGCTGGCGCTTGCAAGAGCTCTTCTACCCACCCCCCTCGGACCCTGCTCCCCACTTCCTGACCCCTTGAGCCGCTGGCCTGACTCCCAGAAGCTTCCCCCGGGCTCTTGACCCTGCTGGGGGGTGGTCCAGACCCGTCCACCACCCCCCACGCAGCAGCTCAGCGCAAGGGCTGCCTAGAGGACGTGCCCCCACCCCACCCCGGCCCCACCCCTTCTGGCCCTGGAACCCACTTTCCTGGAAGGGCTGGTAATCTCCCAGTCCTGGGCCCCCTTGGGGAGCAGCAGAGGAGGAAACCCAAGGGTACCGGGGCCACAGGAAGCAGCCCATCCCGAAAGGGAGGAAGCCCGGGTTCCAGGATTCGGACAGACGTGGGGTGGCCCTTGGAACAAGCCAAGGGGTGAAGAGTGGGGGCCGCCCTCTTCCCCAGGAAGGAGAGTGCCCTTCCCTCTCCCCTCCGGGGGACCCCCCTGCCCTGCCCCATCTCTTCCCACTCGGCCTGGTCACCTCCGGGCCCATCACATCCGCCCAGACAAGTCCTGCCAGCTGAGGTCATTCTTCCCCGAGTCCCCCGCTCCCTCCCACCCTGCCCCCATCCTAGGTGGAGGGGCTGTGGGAGGCCAAGGCTGGGGGACAGCGGGACCAGGAAGAGCCGTCACCGAGTGCCAGTCCAGCCCTGTCCACCCGCAGCAGAGGAAGGAACAATGGGGTTGACTAAGCAAGAGACAAAGAACCTCAGACTGGCAGTTGGGTGTGTGTGTGTGGGGGGGGGGGGTTGTCACAAAAGCTGCAGTGTTCCAAGACCCCGTCTCCCTACCGCCCCCAGAGTGGGTGAGAGCAATCCCAGGCAGCCCCCCGCAGGCACCCCCACGGCTCCTGGAGCTGGGAGCTTCTCTGCTGCTCCCCAGAATGCAGCCAGTCCCCCCAGAGACACTGGGGGGACCCTTCACATGGGTCCAGACAGACACCCATCACATGGCTTTGCTCTTTCGGCTTCAAACCCCCTAACTTGGATCTGCAGGCCCCACCCTGCCACCCTGGGGTGGGTCGAGTGCCAGGGCCCCCCGGGGTACCCATGGCAAGAAGGCCCCGCTGGGCAGGGCTTTGGGGGCCAGGTGGTGGCTGGAGACCCCTCCAGGTCACTGCATGGGGAATGAGTCGGGGGGAGGGAAGCCGGGTGCAGCCGAGGGTCCTCCCCGCATCTGGGACCACCCAGCAGCGGCTCCCACCCGGGTGGCCTTGGCACCCCGCTGCTTTAGGCGGTCGGGGTTTGGCGGGAACCAGCAGGGACCCACCCAGCCTCGCGGGCCCTTTCCCTAATGCGTGTCGTTCTCCGCTGCCCCGGACTTTCGGGACCCCCGAGCGTGGGCGGCACTGGGAGGCAAAGGGGGTCATTGCCAGGGTCCAGGTGGTGACCCCGGCGGGGCGCCAGCGCGGGCTGCCACGGTCCCTCCCGCTGCCGACCCACGTGGGGCGCGCGCGCGTGCGCGCATGCGCGCGGTGGGCGGGGCCTCGCCGCCTCCGGCCCGGAAGTCGTTGCCGGCGCTGGCTGCCAGCTTCCAAGATGGCGGCGGCGCGGCAGCCGGGAGCCGCGTGAAGCCGTGGGGGCGGCACTTCCGCCCGGCTCTCCTTCCGCTGTCCGCGGCGGCATCATGGCGGCGCTGAGGGCGCTGAGCGCGCTGCGGGCGTTGCGGGCCCCGGCGGGGCTCGGTCTGCGGAACGTGCCCAGCAGGTGAGGCCCGGGACCCTCGGGGGGCGGCTCGGGGCCCCCGCGGGCCTGGGGAGGGGCGCCGGGACGTGCACGGCTGCTCGCCCGCTGCCCCTGAGCCTGCAGCCCCCCGGGCCCGCATCCCTGAAGCCCCCCAGGCCTGCAGCCCCCCAGCCCGCAGCCCTGCAACCCTGCAACCCTGCAGCCCTGCAGCCCCCCAGACCTGCAACCCTGCAGCCCCCCAGCTCCCCAGACCTGCAAACCGCCCCCAGTCCCCCAAGCCTGAAGCCCCCCGGCCCCGCCCAGCGCCCCCCTTGGCCCCGCCCAGCGCCCCCCCTGGCCCAGGGGGCTCAGCCGGTCCCGCCCGGGCTGCAGTGGGTGGGTCGGGGTCTGCTGCCCCTGAGAGCGGCCGATGGTCTCTGCAGCCGCCCGCCCATCAGTCACTGCCGGGCTGCTGCGAGCCTTGGGTGGGTGCACCCCCCACCCCGGTGGTGATGCAGTTAAGGGGTTGGCACGACTTGGGGACCACACCCCGCCCCCCTGCCCCCTGCCCCGGGCCCAGCGCTGGGCTGGCGCGCGGTCTTGGGTCTCCTTCTCCTCTTCCTGCTGTTGGTGACCTTGAATGAGCTGCACCTGGAATGGGGAGGGAACAGAGGTGGGGGGGAGGGGGGCAGGGTGCGTGGGGGAGGGTCACCGTTCCACATTCCACACACCTCCTCTTTGCATGTCCTGGAGTGGACAGTGGACGGTGAAGTGGGCCCCCCCCCCCCATAAGACCTGGGAGCCACCCAGGTGCCGGCTTGTCCTGCCAAAGTTGCACCAACTGCCCCCAAGAAGCCCGTTAGTGCTCATGCGGCCCCCCCAAGCCCGGCCCCCAGCCCTGTCTTCAACCCCCCCCCCAGGGGCGCACGGCAATGGCAGCCCGACGAGGAGTGGGCGCAGCAGTTTGGGGGAGCTGTCATGTTCCCCAGCAAGGAGACAGCCCACTGGAAGCCCCCACCTTGGAACGGTGAGTCCCGGCCTCCCCGCTGTGGTGTGATGGAGGGGACGGAGCAGCAGAGGACAGAGGGGGGTTCCCCCTGGACGGGCCCTTCAGTGGGATGAGCTGGCAATGTCCTGGGAGCCCCTGAGCACAGCCACTTGTCCCCTCCAGGAAAAAAAAAAGGAAGAAAAGGAGAATTCCCACACTTTTTTTTTATTGGGGGGAGGTCCCACCTTGCAATGCTCAGGGGTCACTCCTGGCTCTGCACTCAGGAATCTCTCCTGGTGGTGCTCAGGGGAGCATATGGGATGCTGGGGACTGAACCCGGGTCTGTGGCGTGCTGTCCTATCCACCAGCCCAATTCCCACGCTCTCACTGCAGCCGGGAGCAGGTGGTGGTGGGTGCAGACCCCTGTCCCCCCTTGAGAAGCAACACCCACTTTGCACCTGGACTCGGTGCTTGGGTTGGGGTCATACCCGCGGCGCCCAGGGTCCTTGCTCTGCGCTCGGCGATCACTCCTGGCCGATGCTTCCTGGGCCGAGCTGTCAGGCCTCAGGTTCCCCCGGAGTATAGGGATGATGATGTCATTCGTGTGGGGCCCGTGTGGGACCCTGGGGACCGAGCCCAGGTGGCCGCCGTGCTATGGCTCCGGCCCCTTCCTTTGGACTTTTTAAATATTTTTGGAACCACACCTAGAGGTGCTCAGGGTTTACTCCTGGTTCTGTCCTGGGGGCCAGTAGGGGATCCATCCCGGGTCGGCGGCTTCAGCCCCCTGCCCTGTCTCAGGCTCCCATTTCAAGTTCTTGCTCCCCAAGGCCGCTTGTGTCTGTCCCATCAGCGTGAGTGACCACCCCTTCCCCGGCCCCTGTGCCAGGCTCTCTACATGGGCCCATGCACGGCCTCAGAGCAGAGGGGGCATGTCCTGACAGGTGGGGGGCAGTGGGGAGGGGTTGCAGCCCCCGGAGCCGAGCTGCTCCCAGCTCGGTGCTTGCCGGGGGCGGGGGGTGGTGGTGGCTTATTCCTCCAGCCTCAGTTTCCCCAGGAGCACAGGCGGACTGAAGTGCTTCTGTGAGGAGGGTGAAGTGAGGTTGAGAAAGGTGTCTGTGCGTGTGTATGTGCACGTGTACATATGTACACGTGTGCATGTGTGTGCTGTGCACATATGTATACGTGTGTGTGCACACGTGTACACGTGTGCACAGGTACGTGTATATGTGTGTACATATGCGTATGTGTGCATGCATGTGTACGTATGCATGTGTGTACATGCACAGTGTGCATATGTGTGCATGTGTATGTATGTATGCGTGTGTGCACCATGTACATGTGTGTGCATGTGTACTCACATGTACACACGTATTTGTGCGCACATGTGTGAGCGTGTGTACGTATGTATACATGTGTGTGCACCGTGTACATACGTGTATGTGCATGTGTGAGCTAGTGTATGTGCATGTGTGTATGTATGCGTGTGTGCACCACGTACATGTGTGTGTGCATGTGTACTCACATGTACACATGTATGTGTGCGCACATGTGTGAGCGTGTATACGTATGTATACATGTGTGTGCACCGTGTACATATGTGTATGTGCATATGTGAGCTAGTGTGTGTGCGTGTGTGTGTATGTGCACCATGTACATGTGTGTGCATGTGTACTCACATGTACACACGTATGTGTGAGCGTGTGTACGTATGTATACATGTGTGTGCACCGTGTACATATGTGTGTGTGTGTGCGTGAGCGCGTGTGTGTGCGTGTGCCGGCCCATCTCGTGCCTCTGGTGCTAAGGGTCGTGGTGGCTGAGGCTCGCGCCTGCGGGCTCTGACCTGTCCCGCCCCTCAGACGTCGACCCCCCGAAGGACACGTTCGTGTCGAACCTGACCCTGAACTTCGGGCCCCAGCACCCGGCGGCGCACGGGGTCCTGCGGCTGGTGATGGAGCTGAGCGGCGAGATGGTGCGCAAGTGCGACCCCCACATCGGGCTGCTGCACCGCGGCACCGAGAAGCTCATCGAGTACAAGACCTACCTGCAGGTGGGCCCCCCGCGACCTGCCTTCGACCTCCGGCCGGCCCTCCGGGGGCCGCGCTTTCCCGTCCTGGGGCACCCTCGGACGTCAGGGCGCTGGCCCTGGCAGCGGGGACCGAGGAGCGACGTCATCGGCTGGGACGCAGCCGTCCCTGTCCCCACAGCTGCCTGGTGTCTGGGAAGCGCGTGAGTCAGGGCGGGAGCCCGGGCTGGCCCCTGGGGACGTACGTGACCCCCGGAGGACACGGCACTCGGGCCCTGCGTCACGGCCCCAGGGTGACGGGGGAGCTGCCGCCCGCTCCCTGCCTCCTTCCTGGAAGCGGATGCAGGGGCCAGCCTGCGGCTGACCCTGGGCATGAGGCAGGGGACGGGGGGACTCCCTGGGCAGGCCGTTAACCAGCCCCATCTGCGCCGAACCCCGCGGCTGGCACCAGTGTCCTGGTCCTGCAGGCCAGATGGCCCGTTTCCGGAGTCCTGCGGGCCAGCTGCTGCCCACGGCCCAGGCACACGCGGGATGGGCTGTGTCCAAGGCAGGACACTGTCCTGGCTGCTGAGGGCTGGGACCGGGGTGTTCAGGCCTCTGGCCGCCCCCTGAGGCTCCTGCCCCCCCCCCCCCCGCCAGGCGCTCCCCTACTTCGACCGGCTGGACTACGTGTCCATGATGTGTAACGAGCAGGCCTACTCCCTGGCCGTGGAGAAGCTGCTGAACATCCGGCCCCCGCCCCGGGCGCAGTGGATCCGAGGTACAACCCCTGCCCGTGTCCCCCTGCCCCCCACTCCCCCACCCCAGACCCGCTCCTGCAGCCCCCCCCCCCCCACACACACCCTCCCACCTCGCCTCTGCAGTGCTGTTTGGAGAAATCACCCGCATCCTAAACCACATCATGGCCGTGACCACGCACGCCCTGGACATCGGGGCCATGACCCCCTTCTTCTGGATGTTCGAGGAGAGGGAGAAGGTAGGAGCTGGGGACCCCGGGTGGGGGGTAGGGGGGGTGCTTCCGGGTCTTAGGATCCCGCCACTCACTGCCGCTGTGTCTTGTGCAGATGTTTGAGTTCTACGAGCGCGTGTCCGGGGCGCGGATGCACGCGGCCTACGTGAGGCCAGGAGGGGTGCACCAGGTGAGCACAGCCGCCCTTCTCTGTGAGGACCCCCAGCTCCCACCCCCACTCTCTACTGCTGGCTCAGCCTCCCCCTCTCCCCCCTCCTCAGGACCTGCCACTCGGGCTCATGGACGACATCTACGAGTTTTCCAAGAACTTCTCCCTCCGGATCGACGAGGTGGAGGAGGTGAGTGGGGGACCCCGCGGGAGGGCCCCTCCCCCGCCGCCACATCCCACCCGCCCCCCCTCCCATCCACTCCCGTGTCCCCGTCGCCAGATGCTGACCAACAACCGGATCTGGCGGAACCGGACTGTGGACATCGGGGTGGTGACCGCCGAGGATGCGCTCAACTATGGCTTCAGGTGGGGGGGAAGGCGGCGGTCCCCGGGGGCAGGGGTGGTCCTTGGGGGTGTCCCGTGTTGGGTGACCCCCGTGTTCTTGCCCCTCCCCCCCAGCGGGGTGATGCTGAGGGGCTCTGGCATCCAGTGGGACCTGCGGAAGACGCAGCCCTACGACGTGTATGACCAGGTGGAGTTCGACGTGCCCATTGGCTCCAACGGGGACTGCTATGACCGGTGGGTGCGCTGGGCCTCGGGACGGCAGCTGCGGTGGGGGGGGCAGGGACCCCGCCACCGAGCCCCCCGTGGCCCTGAGCCCTGCACCCCTGCCTCCCGCACCCCACAGGTACCTCTGCCGGGTGGAGGAGATGCGGCAGTCTCTGCGCATCATCGAGCAGTGCCTCAACAAGATGCCGCCTGGGGAGATCAAGGTGGACGACGCCAAAGTGTCGCCCCCGAAGCGGGCGGAGATGAAGGTCAGCCAGGGTCGTGAGGAGGGGTCGCAGGGAGGTGCCGCCCCCGCCCTGCTGACCCCCTTCTCCCCCTCCCCCGCAGTCGTCCATGGAGTCGCTGATCCACCACTTCAAGCTGTACACTGAGGGCTACCAGGTGCCCCCCGGGGCCACCTACACAGCCATCGAGGCCCCCAAGGTGAGGGTGGGCGGGCGGGGGCAGCCCCAAGCGGTGCGGGGCGGGTAGAGGAGGGTGGGAGGTTGGAAGTCACGGGCCGCCACTTCCTCGCAGGGAGAGTTTGGGGTGTACCTGGTGTCCGATGGCAGTAGCCGCCCCTACCGCTGCAAGATCAAGGCGCCCGGCTTTGCGCACCTGGTAAGAGCCAGACCTGCAACCCTCCTGCCCGCCTGCAACCCTTCCCCTAGGCCACTCCCACCGCCTTGCATCGGGCCACGCCCCTCTGCTAGGCCACGCCCCTCCACCGTGTTCTCTCACTCTCAGGCCACGCCCCCACCACAGCTTCAGCCCAAGGCCTCTCCTCTAGGCCACGCCCCTCGCTGGGCCACACCCCTCCACCTTATCATCTCCCTCCCAGGCCCCGCCCCCACCACAGCTTCAGCCCAAGGCCTCTTCTCCAGGCCACGCCCCTCTATGGGGCCGTGCCCCTCATTGCCCTCAAGCCAAGCCTCCTTGAGGCCACGCCCATCATCTGAATACAAGGCCACGCCCCATCCACAAGCCACTCCCACCATCTGCCCCTCTGGTCATGCCCCTCATTGCCCTCAAGCCAAGCCTCCTTGAGGCCACACCCCCTGATCTGAATATAAGGCCACGCCCCTCCCACAAGCCACTCCCGCCATCTGCCCCTCTGGTCATGCCCCTCATTGCCCTCAAGCCTAGCCTCCTCGAGGCCACGCCCCCTGGTCTGAATACAAGGCCACGCCCCTCCCACAAAGCCACTCCTACCATCTTCCCCTCATTGCCCCCAAGTCAAGCCTCCTTGAGGCCACGCCCCCTGATCTGAATATAAGACCACTCCCCTCCCACAAAGCCACCCCCACCATCTTCCCCTCATTGCCCCCAAGTCAAGCCTCCTTGAGGCCACGCCCCCTGATCTGAATACAAGACCACGCCCCTCCCACAAAGCCACTCCCACCATCTTCCCCTCATTGCCCCCAAGTCAAGCCTCCTTGAGGTCACGCCCCCTGATCTGAATACAAGGCCACGCCCCTCCCACAAGCCACGCCCACCATCTGCCCTCTGGTCATGCCCCTCACCAAGGCCACGACCCTGCCCAGCCCCACCGTCCTCTCTTCCCTTCTTCCTGCAGGCCGGCCTGGACAAGATGTCTCAGGGACACATGCTGGCTGATGTGGTCGCCATCATAGGTACGTCCTGCCCGGCCCTCCGTGTCCCTGATGTCCGGTGGGAGCCAGGTGGGGGTGCCCAGCAGCCCTTGGACACAGCCATGCACCTTGGTGGCTGGTGGCCGGCCCATCCTGGGTAACTCTTCTCCGCTCCCCTCCCCTCACTCTCACTCTCCCTCTCCCCCCTTGCCTGACCAGGAACCCAGGACATCGTGTTTGGGGAGGTGGACCGGTGAGCGTCGGCGAGCCTGACCCTGCCCACGGCAGCCTCCTGTGGATGTAGGGGTGGGCGCCGGGGCGCGGGGCCTCACCCCCAAGAGAGCTGTATAAGATGTATAAAATAGCCGCCAGCGGCCCCCAGCCCGCCCTCCCGTGTGCGTCTGAGTCCGTCCGTTCTCCCGAGCCGGCCCAGGGAGTCTTGGGCCGAGTCTTGGGCCCAGGGAGGCAGGAGGCCGCCTGCTTCCCCATTTTCTCTTCTCTCCTTCTCTCTTAGAGGACACTATCTGTCCACTTCCCCCTCGTCCTTTCCACTTCTCCATGAGCCGTTGTTTCCTCTTTGCCGACTTCCGCTGCCCAGGCCTCGCTGCCCACTCGGATCCCGGGTCCACCGCGGACCCAGCCGAGCTCAGGGCTCTCGAGGGACGAGGCGTCACCTGTGGGGCCCGCCTGGGCAGCGGGTCACATGGCCCTTCCCGCGGGGCCGTCCCCTACCCGGGGTGCCAGCTCGTGCCCAGCCGTCCTCCCGGCGCTGGCCCTTCCGGGAGCCGCCCGGCCCGGGTGCAGGAAGAAGCAGGGGTGGGGGGGGCTGGGAGGCGTGACAGGAAGGGGGAGCTCTGTGGTCAGGGAGCCCGAGAGGGAGCCGGCAGCTGCTCCGAGCCACCACCGCTGTCTGTTCGCGGCCTGGCCCGGCCCTGCCCAAGATGCATCCCGCTGGCCTCCTGCTCCTACTCCTGCTGGTGGACAGGGCAGGTGAGCGGCTCCGGGGGGCGGCGGGGGAGGCTGCCCGGGCCCGGCCCTCCGCCCAGCCTGGACTCCAGAGCTCGGCCCTTGCCGTCTTGCTCCTGAGACGCAGTGTTTGAGCCGGGCGGGGGGTCAGCGGCCCGGGAGACCCCAGAACCGTCAGGTCCAGACACGTTCGCGCCGCATCGTGGAGGGGGCGAGCGGGTGGGAAGCGGGTTTCCAGCTGGCTTGGGGGGGTGTGTGTGTGTGAGCGCGTGTGTACGCATGAAGCGGGTTTCTAGCTGGCTTGGGGTGTGTGTGTGTGCGTGTGTGCTCACGAAGCGAGTTTCCAGCTGGCTTGGGGGGTGTGTGTGTGTGTGTTCGCACGTGCGCATGAAGCAGGTTTACAGCTGGCTTGGTGTGTCTGTGTGTGTGTGTTCCCGCGCGCACAAAGCGGGTTTCCAGCTGGCTTAGGGTGTGTGTGTGTGTGTCTTCGCGTGCGCACACAAAGCGGGTTTCCAGCTGGCTTGGGGTGTGTGTGTGTGTGTGTGTGTGTGTGTATTCGTGCACATGCATGAAGCGGGTTTCCAGCTGGCTTGAGGTGTGTGTGTGTGTGTGTGTGTGTGTACGTGCGCACACGAAGCGGGTTTTCAGCTGGCTTGGGGTGTGTGTGTGTGTGTGTGTGTGTGTGTGTGTGCGCGCATGAAGCAGGTTTCCAGCTGGCTTGGTGTGTGTGTGTGTGTGTGTGTGTTCCCGTGCGCACAAAGCGGGTTTCCAGCTGGCTTGGGGTGTGTGTGTGTGTGTGTGTGTGTGTGTGTGTGTGTGTGTTCGTGCTCACGCACGAAGCGGGTTTCCAGCTGGCTTGGGGTGTGTGTGTGTGTGTGTGTGTGTGTGTGTTCGTGCTCACGCACGAAGCAGGTTTCCAGCTGGCTTGGGGTGTGTGTGTGTGTGTGTGTACGTGCACGCATGAAGCAGGTTTCCAGCTGGCTCGGGGTGTGTGTGTGTGTAAAGCAGGTTTCCAGCTGGCTTGGGGTGTGTGTGTGTGTGTGTGTGTGTATGTGTTCGCGCGCACGAAGCGGGTTTTCATCTGGCTTGGGGTGTGTGTGTGTGTGTGTGTGTGTGTTCGCGCGCGCACAAAGCAGGTTTCCAGCTGGCTTGGGGTATGTGTGTGTGTGTGTGTGTTTGTGCGCACGAAGCGGGTTTTCATCTGGCTTGGTGTGTGTGTGTGTGTGTGTGTGTGTGTTCGCGCACGCGCACAAAGCGGGTTTCCAGCTGGCTTGGGGGGTGTGTGTGTGTGTGTTTGCGCGCACGAAGCGGGTTTTCATCTGGCTTGGGGTGTGTGTGTGTGTGTGTGTGTGTGTGTTCGCGCGCGCGCACAAAGCGGGTTTCCAGCTGGCTTGGGGTGTGTGTGTATGTGTGTGTGTTTGCGCGCACGAAGCGGGTTTTCATCTGGCTTGGTGTGTGTGTGTGTGAGTGTGTGTGTGTGTGTTCGCGCGCGCGCACAAAGCGGGTTTCCAGTTGGCTTGGGGTGTGTGTGTGCGCATGAAGGCCGCAGCCAGTGGTGGGGTGGGGGCACCCAGCAGGGGTGGGGGTACAACCCTCAGAGTCCCCCTGTCCCCTGGGGTGGGTTCGTGGCCTTCTAGAGCCGTCCACGAAGACAGGGCCGTCCCCCCACATATCGGAGGGGCCGAGCGGGACGGGGCCGGACAAGTGACCGCGTCCCACTGCTGACAGCCCCCCAGAATGAAGCCAGGCCACGCCGCCATCTCACTAGGGGCTCAGCGGCGCGCCCCACAGGCTGGGGGGGAGAGAGGGTGCAGCTGGAGGGGTGTGAGGGCCCAGGAACTAGGAAACAGAAAGCGAGAGAGAGAACCAGAGATGGGGGAGAGGGAGGGAGGGAGGCTCTTCCCGCGCGGCCGCTGATCTCTGTGCTCCTGGCAACCCCCGTGTTCCCCGACTCCTGTTTCATCACCGGCTTGACGCTTCCTCAGGGTGGTTTTCAGACTTGTGCAATAGCATGAGTGAGCGTGGGGAGACACTTCTCCTCGCCAGGATGACAGAGACCCTCAAGGAGGTGCTTTGTGTGGGCGAGGGGGGGGGGGCAAGGGCAGGGCCAGGTTTGGGCCTCATTGGCTGAGCTCAGGGCTTACTCCTGTCTCTGTGCTCATTGATCATTCATGGTGGGTTCAGGGCACACATGGGGTGCTGGGAATCGAATCTTGGGGGGACACGTGTAAGGCAAGCACTTTGAACCCCTACACCGTGGCAATAGGCGTTTGTTGAATTTTGGGTTCTTTTGTGGGGGAGACACCAGAGCTTGCTCCTGGCTGGATCACTCCTGGCAGGGTTCAAGGGATCGATCTGGGGGCGTTAAATGTGGGTTGGATGTGTACAAGGCAAACAGCCTACCTACTCTATAGCAAAAAAACAAAAAATGGGGGCTGGAGTGATAGCATAGTAGGGAGGGCGTTTGCCTTGCACACGACAGACCTGGATTCAATTCCCAGCATCCCATATGGTGCCCTGAGCACCGCCAGGAGTAATTCCTGAGTGCGAAGCCAGGAGTAACCCCTGAGCATCGCCAGATGTGATCAAAACAACAACAGCAACAAAACTCCCTGAGGGTTTTGGGCCTTTTTTTGGGGGGTCACAGGGCTTACTCCTGGCTCTGCCTTCTAGGGGCACTGCTGGTGGGCTCTGGGGGCCCATGTGGGATGCTGGGGATTAAACCCTTGGACCGCAAACAAGACTAGCGGCCTCCCCGCTGGGCTGTCTCCAGGCCCCGCTGAGTTTTACCTGCAGGGAAGCCCCTGAGGAGGCGGAAGGTCCCCATCTGCCGGGGGTCCCGGGCAGGGGGCTGCACTGGGGGCTGTGGGAGTGGAGAGCGGACACCAGAGTTGGCGGCTGGCCCCCTGCCCGGCACGTCCTTCCTGTCCAGCGCCGCTGCGGTCACAGGACTGTGCAGACACATGTGGTTTGGGCGTTTGAGAGCAGCGCTGCCTCCCCTCCCCCCACAGCGGGCTGAGGTTGTGGTATCCGCCGCGAGGACACGCAGGGGACAAGGCCCCCAGGACCCCGAGGTGGGGGTAGGGCAGAGACCTCCTCTTGGAAGAGGGAGACCTCAGGACCTGCCCCGGAGGTGCCCGGTCACTGTCCCCTCCGGTCGCTGTCCCCTCCGGTCACTGTCCCCTCCGGTCGCTGTCCCCTCCGGTCGCTGTCCCCTCCGGTCACTGTCCCCTCCGTGGGGAGCCGGGCGCCCCCGCTGACCCCTGAGCCCAGCACTCTCTGTGCCCAGAGGCCCTGGCTGAACCCCAGCTCTGCTACATCCTGGATGGCATCCTCTTCCTCTACGGCCTGGTCCTCACCCTGCTCTACTGCCGGCTCAAGGTGAGGCCCCTGGGAGGGGCGCCCCCGTGGGAACGGGGTGGTCCCGGGTGCAGCAGCCTCACGCAAGCTCCCCCTCCCCAGATCCAGGTGCGGAAAGCGGCAGCCCCGACCAGCTCCTTCGAGGTTGGTACCCAGCTGGGGGCGGGGCCAGGTGGTGGGCGGGGCCTCGTCATTTGCATACCCCAGAGGCCCCGCCCCCTGCGCACCTGTCTCTGTGTGTGTGTGTGTGTGTGTGTGTGTGTGTGTGTGTGCGCGCGCGCGCGCGCCCAGATGTGCAGCGGTATACACCCATGTGGGTCCGCGCCCCAGAGGATCCCGGGGTGCCCATGAGCCACAGGACTGCCCCCCACCTCCAGTCCTGCGTGGGGAACCCCGGGGCCCGGTGGGACAGGTCCCTAATGCTCTGTCTCTGTTTTCCCCTCCCCCCCCAGAAATCCGAAGGCATTTACACGGTGAGTGGATTGGCTGTCCCCAGGAGGCGGGCACAGGAGGGCAGCACTTCCTGTGACCTTCAGGAGGGTGGGGGGCCGAGCCCGTGTCAGGGGCCGTCCTGAGTGTCCTCCAACCTCTCTCTCCCCCCCCACACCCAGGGCCTGAACACGCAGAACCAGGAGACTTACGAGACCCTGAAGCATGAGAAGCCCTCCCAGTGACCCCCGGATGGCCCCCCGTAATTCACCGTACCCCCCATTCATTAACCCTGGCTCTTGAACCCACTCCCCGCCCCGTCCCCAGCCCTCCAGCCCGGCAAGGCCACTAATAAAGGTTTAGGGAAACCTCTGTGACCCCAACCTGCTGCTGACCAGTCCCCAGTGGACCTCTGAGCCGGGAGCCCGGGGCGGGACAGGGGCGCAGGGAGTCTGGTTTTGGCCTGACCAGGGTGGGCGCAAGGTGGGACTCGCCACCAGGACCCCAGACATGGAGGGGCCAGAAGGCAGTGTGGGGAGGGGGGCTGACGTCTGGCAGAGGGTTTTGTGGGAGCCGGTTTCAGGGGCCCTGGTGGGTGAGCGGGGTCCGGAGGGGACGCAGCTCTGCCCAGCGTATGAGCGGGGGCCCCGGGACCCCATCACTGCACATCAGCAGAGCCATCGTCCAGCTTCCCAGCAAGAGAGGGAGCTCCCAGCATCACTGCCCACCCCCCTCGAACTGACCCCAGGAGTCTTGGTGTGAGAGACACAGTGAGAGAGAGGCCCCCTGGGAGGGAGCCCGGTGACCCCTCCCCAGAAACCGCACCAACGACCCCTCTGATGTTTATTGTAGAAAACAAGGGCTGAGGGGGCGGTTTCCGGGGGGGCTCCGGGCCTCTCACTAGGCGGCCGACTGGGGTTTGCGGTCCAGCAAGGTGCTGAAGAGGCTGAGCAGGTCTGTTCTCGCCTTCTCCACTAGGGGCGCCAGCTGCTCCTGCGTCTTCTCCCAGTAGGCCCTGGAACCGGGCAGGGGGTCAGGGCCAGTCCCCAGCCCACCCCATCCCATCCCCTCCACGCCAGGGAAGGGGACACTGCACCAGTGCCCGCTACCCCCTGTCCATCACGTGCAGGGCAGAGTGGGGAAGGGGCTCTCGACAGCCGGAGGGGGGGGGTGCCCTGCCCCTGGCACTCACCTGGCCTGGTTGGGCAGCTCCGGGGCCCCCACGCGCTCCATTAGCTCCTTGCCATAGCTGGACATGCTCTGCAGGTACTGAGTCACTAGCCCCTCCAGCTGGGCCGGCTCCGGGGCCTGTCGCCGAACCACAGCGCCTGGGTTGGGGGGCGCACACACTCGCCTTAGCGGGCCCTGGCGGCCCTCCGCGCCCACCTGCCCCCAAATCTCCGTCTGTCCGTCCATCCATCACAGGGTCTGGCTGGACTGCAGAGCAGGGAAGGGCCCCTGGGCAGAGGGCACAGAGGCTGATGCAGAACTGGGCCTCCCTGCGCCCCGGAAACCCCTCACACTCACCTTCCAGGCTGCAGACCGTGATCAGCAGAACAGCCGCCGTGAAGAGCTTCATGGTGGTGCCGGGGAAGGGCCTGGACACCAGGGAGCACAGGCCAGGTGGCTCAGGCCCCTCTGCCCCCTGTCCACGCCAGCCCAGCCCCTCCCTTGCCAGTACCCCGCCCCCACCCGCCTCCAGCACCCGTACCTGGCCGAGAACCCTTACCTGTCCGAGCTCCAGCGCTGTGCTGGGAGGCAGAGGTTTTATACCTGCGTTTCTCCACCCCCTCGGGCCCCAAGGACACTGAGGGGCCCAGTGGGGCAGAGGCCAGCCGGGAGTAAACAGGACAGGGCAAGCACACAGACGTGGACACGGGCTGTTGTTGTGGGCCCCGCATGCTAGACCCTGCATGGAAATGCGGGTTCGTCGTGTCTGGGGTTCTGTGTCGGTGTGGGGGTGAACCCACTTTGTACACACACCCCCACTCCCAACTTCCCCCAGCCCTGAGGCTGTCCCTGAGGCCGTCAGACACAGAACCCCAACAAGCACCCCCGTCCCAGTGTCACGAGTTGGCAGCGAGGGGACACGGGGTGGGAATGGAAAGGAAAAAGCAGCCCAGGGCAGGGGAGGGGGGCAGGGGGCCCCGAGTTAATGTGTCAGGACGGTAGCTTGAGGGAGAAAACAGAACAGAGCTGGGTCGCCAGCGCTGCACGGAGTGGACACGCGGGCTTCCCCCCGGGGGGTTAAAGGTTGAAGGCCCCTGGTCACCCGATGGCCTTATCAGAGGAGGCTACTGACCGACCTCCCCGGTACAATGACCCCTGCGTGGACTTTGGGCCGAAACCAGTGAAACAGCTACCAGAAGTCTTGGTTCCCCCCGCCCCCACTGAGGCCAAGGTGGGGTCCAGGGCCAGAGCCCCTCTGCGGGCCTTTGATTCCCTGGCAGCACTGGGTGGACGCGGCTGGCCTGCAGGTGGGGTGCACAGCCCAGATCTGACTTGCTAGCACTGCCTGGGGCGAGGCCAGAGGGGGCTGCTATGACTGTCACGCTTCCTCCTGTACCCCAAAACTCCAAGCCCTTTCCCACTGCACCCCAAAACTCCACGCCCCTTCCCATTGCACCCCAGGGGGACGGGTGTCTGTCCAGGAGGGCTGGTTCTGCCAGAGCCACTAGTCTGCTTGGTTTGGGTTTGGGGGTCGCACCCGGCGGTGCTCAGGGATTGCTCCTGGTGGTGCTCCTTGCAGCGTGGGGGGTAGGGGGGTAGAGCCAAGCTTCCTGCCCAGGCAGGTGGAGTAGCTGGGAGGGTCCCTCGGGGGCCACAGGAAGCAGGGATCCCAAGCAGACTTAGAAGTAAGACCCCGTTGGCTGACGCCCACCGGAGCCGTGGCCTGGCAGCTCCCCTCGGGGTCCGCAAGCCCCAGGAGCCGCCCGACCTTGGGGAGCAGTGCCTGGTGCTCAGGGGTGAGTCCCGCAGGTCGTCCCGCCCCCCGTCCACAGGGCTTGCAGCTCTATGGACGACATACCTGCCACTCCTACGTCCCCTCGCCTCCCATTGGTCTCTGGGCGGCCGGGCCTCTTTCCCGTTCGCCCATTGGGCGGCGCCCAGGTGGGGCGGGCCGTGCCTCGGAGCCCCGGCTCCCTTGCCCGCTTCTAAGATGGCGCCCGCGGCCACGCCGAGGGCGCCGCGTGAAGCCGCAGCGCTGCCCTCACTCAAGATGGCTGCCCCCATCAAGATGACCGGGGTGTGCCGGGGGGAAAGGGGCCGCGCGGCGATCTGAGAGGTACGGGGGGCGGCCAGCGGTCAGCCTGGCCTCGGGAGCTCGGGCTGCAGCGGAGGGAGCGGGGGCGGCAGGGGTGCGGGGCGCCGGGGCTCGAGCGCGCGGCCGGGCGGGCGGGGTCGCTGACAGGTGGGGGGAGCGGGCTGGGACGGGCGGGGGCCGGGACTCAGTTTCCCCCCCGCCCCGGGCCCTGTCCCCCCGCCTTCCCGCTGCAGGTCGGGCCATGTGGAAGTTTCTGGGCCGGGGGATCCGGATGCGGGGGGCCGGGGCCCGAGGGGCCCAGAGGAAGCAGTAGCGTCCAGCCCCCGGCCAGCCCCGGCCCCTGCCCCGACATGGGGAACACGCTGGGCCTGGCACCCATGGGGGCTTTGCCGCGCCGGAGCCCCCGCCGCGAGGAGCCGCTGCCCAACCCCGGGAGCTTCGACGAGCTGCACCGGCTGTGCAAAGGTGACAGCTGGGCGCGTGGGTGCAGCGCGCGGGGGTCCCGGCTGGGGCTGGGGGTGGGGAGGGGGGACGCGGGCTGGGCTCCCAGCCTGCAGCTGGACATCCGGTGCCCCTGCAAGTGGGGCGTTGCCCGGCCCGCTGCAGCGCTGGCTGGGGGCTGGGGGTGGGGTAGGTAAGGGGACACTCGTGTCTCGGGCACCCGCTCACCTCGGTGCCCCCTTGCCCCCCAGATGTGTTTCCCGCCCAGATGGAGGGGGTGAAGCTGGTGGTCAACAAGGTCCTGAGCAGCCACTTCCAGGTGCTCCTGCCACCCCCCTCTCCGCACCCCTGCACCCTCTGCTCCCTTCCCCTCTGCTGCGACTCTGGAGGGGATGGGGAGGGGGGATGCCCTCTCTGCATGCTGGGCACGGAGCCCCGGGCCTGCCACTCACTGCCCTCTCCGCAGGTGTCGCACACGGTGCACATGAGTGCCCTGGGCCTGCCAGGGTACCACCTCCACGCGGCCTATGCGGGGGACTGGCAGCTGAGCCCCACAGAGGTGAGGCTGCCCACCTGAGCGCCCCCTCACCCCAGAAAGGGTCCAGGACACCCTGCCGCCTTTGCCCCGATGTCCGCACTGGGGGGCGCTGGGCGCTGCACCTGGCCCGAGCCATCCCAGGTGCCACCCAGCCCGCCCTGTCGCCCTGTCCCCTACAGGTGTTCCCCACGGTGGTGGGCGACGTGGACAGCAGCGGCAGCCTCAACGCGCAGGTCCTGCTCCTGCTGGCCGAGCGGCTCCGGGCCAAGGCCGTCTTCCAGGTGACCCGGCTGCCCTGGGGACCCCCCTCCCCTGCACAGTGAGGGCAAAGTGGGGGACGAATTCATCCACTCCTGCCCTCCTGCCCCCAGACCCAGCAGGCCAAGTTCCTGACGTGGCAGTTCGACGGCGAGTACCGGGGGGACGACTACACGGCCACGCTGACCCTGGGGAACCCCGACCTCATCGGGGAGTCCGGTGAGGCTGCTCACTGCACGTGACCTCCCCTCCTGCCCTCCACTGGTTGCATTTTGGGGAGTGGGATCGGGTGGAACCCAGAGGGCACCTCCCAGCCCTCTGTCCTGCTCCCCTGGCCCCAGTCTTGTGGCCGGAGTGGGGTGGGGCGAGGGTCTCTGGAGCAAGGCTTGGGCGGGGCGGGCCTGGGCGGTGACACCCCCTGACCCCTGTCTCCCCCATGCAGTGATCATGGTGGCTCACTTCCTGCAGAGCCTCACGCAGCGGCTGGTGCTGGGGGGGGAGCTGGTGTACCACCGGCGGCCCGGCGAGGAGGGGGCCATCCTGACCCTGGCGGGGAAGTACTCGGGTAGGCGCCCTGGATGAGGAGGTGGGGTGGGGGTGTTGGTGGGAGTGGGGATGGGGGGCTGCAGGGCCTGTGCTCCAGACTAACAGTCCTTGCTTCTCTGGCCTCCACAGCTGTGCACTGGGTAGCCACACTGAACGTGGGGTCCGGGGGCGCCCACGCGAGTTACTACCACAGGGCCAATGAGCAGGTGAGAAGACAGGGGCCCCTGCCCCCAGTGCAGACCACGCCCCTGGCGGAGACCACGCCCCCGACATAGACCACGCCCCCAAGCCTGGACCACGGGGCCCAGACTCCACCCAGGCCCCAGGAGGGCCACGCCCCAGGATGAGACCACGCCCACACCCATACCACGCCCTGGGTGTGACCACGCCCCCATCCTGAGACCACGCCCACACCCAATCAGCTCAGGGATATGACCACGCCCAGATCGAGATTTTGCCCATATCTGTGCCATGCCCTGGGTGTGACCACGCCCCCACACTGAAACCACGCCCACATTCATGCCACGTTCTGTGTGACCACGCCCCCACACTGAGACCACGCCCACACCCAATCAGCTCAGGGATATGACCACGCCCAGATCGAGATTTTGCCCATATCTGTGCCATGCCCTGGGTGTGACCACGCTGCCACACTGAAACCACGCCCATACCCACGCCACGCCCTGGATGTGACCACGCCCCCACACCGAGACCACGCCCACACCCAATCAGCGCAGGGATATGACCACGCCCAGTTCGAGATTTTGCCCATATCTGTGCCATGCCCTGGGTGTGACCACGCCCCCACACTGAAACCACGCCCCCGTCCACGCCACGCCCCGGGTGTGACTACGCCCTCACGCTGAGACCACGCCCACACCCAATCAGCTCGGGGATATGACCACGCTCAGATTGAGACTTCACCCATATCTGTGCCATGCCCTGGGTGTGACCACGCCCCCACACTGAAACCACGCCCCCGTCCACGCCACGCCCTGGGTGAGACCACGCCCTCACGCTGAGACCACGCCCACACCCAGTCAGCTCAGGGATATGACCACGCCCAGATCGAGATTTTGCCCTTATCTGTGCCATGTCCTGGGTGTGACCACGCCCTCACACTGAAACCACGCCCCGTCCACGCCACGCCCCGGGTGTGACCACGCCCTCACGCTGAGACCACGCCCACACCCAATCAGCTCAGGGATATGACCACGCCCAGATTGAGACTTCACCCATATCTGTGCCATGCCCTGGGTGTGACCACGCCCCCACATTGAAACCACGCCCACACTCACGCCACGTTCTGGTGTGGCCACGCCCCCACACTGAGACCACGCCCACACCCATACCACGCCCCGTGTGACCACGCCCATGCACTGAGACCACGCCCACGCCCAATTAGCCCAGGGACATGACCACGCTCAGATTGAGACTTCACCCGTATCCGTGCATTGCCCCGGGTGTGGCCACGCCCCCAACTCTGGGAAGGCCACGCCCTGTATCCTGGCCACGCCCCCAGGCTTCATCCCGGGAGCCCCGGGGCCTGTAGGTGAGGCCACTGCTGCTCTCCAGGTGCAGGTGGGCGTGGAGTTTGAGGCCAACACCAGGCTGCAGGACACTACCTTCTCCTTCGGCTACCACCTGACGCTGCCGCAGGCCAACATGGTGTTCAGAGGTGAGGGCGCTGG